TTTCTCTCTAAAATGCCTCGTTTACAAAAATATCGGATGATACGGGTGACACCCTGTATACGCTCGGTTTCAAGATACTTTGAATACTTCCTTCTCCGACGTAATCCGGGACGCAGCCGACGGTCCGACGAAAGAACGTGGCTTAATGGAAAGCAATTTCTCCCATTGGGACTCTCATCCCGCTGCTGCGTTCCGAGTTGCACCGAAAAGAGAAGAAAAAACAACCAAGCGTTCGGACCACTCTGAAAGGAAAATATGCGGACATTTCGGTGTTACATATCCGATGATAATATGGCGTCCCGATAACCGGCGCGCAATAACAAATCCAACAAATTCATTAGCGAAATAGCCGAACTCCCCGACGAAAATCCTGAAGTCCTCTTAACGACAGGCGAGACAGCCGTCGTAATGTGAAAAGTACACGCTCTCATTCGTGGCGTGAGAGATCGCACGCACGCACGCACGCACGCACGCACGCACACGCGCGCGTGCCATATAGATAACTTACTCCGTAAAGGCAGCGAGAGAGAGAGAGAGAGAGAGAGAGGCGTACGACGCGTGTGCCAGACGGACGGCGCGGTATCAAAGGATATTTGCCCTGTCAACAGCGTGGCTTTACGCGGAGACGACGCCGCCGCGTCTGTAAGGGGAGAGAGAGCACATAGTCACTCGTACCGAGATAATAGTAATGGCTATTATTACTTCGCTCTATTATTTTACGATCTAGCGCTTCCCGGGAACTGATACACCATCGTCCTCGCCGTCGCCGTGCTCGTCGTCGCGATGCGCGACGGCGCGCCGCCGAAATGGCCGCGCTTCGACGACGAGATCGAAAAACGCGCACTCGTCGCTTCTCGCGCATCGATCGCGTCGCGACCGATCGCGATCGAGATTACGTATCGACGCGGCCGAGCGACGAGGTGCCGACGGGCTCAAAGTAATCAGCGCTCTCTCTCGAGCTCCGGCGCTCCCGACGGCGGTCCTCGGCTCTTGGTGCTTCGGCCTTAACGAGGAGACATTAATTAGACATTGACTCTCCGATTGAATTAGTAACTCGACGTTACTTTCGTCGTTTTTTCTTCTTTTTCTCCTTTTCCGCTCTCCTTCGGACCTCAGCCGCGCATGTTCGATAATGAATATATCCGGTGAAAAATTGACAGCTATAATATTACGCTTCACTGAAAACCTGTAATCTCGCGCGATTTACGACAAATCCTAAAAAGTGGTGTAGCCGGCCGGCGACACGTGCGCGAGATTCTATCTGAGAGAAAGAGAGAGAGAGAGAGAGAGAGAAAGAGAAAGAGACCGGAGGTTCGTCTGAAATCGGCGTGTATTCGCTATTTAGAGGCGGCGCGGTACGTGTTACCGCTAATTAAATGAGTGTTTGCGTTATCGCCATCGCATACTAAATTAAGTCGCGTTCAATCAACCGCCGCCGGCTTGAGAGGCTAACTCTTGCCAGGAATACGAAATCCGTCGCTCAAGCAGACGCGACTGTCGTGTTGTTTCCTCAGCTAAGTCAGAGTTCCCTCACAGTCTTCGTCCGAGCCGGCCGATCTCTCGGATCGGACTCTTCTTTCGTTTCCTCTTACATTGCTTAAGTTGCGCAATTTATGGTTGACACAGAAAAGTGGTCCACTTCAAGTTGGATTTATGCACAAGTTAACACTTAACCCTTAAACACTAGGATGGGTGAAATTCATCCGATGATATTTTTTATTGGTAAAAGTAAATTACATGAACCAGAAGTTAATGTATATTTTTTTATATTTTTAAGGGAAAGATTCATAATGTTTATAAATATCTCAGACCGTTTATACTCGGATCAAAGAAGTTTTCTTTTTTTTACGGTAGAAAGTTTTATAAAGCTGTTTTATACATATTGCTACAAATTTTTACCAAATATTTATGATTCATGTACACTAGAAAAATAATAAAAATAAGAAATAATAAAAAAGTTACGAGCATTCACCTGTTCTAGTAGGAGGTGACAAAAACGTTCTAGTGTTCAAGGATTAATTATCTCCGTTTTATTTATTATTTTCCCAAAGTTTCATTGTATATTTAATTATTAGATTGAGAAGCGAGCTCTTGCCAGGAGTACGAAATCCGTCGCTCAAGCAGGCGCGATTGTCGTGTCCTCAGCTAAGTCAGAGTTCCCTCACAGTCTTCGTCCGAGCCGGCCGATCTCTCGAATCGCACTGTTCTTTCGTTTCCTTCTACATTGCTTAAGTCGCAATTTATAACTGATACAGAAAAGTGATCCACTTCAAGTTGGATACATGCACAAGTCCTTAACTCTTAAACACTAGGATGAGTGAAATTCATCCGATGGTATTTCTTATTGGATAAAAGTAAATTACATGAACCAAAATTAATGTATATTTTTTTATATTTTTAAGCGAAGGTTTCATAATGTTTATAAATATCTCAGACCGTTTATACTCAGATAAAAGAAGTTTTCTTCTTTTTACGGTGGAAAGTTCTCCTTTTTCCCTCAAAAAATTGTATACGATTTAAAACTATTTTACACACATTGCTACAAATTTTTTCCAAATATTTATAGTTCATGTACACTAAAGAAAAAAAAAGGAATAAAAATTTATCCATCCTAGTAACAGGAGGTGACAAAAGCATCCCAATGTTCAAGGATTAATTATTCCCAATTTATTTACTATTTTCCCAAAGCTTCATTGTATATTTAATTATTAATTAGATGTTTATTTGTGCAATATGTTTATTTCTTCCCGGTAATCCTATACGGTTCCTTTGAGTCGGCTCCGAAATCTATCGCGCTACTTTGATAAGCCGGCCGTCGCTCGCTTGTGTTACTTCGCGCGTGAACAGAGTCTTAATATTTCAAAACAATGCAATGATGAAAACCTCGACAGGTACTACTACGTTGGTTCCGTTGAAATTGCACGACAAAAATCGCGGTCTGCGTGTCTGGATAGACAAACATTTAAAGCAGACGCAGATTTTTCGCGAGGAAAAATGATACTTCTGCCGCCGGGATCAAAAACATTCGTCCGACCATTCAGACTCGGTTAAGATAACTGAATGCACTTGACAGATATCCCTAGATGCACAATGTCTTCGCGACACTACATATAAAATAAAAAATCAGGATCGCACTTAATTGCGGTAGATATAAAGATATATCAACGGGATGTGAGATCGAGATTGGACGATGAAAGACACGGCGAATGTTTCACACACGTTTATCAGCAGAACTGTCAAAGAAGTGAAGAAGTGATCTCTCTGTGAAGCTTTCGTCTTGTAAATAAAAACGACAGTCCTTCGCAATTCTTTGTAAAAAATATTCAAACTTATAACACTGCACTTTATGTCTGTAACTGATGTTGAATCGAATTAAAAATAAGGAGCATCAGAAATGGGAGACAAATAAACAAGTTTCCCTTTCGTTACTTTTGCAACTCGCCTTTTGACTGTTCTGGCGGAAAGAAGTCCTTGATCATCGGTAGCTCCGGTGATAAAGATCGAGGAAATCCACATACCGGATACGTCGCCAACGTAATTTTCCTCTCATGAGGAAAAAAATCACTCGCTAACAACTTTCTCACGCGGCTCTCATTGACATGATTAATTCTTAACGGCTGAACACAAAATATCGCGATAGACAGAGAGAAAATCTGCAGAATCTGCAGAAATCTTTCTGTCCTTACGTTCTTCTGTCTGGCCTTCATTCCTCTGAAGCGACGGAAAATTCGTTCGCGTCAATAGAGCGGTATTTTCCACGCACGCGGAAAAACCAATTCTGTGCAATTGAATTTTCCATTGCTTGGGAGAGACCAAGTAGAAGATTCGATTGCAGAAGCAGGAGGATTCCCGCAAGGAAGCCCGGATTTCCTGATCAATCAGTCTCGTTTTCGACGATCTCAACCGAGTTTTGACTCGGCTGAATGCCCAGAAGTTTTCCCGTTGCCGGTCGGATTTTCGTCTGATTCCTATTTAGCTACACGGAAACAGATATTTTCCCCTTGCACGCAGGTACACGGAAAAACGTCTTCGCCGAGCGTGGCCGAGTTTCCCGTCGCTTAGGAAAAAATCAAAAGACTCGACTGTGCACTCGGTCGAATTGAAGATTGCGATGCCTCCTCGAGGAACTACGCAACGTATCTCTAACAGAAGGATTTATTGGTTTAATAATTCCCGAGAGGTCCTTTAGTCCCTAAAAGAGGTCCTTTAATCCCCAAGAGGATTTTCCTACTGTACACGAAATGCGTTGCAAAGCTCATCAAAGAAACGACACACCGCGACCTTTAATCCGCCGGCTGTGAAAGACTCCTGCGCCGAAGTCCTCCACTCGCTCAATGTCCTTCAGTTATCTCAACCGATAAAATCTGGCACAACTGGACATCCACGGACTAAAACGAACTCGTCCGGGCGTGCTCGCATAGATATCACTTCTCGTCACTGAATCCTCCCCCGGTCCCTATCCCGTTACACGAGATCTTTTTTTCCGCAAGTGCCAAAGGGCAAAGCCAAGCGGCAAACTCGCATGTGGGAGCAGAAAATTGCACAAGGAGCTTCTTGGAATCAGCCGATTGCTTCCAGCAATCTATCTCAGCCAAGTTTCTTCGGCTGTACCAACATAGATCTCACCTCTGCAACCTGCCCAGTTACGCGGACTGGGACCTTTCTTCCCATGCAGGACTCTACTTCGAACCACACGAATCGAACCCTTAACCCGGCTGGGTGATGATGACCCGAGATGTTTCCAAACCCATTAAGTACTTCATCGAATGACCTGTATGAAGAGATTACTCCACAAAAGCCACTTTCTAAGACCATAACTGGCACCGCGATGGTGGATGAAAAACTATTCGGGTCATCATGGTCCACCTCAAGGTGCGTGTAACATTTTACCAGCACAATGATACCTAGCCGGGTTGAGTAACCACTCCGGAGGAGCGCGAAAGCTGGGCCCGAAAGCTGGAGGGAAGTCAGCGGTGACCGAAGGGGTAGCCAGGACTCACCTGCATCTGCAGCCACGAGTAGTCGATGTACGCGGTGGTGGTGGCAGTGACGGCCCCGGCGACGGTGGACGTCGACGAGATCTGCTGCCAGCCGTCCTGCGCGTTGCATCCGAGCACGGTGAGCCCGTCAGGCTGCGCCCGGTCGGGCACGATCTGGTCCGCGGCGTACTGGTAAGGCGGCTGTATCGTCGGCTGTCCGGCGGAAGGTAGACCCTGCAGAGCCGCCGGATGAGGATGCTGCGCTCCCGTGCCGGCACCGGCGGGCAGACAGCACACGCTCGCGTCCATCCGTGGCGGCGGCGGCGGAGAGTCGTAAAAGCGTAGCTGCTCCGGCTCCGGCTCCCGAGTCGTCGTTCTGCCGAGGGTTAATCCTCGAGGCACCATCCAACCTGCGGGACGCAGCCGCTGACGCGCCGTGATACCTCGAGCCGACGGCTGGGAGTCCCTGTCTGTCCTCCCCCGAGTGTCCTTGTGCCTTTGGCTCTCGCGACCCGGTCGGCACGCGGAAGCGGCCGGTCCGGCCGTCGGACCCTCCCTCGGAGACCCGATGGGTCCGTTCCCTAGGTCCTCTTCAGGCGGCTCAGTAAGGAGGACAAGGTGCTGGCATCGTCCCTCTTCGTCGCTCAGACGAGTCTCCCTTGGCGCTTCGCGACGTCGGCGCTTCGTCGCCTCGAGGCCGCTCCTCCCTTGGGATTCCGGCTGACGAGGTAGACGCAGAGAACGAGCTCGCCTCTCACGGGCCACGATGTCACTCGGGTTCACGGCGTGCGACGACCAGCAGTCACGTACACGGCAACCGTGTTGACGTCCCGCGTGAGTCCAGCGAGTTCCGTGCGCGAAACACTATCCCACGACAAGCCAGCAAGTGCTCGTCGAGTGTCACAGCGGACATCGCGTTCCGCGAGAGCCGCTCGACGGGGAGCTTCTCTCTGCAGCCAACAACGGACACCGACAAGCGCGCCGTCGCCGACGCCAACGCGCGCGCGGCTTCCCAGGGAGCACTCGAAGGCGAGAGAGCGGCTCGAGAGCCGTCTCACACGACGGCTCCGCTCTCGAGAGCTCGACTCACGGCGCGCCGGCGATCCGTCCTCGGGTTCTCGTCGTGCTCGCGCGATTCTCCAGCGGAGGCATCGGGTACGCGCGTGTGACAGTCCGACCACTCGCTAGGTCACCACATGAAAGACACGGGGAGGACACGTACGCTAGCGCAACGTTCTCCAGCGGGTCGACATTGTCGCTCACTCGGTCACCTTCTTCCTCCTCTTGCAGGGGCTGCTGCTCACTTCTCGCTGGAGCATCCTCGTCCCGTGGCGGCCGCTGACACTCGCGACGGCTCGGACGCGCGACACAAGACACGGAACCAGCGGCCAGGACCCGAGGCACCAGCGGCGGAAGCTGCGTGAGGAACGCGCGACGTGCGAGAGCGAGCGAGGCGATTGCCACGAGATCCGCGAAATGACGTTTCCCGACGGTGACAGCGCGCACTCCCGTTAACGCGTTCACGCGCTCGCGCGTGTTCGCCGGAGAACACCACGAGGACGAGGGCGGAGAGAGAAATGGTGGGAGAGAGACAGAGAGAACGAGAGCAGAGGACTTACGAGAGGAGGCGAGGGTAGTGGTATTCGGCACAGGAGGTGGTGGTAATGTTGATGATGATGAGGTGGAGGTGGAGGTGGAGGTGGAGGTGGCGGTGGAGGTGGCGGTGGCGGTGACGGTGGCGGCGGCAGCGGCGGCGGCGGCGGAGGTGGTGATCGCGGCGGCCGCGGTGGTGGTAGTGGTGGTGGTGGTGGTGGCAAGAGCGGCGGTGACGAAGGCGAGGGTGACGGAGGCGAGTGGCGCGCGCGCACTTTTGACTCGCGTACGGCCGGTGTTGCGTGCGCGCATGCGTGAATGCGTGTCGTCAAGGCAACGGTTCCGGAGTAACTGCTTGGCGAACGCAGCCCTCCGCGGCGAACGTGAATCTCCCGCCCCCTCCTCCTCCCTGTCTCTCTCTTTCTCTCCTTTCCGTCCTCTCTCTCTCTCTCTCTCTCTCTCTCTCTCTCTCTCGCACGCTCGTTCACCCGCGGTACTCACACGCCTGGCTCACGCCCCAGGCCCCGGGCGCGACCGATTCGAGCGGTCTAGGCGGCCATCGAGCGCACGCCCCCGTCCCGACACCGAGAACGTCTCTCGTTCCCTCTCTCGCACCCCTTCTCTTTCTTTCTCTCACGCGCTCCAGCCGCGCTCTCTCTCTCTCTCTCTTTCTCTCTCTGCTCTGTCTCTCTTATCTTCTTCTCCCTCTCTCTCTCTTTCTCTCTCTCTCTCTCTCTCTCTCTCTCTCTCTCTCTCTCTCTCTCTCTCTCTCTCTCTCTCTCTCTCTCTCTCTCTCTCTCTCTCTCTCTCTGATACGCGCCGAGTATTTATATACATACACTTCCCCCCTCCCCGTAGGTATCCTCCCCCCACCCACTCAGCTTCGGTCCCTACGCGATTCCGTCTCGGTTGCGCGCGCGCGTCCCGCGAATCATCCCGTCCTTCTCTCGCCGCACAAATACACGGAGCAGCGCCGACGCCCGCGTCTCGAAAGCGCGATTATCGACGTGAGCTATCGCGAGAGGACTCCTACCTCCTCCGACTTTGGCACACTTCTCTCGGCTGCTTCCCCCGCCGCGCCGCCGCCGCCGCCGCCGCCGCGGCCGCTCGCGGTCCCGTCGTACCGCGGCGGCCCGTGTCATCGTTACTTTCTTCTTCCATCGCGACTCCGCGGTTCTGTGTCGCGCGAATCATCCCTCTTGCGCGTGCCACTGAAAAGCACCGGCATTCGCGTCTCGCAACTCCCCTGTTCGTGGACGCGCGCTGCGACTTGAAAAGCGCCCGCGAGAGCCCGCACCACGTGCGGCTCTGATGACGTCACTGCGCGCTCGCTTGACACTTCACCTTTCCTCCCGTGCCCAGCGCGAGGATCGAAGTTGACGTGATTAATTTTGCGATATCGAGCGATATAATAGTAAGATATAGGATGCTCGATAACTCTCTCCACGGGGATTGAATGACTGAGCGGCGCAAGTCGCGACCGAATTCGCGATAACGAATTTCTCCTTCCCTCCTCAGCGGGACGAAATGATGCGTGCGCGGGAAAAAACGTTGCTGTATCGAGTGAATCGATCGACACCGCCACGATTGGAGTAACTCTTTCGGATTCAACAACGATATTATCGAAACTGTAGTTTTGTTCGCGTTGCTTGCATTTTGGACACTTTTATGTCTAATATCCGTTGCACATCAGATGCGATTAACGATAACTAATGGGAGCTCTTCTTTTTAAAGAAAGGCCAATGTGCAACGGGCATGAAGTATGAAAGTGCCAAGAGTGCAAGCAACGCAAACAGACCTTATTACTCGAATTATTCAAACATCAGATTTGTTCGCGTTACTTGCACTTTTGGCACTTTTATATTTAATGCCCGTTGCACATCGAACACGATGAATGATATCCAATAGGAGCTCTTCTTTCCAAAGAGAGGTCAGTGTGCAACGAGCGTGAGGTATATAGTCCGTTTTTTAGCTGCACTGCTGAACTGGTACAATAAATTAGAGTGAGAAAAAAGATGGTTATCACACTCTAACTTACTGCACCAATTTAGCAGTGCGGCTAATGCCCAATTTCTTCATCTTCGGTTAAACTTAACTGCCGGTTATTCCAACGGAATCGACTAATAGCATTTGTTTATTCTGATTAAGATAAGAAATGATAAGAAATGCGATTGGTCAATTCCATTGGAATGACCGACGCTTTAAGTTTGACCAAAGGTGAATAAATTGGGCATTAAAAGGACAAACCAATAAGAGTATCAAAAGTACAAGCAACATAAACAGACTTATCATCAGCTTCGGCTGCAGCTTACGTCAGCTTCAGTAACAATGCAGTGAAATCAACATGATTCTAACTTCAAAACATGATTCTGAATTTCAGAACGTATTTTTTTTCGCCGAATCCGAATCCAAAATCACCCGAAACATGTCTGGAATATACCGAGGATCGTTCCAGAACGTCCTACGTATCCTTTCAAGACGTAGAGAACTGGAATCCGGGACCTTAAACAGTCTCCTTAAATAACCTCCGAATTTAACCTCTCAACACCGTCTTCAAATTTTCCTCGACCCCCAAAAAATCCTTTACGCCGCTTCTCGTAACACTCGCTGCCGCATATCCCAACAAGGATGTTAATCTTCGTTAAAAGCTGCTGAAAAAGATGTTAAAAAAGAAAGCCGCGCAAGACCTCACCTTGTCGTCGATGCTTCGACATCGTGAGGATCTCTCGAGGACATTCGGGTCGAAAAGGACCCAAACACAGCGGGTTAAAAAGAGGCGCATCACGCAGACGCAGAGAAAACAGCGAGGGCGAAAGACGAAGGGGAAACGAAGGAGGAAGTGGCTGAGGGATCGAGTCGGAAAGGACGACGCGTGTTAATTAGCTGCGGAACGCGCGCGCGCATGCGCATGCGCACATGCACGCACAATTCGCATCTCGTCGGGTCCAGAATGCGACGCGTCGCTCTCGCGCAAGATATTCGTATACGCATCGCGCTCATACACACACACACACAGAGAGAGAAAGAGAGAGAGAAAGAGGACGTATGCATCTCCGCGCCGCTCTCTTCCTTCCCCTCTCCCCGCGTCCTGTGTCCGCCCCCTTCGTCCCTCCGACTTCGCTCGATCGCGAGACGAGGCACAGAAAGGTGTTCCCTTTCTCTTTAGATTGTGAAACGATTTTCTATCGCGGCGCTTTAGCTCTCGCACGGCCGCGCGCGCACGCGCACACGGCCGCGGATTTATTATATATGCAATGGGTTACGCAAATTACGACAAAGTGCAAATATTTCACATGACCTGCACCTGCGTGACTCCCCTTTCTACACGTGATCGTTTAACCAAGCACGTGAATCGTGACGCGCGCGGAGCTGCGACGTAGCGCGCGCGCATGTGTGTGTGTGTGTGTGTGTGTGCGCGTGCGCGTGTATGCTCACGTGGGCGCATGTGCAACGTTCGAAATTCCAGCGGGCTTCCTGAGACCCGGGCAATTTCTCCGGAATATACGTAACGCCGCGCGCGAATTGCATTTCTCGCGGCCTCAAGGGAGACGTCTCCTGGGAACGGGATAATGAGAGCGCACCGGAGAGCGCGTATTTCGGAAATCTCGTCCTTTCGGCGAGCCGTCGTGCGTACGAAAGAGACACGATTGCGCGAGCTTTGCGAGTCGCTGCACAGCCGCGAAAATCGACGAGCTCCGATACACAGCCGTTCTAATCGCGAGTTCATCATTGGCTCGCGAAGTAACCGTCGGCGAGGTAAGTGCAATTGTTACGAGAGAGGCACGCGATGAGTCTTGAAAATACTTTGTCTTCTTGGGCCTGTTCCGAAATTGGTTTCGGAAATTTTGGTTTTAGTTGTAAGGCTGGTAGATCTTAAAGTAGCTTGGATACGTTCCGTAATTGATCAGCTGATCAATTATCAGGATAATAAATAATAAAAAATCTACTCCTTTTTCTATCTAATACCACAAAATTAATATATTAAATATATTATTAAATACAAATTAATAACTGAAGCCAAGTTAACCTAGTAAACAGTATATGGCTATGAACGTCCAGCTGATCAATTACGAAACGCATTCAAGTTAGTTTAAGGTTTAAGTTACCAATTTTATAACTAATCTTGTATAGTTAAAAGTTTCCAAAATCAATTTTTCGAACAGGCTTCTTCGTCTTCGAATAACGGCCGCTCAAGAAGGCGGAAAACAAACATGGCCGCCGATCGTTAGAAGCGCGTAGGGTGAAATACGCACAGAGAGATATTGCAAATTTGAGCAATTGTTACTCGTTTCAAATATTTCGGAGGTTTCAACAAGTCTACCACGAGTTCGTCATAAAAAGTCCACTCCAAATACATTCCAATTTCTAACAAGTGTCGCACTCCAATCGGGTTAGAGTAAAAAATATCTCGGTTTGTTTCTTTTCCTGCATAAACAGCATAAACGAAAACTCGGAAAGAGACTAAATTTTTTCCTTCGAGCACACACGATAATGAGCTTTCCTAAAACTCGCAATGAGAGCACATTTCAAGATTGATATCGGCAAGAAAACATTCCTCCTCGTGGCAGGCGGGCATTGCTCAAAAGCGAGCTGAGCAATCGCTTTTCTTAGCAGCAGAATGATATTTCTCTCCGCATGCGCGCGTTGGAAATTAAAGTGCGGCTGTTGGAAGGAATTAATAGTAAAGCACGTTTACCTGCAGCCGGGAAATTGCGAGTTTGCGTGACGGCGTGACGCGTGGAAGCGTGTGTGTCACGGTGAGACACATTGTCAAGTTTAGGGTTGAAAGGGACGTTGGGACGTGGCGAGACGCGCGCACGCGAGAAAGAGAAACGCGCAAGACTCTCGCGCGTGCGCACGACCTCTCGCGATCGACGCGCGGCCGATCTGAATACAGCGCGAGACGCAGAGTGTACCGCGCGCGCACGCCGCGAATCCTTCCCTCCCCCGCGCCGCATCGCGGAGCGACGCGACTTATGAATGGGAATAGTATTCGCCCATTGGCCGCGCCCGATAGCCAATGGCTGCCGAGTGGCGCGTCGCGCGCCAAATGAAGTAGCGAGCACACATACCTCGCGCGATATCTTCGATAAGTCGACGCGACGGAGATCGAGGCGAGATATCGAAGGCGGCGGCGAATCAAGCGGATCCTATTAATACTGTTTGCGCGCGCCAAGATCGCCGGCCGGAGATCGTGAAATCATCCCGAGCGGGTGTTCTGGAAAAATCATCGATCGTGTGAAACTCGCTTCAGCCGTAATTCATAAACTCCCCTTCCCTTTCCTTCCCTCTCCTCTCTGCCCCCTCCCACTCCCTCCTGCCCCTAGGCGACCTTTATGCGCCTGGGAAACGTAAGGAGCGCTCGTTACTATTATTATTGCTATTATTATCGATTCGTCAGTCTTATGTAATAATTACTTGTACATTTCGAGCTGTCGACATATTTTAATCGCAGCGCAGCGATTTTTCTTTTTCGCGAGCCGATAGGCAGAAAGAGAAAGAGAAGATCGCGGATAAATGGCCGTGTTAAAAATAAGATATCTTCTGCCGCCGTCGTCGTCGCGTGAGAAGCGTTCAAGATCGCGGGTCGACGAAGCGAGACGGCCGAATTCAGCCTCCCGCGAGCGTCGACGGAATATCACGTCGGCGCTCGAGAACCGACGAAGCGGCAAGGAGACAAAAGGTAATCGCTCTCGCGAGTAAATGTAACGACCCGCCGCCTGGCCGATGTAAATCGGCGCGAGATAGAGGGGGAGGGAGGGCAGGTCGCGTCACTCGCGCTGCAAATACCGAACGGTAATTATCGGCTAACTTATGGAAAGTATAGGGAACGGACGTGCGCGGCGACCGCTCTTATGACAGGGAAGTGAGCGAGGTTCTCCTGGGCACGTCAAGGTGACAGCGACGTCGGGGATGACACCATACTCGCCGGTCCGCGAGGAGACCCGCGCAATGTTACATTAGACATTATTACCCGCACATACCGCGAGCTTTGTGAGCACAGCCGCCTCTTTCCTTCTTTTTCTCGCGTGCGCCCAAGCGAGTGAGCGAGCGAGCGAGCGAACGAGCGGCCGAGCTGCATTTACGCGCATTTATTACAGACTGGCGTCATCTATCAATTAGCCGCCTCATAGCGCGTGTTTCTCGCGCGCGATTGTGACTCAATTACGTGCGACGGTGCACGAGTTACGTTACTTATGTTTCCACCTAAGCTCGTGAATCATTCAACACGTCGCATAGAATGCCGTCGCCCGAAGAATACGAGTCTACGAATCGTCGCGCGCAGCCCGGTCATGAGGATTACGCGATCGTCGTCATGCGCGCACGATCGATATATGTTGGTTTTACAATTTATTTTGCTGAGAGTTTCTCTCTCTCTTTTCCACTAATCGAATTCTGTATAATATAAAATACAATCTATGTATACACATGTACATCTATAATATTCACGATAGACATTTCCGCGGCCTCGGCTCGAGTCTCAACCCCAAACGTCGCCGTATTTAGTTTTCTCCTGTATTGATGTTCTCGCCGGAGTGTCTTGTTGTGACTGGTGTTGTTGGGCCGCCTTGGCCGTCGGATAACTTTCTTGCACTTTGGGAGCGTAATATTGCCTATTTTTATTGTAATACTCTTCTCTGTGTTTCTGTCTTAATTCTTCGTAAGTGGTGCCTTCCTGTTGCAGGTTAAGCGGCTTAGACAGATCCATGTCTTCAGAGATGTCGCCTGCGTAATGTGTATGAAAGATATAAAAAACTGGACTTAATAACTACTAATAACAATTTAAAATATATCAATAATTTCGTTCTTAAAGACTTTTTAAAGAAAAACAGTTTTACGGTTATTTGTCACAAAACTCACCACTATCATTGAGACTAGAATAAGTATCATACGAGTTCATCGGTGGGTAATCATCAAACGTTATTTCTATGGCTGGCTCTTCGGAGCCCTGTGCTCCAGATGTTATGTTTTTCTGCGGGAAGGTATACTTCTCACTGATGAAAAAGACAAGTAACTCAGTTTGATATGAAACATAGAACAGATACAGGCGACCAAGCCATTATGAGTCGGTACCTTGGATGCATGTTCCCATATCTCGCTTTTATTTGTTCTCTCAGTGGACTGTTTGGCATACTGATTACTTTCATTAAGCACATCTTAGAGATTATTAGTTTACTCATTAGCAGACTTAGCACACCACTAAACATGGCGGAGTACTTGGCATATGCAGAATAATTGGTAATCTTCAAAGCACCATAGCCAAAGGCTGTGCCAAGAATTGTTGGGGCCATGATACTGGAGCTTTTTATGCAATCACGCCAAACCTGCATCTCTTCCTCTACTAACTCCAGTTTCTACAATGCATTGAAAGAGTATTGGAATATAGGGATACGTAGAATGCTGAATATGTTTTATCTTAGCACTGAAATATCTTTAAACTTCACATTGGTGTGCTTGGCTACTTGACACACTGTTTCCTTTTTAAATTAAATCTATTTCAGATCAATTAAGTTATACTTGTTGCCTTTAGATAGTATACAACTTGTCTTTGAAAGAGAAAAGAACAAGGTTCTAGTGTAGCATCGGTTCAGTTAAGAATAGGCTTATAGATATTGCTCATACTGCCCTGTATGTTCCGTTTAATATATTTGAAATAAAAGAATCCAAATGCTAGCAAAGTGCTTGCTTCCTAACCTGTTCTGCCGGACGTCTGCGAAAGTCGGGTCTACCATCATTTGGCTGTTGCACGTTTGTAGTTGCCATGGTTCGTGGAATGGGTTCGTAACACCTCAATCACATCGAATGCGAATTTTCCGCATCTACCGACCGTTATCGCGCACAGAACGGTTGAATTTGTGTACAAATACAAGATCTGATCTGAAATCTTCTCGATGACCGGCACGAAATAAACGCACTATCGCTGTTTATAGCTCAACCGGTGCTGTTAAATTCTGTCGATTCCGCCGTCAAATGGAGACACTTTCGCCATCTGTGGGTCAGCTTGTCGAAACGATCGAGCTGTTTTCACGATAAGGACGAGCGGCGGTCCTATTGCTAAAAAAGAAAACCACAGAAATTCGATAGTATTTATTGACAGAATTGAACGTTGAATAATGTTGAATTATTCAATTTAATCGGTGCCTTATACTCTCCTCGGTTGCTTGTGATAAAAAAAAATCAAGATGGCCGAAGATGACTTCTTCGGGAAAGAAATTACTTCGTTGCAAATCTCGACTTCGAAACGACAATTGTCCCTCGATATTTTCTTCTGGATGAGTCTCTCGTTAAGAAATTAATTACTGCAGACGCATGTGTGACACTTTTGGTCATTTAAAATTAAACGCGTTAAAATCGCGGCCAAGCGAACGCCGCGAATGGCGTTCTGAATGATCTTCGCTGATCTTCGTATCCGAGTGACGCGATTTATTCGCGTATCCGCGCTAATTGATTTACCGCGTTGTTTAACACGGCGACGTGCCGAGCCGAAAACGCACGGGAAGAAAATCCCGAGCTCGCGTAGAAAATTCATCTTACCGACGATTCACCTCACTTCCGCCCCTCGCTCGTTTCCATCCCGCGAAAATCCGCGGCGTCGAGTCGGGAGTTCGCGTGTCAGGATGTGTTTATGCGAGAAACACGCACGTGGACTTCGCGAGAGCACGAGTGTTGCACGTCGTCAGACAGTCCTTTGAAGTCCTTGAACGAGTTATATCTGTGTGATATCTCTATTAACGAGCCAGTCGCAGGAAAGTTACCGAGTCGCTTTGAGAAGTCGCAAAACACGAGAACTCGTTTGAACTTCAACCGCCGAGTCTCGGCGCATCTTCTCTCATCGAACATGACAAATTACCCGAAGACCTCGCTCCCCCGAGACACTCCAGTGCATTAATCGCTCTCGCATCATCTCTCGCATTATTAAAAGATTCACGAACGACGATTTTTTTTTTCTTTTCGCGAGGTATTTATACCGCGCGACCTGACGCAATTGCATCGCTCGCGCGCGCATCGCAACCAGACGCGGAAAATTTCCTCTGCCACTTATGAAGAGATCGTGAATGCGTAATGCAAAAGTGCCAATACACATATGAGCCGCGATGGTGTTAACGAGATGGACGGATGCCTGCCGCTATAAAAGTGGCGGCCGAAACGACCGGGGCCTGTCGCCTTAAAATGTCGTGCGCCGCTGGACTCCGCGATCGACTCCGCTGGCCGTTTCCACCCTCCCAAATCATGCTGTTACTTATATTGACGATGCTGTCGTTCTCGACGACGCTGCTATCAGTGAGTGCTGGTCCGATACCTGACCTCGCGCAGGAATACGAGAATCTGCTGTCCGAGAGCTCGACGACGGACAACTCGACGGATAATTCGACGGAGATCGCAGCCAACACCGACGTGTAATTCCCTTTATATCTATATACACCCGGAAAGCGCGCAAGATGTTCTGGAAATCGCTCGGAAAGTGTCCCGGATGTATCTTGGAGGGCATCCAGGGCGTTCTCGGGTCGTCTCGTGCTATCTGGATATGTTGCTAAAATAGTTGGTTTCTACTACACTGAGAAAAAATTGTATTAAAATTAAATAAATATTTGCTTGAATACGATTGTGAAAACATTTATTCGAATTAAGCGATTAATTTCTAAAATACAATACAGAGGTTCTCTGAATGTAAACTTTTTTCTTGAATTTTAGAAAATAATCGCTTAATTAAAATAAATGTATTCACAGTCGTATTCGAACAAATATTTGTTTAATTTATAAATACAATATTTTCTCTCAGTGTATGTCATCTCGTGATCACCCCATGATAAAAAAGAAACAGTTGATATAAATCTGCTGAGATTAGAATAACAGTAAAGAAAAATGCCCTCCTAACGGTAATTCTCTCGCCACGTGATTATATAGTTTTCTTTTTTCAGTCTGTGTGTTTCGATATTTACATGTTTAAACTAACTAATAAGATTTACATGTTTACACTCTCCAGAGAGAAAGAAAGAGAAATATTTTCAAAATGTGTATTTTCTCCCTTTCAGGTACGTGATAAAAGCCGTGGTTTACGAGATTGGGATCCTTACAGACACGGACAATACAACGGACGAGAGTACCGAGAGGTAACATCGTCGCGTTTTTCTTTGCTTTTCGTTCAGGGTTGGGAAAGTTACTTTATAAAAATATCTAGTTACAGTTATAATTTTTTTTTACTGAAAAAGTAACTAATTACAATTACAAGTTAATGACCTTCAAAAATAACATTACAGTTATAGTTATTTAGAAAGTAACGAGTTGTTAGTTCAGTTACTTTTTTACAATAATTGTACTATTGTTTTAAATCTTGTAATTGTGTAAATTCCTTCAATTTTATATAAAAGTAGTTTGTTGATTATTATATTCCTCATATTGTATATAACTTTTACAAATTAGTTTCATTAATTTAAATAAGCAATTTATAGTTATCTTTTAAGACTATTAATAACAATTATAAGAAATTGAATGAATTTGATGAGGATAATAAATACTAAAAATACTAAAATACAAAAATATAAAAAATAATCTTAATATCAAAAGTTAGATTTTTTCACTAAAAAATATATTGACATTTTATAAATAAAGACTTATTAATAATAAATTCTTATATTTTTTTAAATTCGCAGTTGAAGTTCTACTTACATGAATGATTCTTTTGCCACCGTAAATTTTACAGAGAAGTGCAAAATGCAAAAAAAATCTATAAAATGCATTTTATCCTTGTTTTACATCTAATGAATGATAAGGCCTAGTCTACAATATGTGTTGTAAGCTGTAAACCGTAAGAACTAACCAATTATAACCGATTATTTTTGTAATAATCGACTGTGATTCGCCAATTCTTACGGCTTACAACTTACGACACGTATTGTAGACCAGGCCTTAAGATAGATGATGCAATAGCGCGTTTTCTAAATGCAACCAGAATAACTGTATGCTTATTGAATATCAAGCATCGCACGTCGCCTTATTGTGTTGGTCTGCCAGAAACTTCAGTTTGAAATATATAAAGTAACTGTTAAAGTAACTACCCAGTAAACACAAAGTATCATTGATGTTACAGTGTCAGCTAAATCATATGGTATGTTACGTAACTGTTATTTTGTTATATAACAAAGCAATTGTTATGTAACATAACATATGATTTAGCTGACATTGTAACATCGATGATATTTTGTGTTTATTGTGGGTATTAAATTAGTTAGTTAGTTCATCAAATAAATATAACTAAGATAAGTTACAGTTATAGATGAAAAACGGAACAATCTTAGGTTATAATTATAAAAAAAAAATAACTATAACTGTAACTTCGTTACAAGTAACGAGTTACTTCTCAACCCTGCTTTCGTTCTCTCGCACCGACGATCATCGCCCCAATCAGCGGACAATATTTTTATAACGTTTTCAAATATTTATTTTACATCTTTTTACAACATTTCTTCCATTCATTGCGCAGAAAATGTTTATTTAACGTTTATTCGATGTACGATTTACATTAATTCTTTATTTAAAATGTTTAAAAAAAAATTTATTTAACGTTTATTTTATATTAATTCTTAATTTAAAATGAAATGATTAAGAAAAAATATTTATTTAACGTTTATTTAATATTTAATTTACATTAATAAAACTCATTCGAAATTAATTTTTATGTTTCAAAAATATTTTTTAAATGTTTTTTTAACGTTTTCAAAAATATTTTTTTCTGATTGAGGTCGGACGCTGTTGACTGATTCTTACCGTCTTACAGACACGAGAGAGTCGACATATCGTTGTACGACCCGCCATTCCTGGACGACGAATTCTCGTGAAACCGTGAACGACGCTCCGCCTCGAAGCGAGAACGAGGCAGACACGCTTGACATTTGCGTCTGTAAAGTAAGAACGAAAATGACAGATAACACTGCTGAACACAAAGACTGCACAAGACGAGTGATACTTTTCGTCCGCATGTAGCATAGTAAGTTATTGATAATTGCGTAGAGTAGCACGTAGAGATTCGATCAACGGAGGATCGAGACGCGAATCAGCGCGAGGCATGTACGATATGTAACGCAATGTCTTTGTAAAAGGATCTCCTTATTAAACTGCGACGACACGACGAAACGAAAAATACTTTGGGATTTAGAACAATGTTTTATTATTATTTTATCATTTAATTATGAACAATATCTCGTGTACAACGCTATAAACACATTGCTGCTGCAAAACCTGCGAGGCAGAAGAAAGTCGCGGAACAATCAGGTAACATAATTCGCAGAATTGTCTCAGTTTCTCGGAGAATGACAAAATACATATCGATAAGTATGTAAAGGTAGCTCGGTCGAAGCGTGCGCAACACGTTTGTTTTCGTTTTTCTTTTCACCTCTTTTGCTTTCCCCCTGCAATTTTAAACGCTATTTTATCTTCTGGAAGATCTTCGTGAAAGACTTTAACAGTCGCTTAAACGTACGTATGTACAAATCTTTCCGCTTCCTTTCCGCTTCTATTGAGATGCAAGTAAGCGCGCAAGTTTGTCGAGAGCTCCCGGCTGCTAATGCGATATCACGTATAAATTTCGACCGAATATTATGACAAAAGGTAATAAAAATACACGATTCTTCCCCTCTCTCTCTCTCTCTCTCTTTCTCTCTCTCACACTCTCTCTCGTCTTTCTTCTCCTGCTATCGCATCGTTGCACTAACGTACGCTCAGTTAGACAGTAGGCACTGCACCTAAGTACCTTTGCCTTATCGAAAGAATAAGCAAAAGCACCAGTTCGCGAAATACCGGTCTTACAGTATTGTGAACGGCGTTTCACGAGTTTGAGTTCTCTCCTTCCCTCACGTCTCTCCCTGTCTCTCTCTCTCTCTTTCTCCATTTCTCGCCGCGTTCGTTCGCTCGCGACAATGTGTGAACGTGTCCCGTGAAATCAAATTCAAACGTCGAGCGGAGGTGATCAAGCGCAGGCGAAATCCCCCTTCGACGCTTCTCTCTTTCCTTCCATTCCCTCTTTCTCTCGTCGACGTCGCGACGTTCGTCCTTCCTTTCTCTCCCCTTTCCGTCGCCGCTCCTCCTTTCTTTTGAGTAGAGACCAGTTCATCAGTTACGTATAAATAACAGTTTTACTCTTAACAATACAGTCGTAAAATATACGCGGGAGGGACTTCACTTTCGCGGGGGAGGGGGGAAGGGGATACCTGTGGGCGCATCAGCCATCCGAAAAAGGGTGGTGGGGTGTAGGGTGGGGATTCGAGAGAGGGCAGGACATACTTAGATATTTATATGTATATGTAATAAACATCAAATTATATTCGCTAAACGGTAGTTGAGCGTCGATGGTAGGTTCGGCATTCGTATTGTTTTTCTTTTCTTTATTTTCTTCGAGATATACCCTGCAACGGGACTGTACTGTGCCCAGCGTCAACACTCTCCTCTTTCTGTTTTCCCTTTTGGTTTCCTTTTTCATCTCAGTTTTTAAAGCACATAATCAACACGTGGTGTCTAATGAAAATAGAGGCGTAATATGCTCCGATCGTTCTTGTACGACTCGATACTGATATGATTTTCTCTTCCTATTGCCATATCTCGTCTAACATAGGCAGGGCGGGTGGGGGGAGGGCGGGTGGATGGGGGACAATGTTTCACTTGGCGTCTTTCGACGTTGGCGCGGAGTCGGCGGGGGGCGTGCTGTTCGGAGCCTGATGGTCGACCGGCGGCGGCAGCGGTGGCTCTTCGCTCGCGGCTGTTGCGTTCTTCATGTTGTCTGCCGTTGTCGCAGCCGTGGCTTCCTCCGCGCTCTTGACATCGCTAGAACGAGCAAGGCGGACTTTTTACGAATTATTCCAGCGTCGACGCTAATAGACGTTATAAATACCTGTTGGCAACCGGCGGCTTGCTGGGATTAGCATTCTTGTCCTCGTCGCTCTTGCTGTTGAGATTGGTTTCCGCATTGGACGGCACGACCGGCCCAGTTACCTCGACATTCGCCGTATCTGTGCTCTTTTCGTCGCCGTCTACGACGCTGCTCTCGCTGGTAGTCGTGTCCTTCTCCTTCAGATCCGTCGCCGCTTCCGACATCTTCTCTTTGAGCTCGTCGTCGCACTGCTTCTTGTCCTCGCTCGCGGCGTTCTCTATGCTTAAGGAATTCTCGAAGTTGTCGAAGTTGGCCCAGCCGGTGGACTCCACTGGCTCCGACGGCACCACATCCCACGGATTGACCGGCGGAAGTGCGGTATTGGAAGTCAACGGCTCGGTAGTGTCCCAAGCTGCAATTTCGAGAGAGAGAGAGAGAGAGAAAGAGGGACGTTGAAGTCAACCGACGACCTGCGTGCGAGCGGAAGGTGGGGATACGCGGAAAAACGAGAAACGTACGGTCAGTCGTGTCGACTTCCATGTGCATGTCGCGCGCGTCCTCGTCGTCCTCGTCCGACGAACTGGAGTCCTGATGCTGTTGCTTCGAATGCCAATCCCGCTTGTCCACCACAGTCTGGAACGTTAGCTCGCCCTCATCGCCCCATTCCACTCCACCGCCGCAATCCTCGAGACCAGCTTTCTGCTTTTGTTGGCACAGCTTTAACAGCGTCGGCAAACAGACGCGATCAATTAACGTGAGTTAACGCGAGCGCGTGGCGATCTTATACGGCAATGATCGAGGAAGTCTATCTACCTTATTGAACATATCTTCTCGCTTGTCGAGATCTTCTTCACTGAGAGTAAAGGCCAACGTTGTTAATTGGTCAACTGGATTACTATAATATCATTCTTCTTAACGAAAATAACAGGGGAGGAACGACAGTGGCGATACTACGTCGCAATGTTTCTCTTAACGCGTGCGTTTTCTCGATTCTCTCTGTCTCTTTCTACATGACAAGGCTGTACAATCGCGTTTAGGACAAACTAGGTGCTAGCCTAGACACAAGAGACGTGATCGCGTAGTACTTACTGGAGCGCATCATCGCCGTCGTTGAACTCATCGTCGTGGAACCCAAAATTCTCGATAAACGGTGGTGTGATTTGCTGGCCCTGATAGTTGGTGTACATCTAGAGCCAAGATTACCACCACCAGTAAGAAGTAAGTCACAATATACGACAGAAACTTATCGTAGCGTACCTGCTGGATGTACGCCTCTTGCGAATAAGAGTTGTATTCATCCGGATTCTCATCGGAGTTCATCAGGTACACTTGATTCTGATCACCCTGGAAATTCTATCATTATTGCAATCACACGTTACTTGTCATGGCATCGGCAAGATTTACAAAAGGTGATATTAATGTAGGCATACGCATATCTATGCAGAATGCACCGTTGTACGTACCATCATTACAGTTTGATGAATCTTATTGATCTCCACCAACTGTGTACTCACAAGCTTCTCCCACTTACTAAGACACTCGGATGACAGATTATTCTTCAAGAAGCTGTTCAATATATTACTCTTCTCGCACTGACTGACGATATCGTTCGCGATATTTATCAAATGTCCCATATACCCCTGCCGAACACCATTTTCTTTGTTCCTGCAATATGAGTGCATGTCGAAAACGTGCAAAGTTTGTATATAAGATATTTAAGAGCGCGAGACTTATAATGATTGATCTGTACGAATTGTACTCTTACTGTTTACTCTCGTTCTTGTCCCAGGCTTCTAAAATTCTGTCTATTAATTTGCACTTGATAAATATCTGAAAATCAACGCAACGTGGTTATTTTCAGTGCATTCCAATGTGATGGCAGTTTTCCGTAATAAAAAAAAAATAAAATGCGACTCACATTACTATAAATAATATCATTAGTATCCCGATGTCCGCAATTAATAGCTAAGGCCAGGCACTGTTGTACTTGTGTGTGTAAAAAATTATTCCACGTATACTTGAAAAACAGATCCTGCGAAATTTGAGGTACACTTCAGTAAAGTAACGCACAACAGTTACAACGTAAGATGAATTTTCAAGATCGTGCGGCGTATCCTCACCAACAATGTTTGGAATGTTCCCAAATTTGCTAAACTTTCATGGATCTTTAAATTCTCCGTCGACAATAATGCCATTAACAATTTCGCTACATGTAAACGAGTATTTCCCAATGGACATTCTAAAAGTCCGACGGTTGTCTTCACTGCAGGTTTCTGAATAATGCAGAGAGAGATTTACAGAGATATTTTCTTAAAATAGTACAGAAATAAAGTACAGTTGCGTTTAGGCACAGCAGTGATACAAGACGGGAAAAATGCCCGTGGAAAAATGTATCAAGCGTCTCTTACGTATGGTGGATCTAGAAGAAGTTTATGAAGGTGCTCCAGATATGGTAGAGTTGCGTCCGAAATTTTAATACGTTGCTCATTGTCCGCGACATCCTCGCTGTAAATATGTACGTCCCCCTCGTTCAACGCACTGCGGCAAACGAAGACAACTCTTTAATGTACCGTTGATCTCAACATTGTTAAATAAATTAAAATAATAAATTTCATTAAATATACTCGTCGTACTTGTTAGCCTTTTGTCCTAGAAGTACCAAAAGCACCTGTATTCCACCGATGATACTACTTTCTAGTTTTTCTCCTGTTAAGATAGTCTCTAATAATAGGCTCACAGTTTCCCCTCTGTGGAAGAGAAACACATGTGATTCGAGTCGGTTCTCCAGAGTGGAATAATGTGGCTAAGATTTGCAACCACACGGTGAGATGTACTTACGATTCTAGAGTATTTAAAATAGGATCTGGATCGGCGCGTTCTGTGGATGTACGTTGAGTATCCCTCGCCGCCATCACCATATCACAAAGTAATTGCGCCGCGTTAGCGTGTTTGGCTGGTTCTGAAGTAGGTGCTAACAATTTTACCAGTCTCTGCACTAAATGTTGACTATCTAACCACTATCGAAGAAGCAGGTGTATATAGAAGAGGTAATACAGCTGTACATCATGTTCCAGTATGACAGAAATATTTCTATCATACTAATTATATGTCGTACAAATAATTTCCAAGTCTTACGTTCAATATGTTTTGACGCATATCACTACCTTCCACCTGAGTAACAAGTTTTAGCACTAAGTCCATAATAGCAGAAGTCTCTAAGTGTCGCAACAGTAGATCTACACATTTCTGACGACTTTTAAGAAACTCTAAAACCTGTAAGCATGTGAACTGATAGGAATACCAATTCTGGAATAGACAGGAATATGCAGGATAGACAGATGTGTAGGCGACATAGGAAAGGTAAGAGGGAAAAGATGATTTATTATTTACCTAATATTGTTTTGCTAATGGGTTTAAGTGATATCTATTTCAAAGGAAGTTATCATGGCACAATTAACCAATCAGATAATTATGTGAAGTGCATGTTATCATGATACAGATATCATTCATTATGCGCTGATATATCTCTCATGTAAAAGTAAAATTTGTATATAATCACCTGATCACTTTTACGAGCAACAAGTACTCCAAGAGTTTTACTGAAAAATGATGCAAGTAGTGGATTTAATGGCTGATCAGTATCTATGAAAGAATATAATTTGGCCAAAAGTGCCTCGTCACCTGAAACAGGTTTTGAGGATACAATGTAGTTGTTGCAGGACTGAGAAGCTGCGCGATCATTCACTATACATAATAAAATGTTTCCAAATACCTGCCAGTTTCTCATTCAATGTAGGCACATCACATGTGAGCAACTCGCAGGCAACATTAGGATACTTATAACGCCAACGTTCTTCGATGTCCATGGATGGTTCTTTAGTAGTTAATGTCACTAATTCTTCCATAACAGCGGGCCTTGTTAAACTATCAACCACACATTGTGTTTAATCGTTCGTATAAAAAATGCTACAACCAAATATCCAACACAAAGACCCAAAAGTAAACATCAACTACTTACTACTCGACCAGCTTTTTGTTCTGGCTCTTACATTCCTGCAAAATATCCTCCTCATCCATCAGCTCGTGTAACGTGACATCCTGCAAACACAAATTACAGATTAAGTCAGAAACGCTCATCTACGATGATACGCTGGTGGGGGCGTGAAGGGGGAGGTGGAACACGCAATCGTTTGAGGAAACACTCGAGAGTGGCGGAAAAATGACCACTTGCCTCTTTGTTGAGCAATGCCTCGATATGCGGCGATGACACGTAATTATTCGTCCAGAACATGATGATGCGCGGACGTGCCTGCTGCTGCTACGGCGGCGGTTTACCTGATTACCGTGGCGATTTACCGAAGCACGGAGTGACGATCGCACTCACATCGGAGTGGCGCGTAGACGCGCTGGAAAAATAATGTAACACGTCGCGCGAGTATTCTCAATTGTGCGGCGGCGGCTAACATCGCATGCACGCGTATATCAATTCCTGCTCGATTCCTTCCGCCGCGTCGCGGCCGTCGCGACACACCGCCGTTGTCTCCACTGTCGTCACCACTGCCAGCGAACCGCCTCTGGAACCACCACCTCCGTACGCGAACCACCACTTCCTCTCGTGACCTCGTTCGTGACTCGCCACGGGCACGTCGTAGCCGTTAGAAAGTGACGACCTGACGATTCTCCGCGATCTCAACACGGTGCTCTGATCCCGCACGGATTACCTCGGAACGTGGATCTGCCTGCCACGAAATGAGCGCGGTTGCACGGACGCTCTCGGGCGCGAACGGACGCGCAAGCGCGGAAACTCGTTCCTCCACTCGTCCTTTCTTCCCGGAGGGCTGTTCATTCCGGTTGCACTGTGCTGCACTTTTGACTTTCGAACGATCGACTCGGATCGATCGATAAAAATGTGTGCGATCGACGGAGCGATGTTGGTCTCTGATAATCAATTGCATCTCAAGAGCATTGAAAGTAGTCGATCATTTTTTAACTTTTTTCAAACCATTTGATGTCCAGTCAATTATCATTGACTGATATTTAATGACGTTTATGGACTTACCGTTAGAAGATTGATTGAAGGAGATAACTATGGCTACGTTCCGAAATCGACTGCCAGTACTGAAAATACATAGTTTGTGTCACGTATACTATAGATTTTCAGTACTGGCAGTGAATTTCGGAACGCAGCCTATAAAGAGTGAGAGAGAGAGAGAGAGGGGGAGAAAGGAAAAAAGTTAGGCAGCTTAATTGTTGAATTATACTACTTGGAAAGAGAAGATTTGTTTCTTCTTCTTTTATCGTACTGTGACCCCCTCTCTCTCTTTCTCAATTTTGGCTACAGACGCCAGTTAGGCCTGGCTACAATACGTGTCGTAAGTTGTAAGTCATAAGAATTGGCGAATCACAGTCGATTATTACAAAAATAATAAGCTGTAATTGGTCAGTTCTTATGGCTTACAGCTTACAACACATATTGTAGACCAGGCCTTAATAAGGGGTGCATTCCGTTTCGCGCATATTTTTTATAGGATATGTGACATAAACTATAGATAAATGCGCGCATATGCGTGAAACAGAACGCACCCAAGGTTAAGCCATGGACTAAAGCCCGTATCAGACTATGGATTGGAATTGAGATTGGATTAAAATTTGACCAACTGGAAAAAAAAAATAATCTGAAATATAATAAACTTAGTCCTGATTGGTTAAATTACAATCTAATACTCAATCCCAATCCGTAGTCTGATACGGGCTTAAAGAATAGAAGGATGGAGCATAAAAACATTATTTGGGCGAAAGGAGTGTAAACTCAGATATGCGGAGGAATTGCTTCCCGCCATATTGGTTTCTACCAGTTCACAAATAGACACGTACTGTGAAATGTTGTGATTAAAACCGTGTTCCAAAATTCACTGCCAGCACTGAAAAGTTATAGTTTGAGTAACATAAACTATATATTTTCAGTATTAGCAGTGAATTTTGGAACACGGCCCATGTATGCGGCGGTAGAGCTGCAACAAATACTGCGGTGCGAATTAGGACACAAGCCTGCGACGCGATTCTTTAACTTATTGGAGTTAACGACACTTTCGTTATTGTTGCGCAGCTTTTGTATACCGGAGAAAAGCTGCGCAACGATAACAAAACTGTCGTTAACTCCAATAACGAGTTAAAGAATCGCACCATTACCGCGATTCTGTAACTCGTTATTGGAGTTAACGACAGTTTCGTTATCGTTGCGCAGCTTTTCTACGGTATACAAAAGCTGCGCAACGATAACGAAAGTGTCGTTAACTCCAATAACGAGTTATAGAATCGCACCACAGTACCGCGATTCTGTAACTCGTTAATGGAGTTAACGATACTTTCGTTATCGTTGCGCAGCTTTGTATAGAAACTTTTGTATAGAAAAGCTGCGCCACGATAACGAAAGTGTCGTTAACTCTAATAACGAGTTAAAGAATCGCACCACTGGGGCTCGATTCTTGACGGCGTGCGAGTGAGATGCGTATGCGAAAATGTACAGTTCGCGTCATATATATTAGGTTGTTCGGAAAGTTCGTTTCAAATTTCGCGCGCTCCACATTTGTATGTAATCAGTACACAGATGTCTATACTATACTAGATTGCTAACTTCGATCTTTGACCTATACAAGAGTGTCCCGCCTATTTTCCGGTTCGGCCATGAAGACCGCCAAACATGGCGGCGGTGTGTGTTTGTAGTGTGTACGTGAGTATCCGATGCGTATGTAGTAGTGCTGTACTGTAAGTATGTGATACCTGATGTGTCTACACTGATGTGTCGTATCTACTGCTATTTATATTAGTAAAACTGCAAATATATAAACGAGATAATGCCAAGTACATGTTGCATTGTTAATTGCAATAATACGAATAAAAAAGGATATCATTTATTTAAGTAAGTAGAATACATTTATATATAATAAATGTTCGAGGTTTGTAATATGTGAGGGTTATCTTGCAATTAAACATTGTTAATATTTCAGATTTCCGATAAAACGTCCAGAGATTTTAAAAAAATGGATTTGTGCAATCGGAGGAAATTTTACACCAAAAAAACACCATGTAATCTGTAGTGCTCACTTTTTACCTACAGATATCATGGAAAAAGCAAATATAAGTAGTGTTCTATTAAAAAATTTGGCTGTGCCATCAATAGCTCTGAGAGCTCCTGCTTGTGACACTGTTCCTGCAGTGGAATGTAATAGTGATCCTCTGATGCAACCTGTTACGAGTTCCATGATGGAATGTGATACTATTCCTGCGATAGAATATATTGCAGCTTCTACATCTACAGTAAAAAATATGTCATCAATTGTGTGGAGAAGTATATTAAAAGAGAAAATAGAAAACGCAACAGTTCTTGCTTCAATTCCATCACCGAAAACACAACCTGCAAATGTTACTGGTGGTATTGCAAAACTGCCCAAGCAAAAATCAATTAAAATCATGAGCAATTCACTTATATTAATTAAGAAGAAGCAGGAAATGAGTCCACGGAAAAAGCACATGTTGAGAATAATCAAAACAATGAAGCAAAAGCTAAAGAGAAAAGAAAACAAAATTAATTCATTGGAAAATCTATTACAAACTCTACGGTATAATTAAAAATTACTCTGTAAAATATTACAGTAATATAATTGTTACATATAATTTTCCATTTAACAGTGTAAGCATAATATAACACATATTATGCACCAGGTTTAGTGTTTAGGTTTAGGTTTTAGTGTTAAGTAGAACATTATAACTAACAGTTATTGTTACTTTGTATTTACTGGGTATAATGTACACTGAAAAAAGAATTTGACCATAGTTGTCAAAATGTAGTAAAATAATACTGCTACGAAGGATTTGAAATAGGTAGAGATAGGCCACACCGTTTGCAATTAATAAATATTATTTGTCATATGTACTTAACACTTAAAATGTATTCACTTACAAAAACAACGAAAGATAGAAATCCTGCAAGTAACAGACACAAATTTATAAAATTAATATTATTTAATAACACATAAGTTGCATTTTATTCTTTATGTATGTAAAAAATATTAATACAAATACTTTGACATATTTTGAACTGTATATATTCAATTTAATTTTAACCTTTACCAAACACTTAGATTAGCAACACCTTATTAATACACACATCTTTAAATGATATTCTTTCTTGTTCGTATTTTTGAAATTTACAATACTTATTCGGCATTATCTCGTTTGTAGATTTGCAGTTTTACTAACATAAATAGTAGTAGACACATCAGGTGTCACATACGCACTACCACGCACTACTACATACGCATCGGGTATTCACATACACACTACAAACACACACCGCCGCCATGTCTTGGCGGTCTTCATGGCCGAACCGGAAAATGGGCGGGATACAGCTCTTTTGAGAAGTTCAATCTAGTATAGTATAGACATCTATGAATCAGTAAGAACGAGGGCGCTCTAAACGATTTTATGTTTGTCAACAAACATTCCCGGATCTATGAGCCCGCTAAGGAAACTTCGCAGATCTTCCTAAGTGCGACTATTTCGTCAGAAATCAGTTTGAAAAATGAAGAACCAAAAAGTCCATTTTCGTCATGTGATGCTATATTGCTTTAAACGTGGCTTCACGGCTTCGCAGACCCTGAATGAGATATTCTCAGTATATAGAGATGCCTGCGTCACTCACCAGACAGTTCGAAAATGGTATCGAAGATTCGAAGCTGGCGATTTCAACATGGAAGATCAAGCTCGCTCAGGCCGGCTTCAGGAGGTTGATGAAACGCTTCTTATGGATCTCGTGCACGAAAATCCTTGAGTGACAGTTAGAGAACTCGTCGACACTCTGCACAAGTCTGTTTCCACCGTGCATGACCATCTGAAGAAGCTAGGATTCTCAAGTCGACTGGATGTGTGGGTGCCACACGAAATGAATGAACGGCAGTTGCTGGAACGTGTGAACGTCTGCGATATGCTGCTTCAACGGCACCAAAAAGAACCGTTCTTGAAGAGGATCATAACAGGCGATGAAAGTTGGATCCTATACAATTATGTTAGCCGCAAGAGGTCGTGGGGAACCAGCGACGCGTCTACGTAAACAGTGGCCAAGCCGGGGCTTCACGAAAAAGGTTCTTCTGAGTATCTGGGATTTTAAGGGCGTGGTATATTATGAGCTTCTTCAACCAAACGAAACCATCAACGCGGCGAAGTACAGCCTTCAACTGGACGAACTGAAGACTGCCATCGCACGGAAGCGCCCTGAATTGGCCAACAGGCGTGGAATTGTTTTCCATCATGATAACGCCAAACCTCACGTCTCAATGTCTATCCGTAGGAAGCTGTTAGACTTTAAATGGGACGTTCTTCCTCATCCTCCATATTCTCCCGACCTTGCCCCATCTGACTACTATCTATTTCTTTCTTTAAAAAATTTTCTTCGGGACAAGAAATTCGAGTCTTTGAAAGTCTTCAAAAGTCATCTTGATAAATTCTTCGCCAATAAGAAACCTTTATTTTGGAGCAAAGGCATCATGCAGCTTCCTGAAAGATGGGCCAAGGTCGTTGAACAAAACGGTACATATTTGCTTCAATAAAGTTCCTCTTTGTGTAAAATATTGCGCTCTTAATTTATTTCAAAAATTTGAAACGAACTTTCCGAACAACCTAATAATATAGATTTTCGCATGCGTATCTCATTCGTACGCCGTCAGGAATTGAATCCTTGGGGCCAGAGCACAGACTTCTGCATAACGCATAATACACAACGCATAAGAGAATCAACAAATCAGAGTTCTTCATTTCTGTCCTGAGGAGAGAAATGAAGAAAACTAATTGGTTTATTCTCTTATGCGTAATGTATTATGTGTAAAGGCTCGTTTACAATAGCTATAAGAGTTAGGGCAAGAAACTAATTGGTTTATTTATATGCGTAATGTATTATGTGTAAAGGCTCGTTTACAATAGCTGTAAGAGTTAGGGCAAGAACACAGGCTTTTGCATAACACATAATACATAACGTATAAGAGAATAAACCAATCAGAGTTCTTCATTTCTGTCCTGAGGAGGGAAATGAAGAAAACTAATTGGTTTATTCTCTTATGCGTTATGTATTATGTGTTATGCAAAAGCCTGTGCTCTTGCCCTAAGGCTGTAAGGCTGTAACGTAAGCTGTCAGCGAATAAAAATATTTCATTTCGTGTCTTGCAACCTTACAGCTATAAGCCCCTTGCACAATGCCAGGCAACAGGCAATAAGAATAAAAATAGACCAATTACAATAGATTATTCTTGTAATAGTCGATTGTGATTGATCTATTTTTAAAAGTTAATATTTTATAGCAAAATATTTAATTGTATAGTGCCAGGGTGTCCAATAACGAAATATATAAGATAAAATATCTAAATATTTAAATAAATTACAAATTAGAATTTCTTAATTAAATAAATTAGAAAATATTTAGAAATGTTTAAAGATTCATTCATATATTGTCATTTATTGTACTTTTATTTATTAAAATGTACTAAATAAAAATGTTGAATGTAAAACAATATATAATGTGATTTTTTATAATTTTATGAGCGATATTTTTATGTAAGTTTTATATTTAAGATCGTCTTAAATTTATTCTTAAATACTTCCTAGTCAATAAAACTATCCGTACAGCGTCTAAAAATGAACTTAAGGTAATTATATTAAAATATAAGATTCGACTGTAAATACTGGTTTAAATTTTATTTTGAGGCTGCGGTCTACTTAACGCTACAAATGCATTGAAACGTTAAATGGACCGCAATAGGAGAAACGAATATGGCGACCCCTCCATCTCCGCGGGAATATTACCCCGCTATAGTGTGTGCTCCCGGCTCCGTTTCCCTATTCCTTAGTCCATGGTTGACCTTGGCCGACCGGTAATAATCTGTCTCGGATATTTTATTCAGGCCACGTCAAACGCGTTAATTTAAAAGATGGTACGTAAAAAACTGTCAATTTTTATTTGGATGATAATTATGTAATGAGCTCTTCCTCAATTATTGGAGATTAATTTGAAATTTATTTTCCAATATTGTGGCAACTTACATTTCTGCAATGTGCTGCAAAAGACTAAAAAATATTGAGTGTAGATATGTATATATAAAAAAGGAATATTTTCCATTAATGATTCAACTACCTGATTAATTTAGGTGGAAATCGAATCAATGACAAGATATGTATCACCCGTGAATCCGGCTGTCTTTCCACTGCTGGCGGTGGTACTACTAGGGATTGGAATATTCTTTACTGCTTGGTTCTTTGTATACGAGGTCACAAGTACCAAATTCACACGAGACATATTCAAAGAACTCTTAATCTCCTTAGTCGCTGCGATATTTTCTGGTTTTGGAGTATTGTTCCTACTGCTCTGGGTTGGGATTTATGTATAGGTAATGTCGACAGATATATCTTAATATCTTTAACCCTTTCGATACGGCTATGTCGTTCGCGAGTATGCTTCCGCTGTACGGATACTCGAGTCGTGAATAAGATTTTTTGTACAGGCCAGTTATAACCGTACATTTTACCATAGAGTGCGTATAACATTTGATATTCGGTAAAATAATGTAAATTACAGATAAATTGTTCGTCAAGGATGAGATATTACAATGTAATATATTTTAAATTATTCAGATTTAAAAAATTGTTTAATAATATACTTTCGATGATGAGTGACTATAGTTACCCGTAGGACACAGTGAGTGTGCAATGATGGGTGACTATAGTCACCTGTAGGATACAGTGAGCATACGATGATTGGTGACTACAGTAACCTGTAGTATCGAAAGGGTTAACAAGATACTTACATTGTAATTACCAGAAAATCTATTATTACAGGTTAAATTGAGAAATTTCAGTGTATTTGTTTTAGCTTAAGTTAACTGATGAAAGAGAAAACAAGTACACTTGATGGCGTTTAAGTAAAACTACAAAAAACATTTTTAAGCTTTATTACCATACTATAGTTGAATAAACACATCTGAGTATTTTGTATGTTGCGCATAAATTTATTTCACTCTTTATCACAATGAAGGCATGAAGTTCGCGAGGTATATAGCGACTTGTGTTGCACCTTGAGAAAAATAAGGATTCATATTTATCTTCCGCATTCAGCGCCAAGTGCAGAATGTGTAAAGCACAGTATCATAGTAATGATATAGTTCTGTGAAAAAATGAAGATTTATACCTATACTCGAATGTGCGTAATTACTGTAACTGCATCATTCGTGTTTCATTCAACATCCTTTCTTCCTTAAAACACAGTTTTCCTCTCGCTGCATCACGAGCAGAAGACAATGTTTATTGTTGATAAAACAATCTCCCAAAATCATATATGCTCCACTTTCATAGCGTATTATATTTTGTAATAAAATGGAATATTGCAACTCTAAAACGATGCACGCGAGAAAAATCTTAGCCGGCCAAACCAGCTTTTTGTCGACATCTCTGCATCAATGCCCGCAGCATGAATTGCCTGCGCGACAACTGTCGGACTTGCTTCAGGAACGCGTCCAAATCGATGATGCCAGACCGAAGTCCCTCAGCGAGATAATATATCGCATCCTCCGTGGCTGCTTCTTCGGCGAAAGCGTTTAACATCCTGGAGATGAAGAGTAACATCAGAATCGAACGTATTCATAATTTTACTTTAGTCTTAATCAATTTCTAATCTGAGCTACATATCGAGTTGTTACACGTTATACGCATAAATCAATGATGGAAAATATATATTTATCTTATACATTAACATACATTATAAACTTATATACTCACTGTTTATACAATGGTGCTATGGTAGTAACAGCTTCGTCGACATCTATCGATTGGTTATCAGACAACTTGGAGATCTCCTTCTCTAACTCCGCCTCTTTATCCTGCAAGATATTTACATTCTTCTCGAGTTCCTGTTTCTCTCTCTTTAATTTCTCGAACAAATCAGAAAGATGCGACGAGCCGCTCGTTAGCTCTTGCTGCGTCCGCCGCAGCGTCTCCAGCTCGGCCTGCAGCTGCGAGAACTGCTCCTTTAAGCGTCGCCGAAGCTTATCCTCCACTGCAGACAGCAGGGACGCTCTTATGTGCTCCTCTGTGATCGTGCCGGAACTGCCGGAACCAGGTTGCACCGTTGGTGACTTGGAAAAGATATTCAATAACGCTCCATCAATCCCATACATGATTTACAACTTTATATAAAGTAATTAAATGCGATATTGATTTAATATTAATTAGAAATATTAAAGTTAAATAAATGTCGTAACAGTAGCTAAGAGGCGATATCTTGTATCTGCAAAAATGTAACTCTGGATTCTTTTCTTCTGACTTGTTAAAAATTTTGTACCTTTGCTCGGAATCTTAGCTAAAGAATGCAGAAAAAATTCGATCGCGTTTGGAACAAAATGAAAACTCCATACAGTTTTTTTGTTTCTTTTGAAAACTTCCAATTTCGTAGATATGAAGTATCATTTCCAACTACTGATAAATCAGAATAAATCGTGATACCGGTTGCGTGGATGGCGGATACGGTGGATATGAACCAGTGTAACCCTGCGTCGGATAACCGGAAGTGTTTCCTGCATAAGAGCCGTAAGAGCTTGGATACGGGAAGCCCGATGATGCACTAGTTGGATATGGTGGATACACATTGCTGCTGCTAGAATATTGGGAATTTGCTGGGTACGGCGGAAAACCAGAGCCAGACACGTTTCCACTACCCGGCACAGGCATGAATGCTACAACCAAAGAGATTCCAAAAAAATGTCATATAGAACACTGAAAATGAAATTGGATTATTAATTCTTCTTTTTTCCTTTAACCCTTTGAGCGCGCACACACATCTGGTGAAAAATACCAAAGGCATACAGGTGCAAATTTGCACTCTTGTTTTCTACCAGATATGTGGGCTCAAAGAGTTAACCTCTATATATATGAAGTCTACTCACGTTGAACAGGATATGGCGTAGAAGTGGACTGCTGTATCTCCATCTTTGACTTGGCATAAACTGGAGGCTGTTCTCCAAAAGTAACGATCATTACTTGGATTAAAGCAAGCAAATCAGAATTATGCTGTAAAAGAGAAAGAGAACTATGATACAGGAACTATAAGACTACTCAGAAGAATTATCAATTTAGTAGATCCTCTAATTATATGATTCTCTAGTAGTTTTAAAGAATGTACCAAATTATTATATATTCTTAGCAACCAGCAATGATAATTAATCTACTCACAGGTACCCAATCATGAAGATATGGCAAGTAGATTTTGCCATTGTGATCCACAAACATACTGACTTTGATGTTCATGTCTGCGGTTGGTTTGACATAACACATGGGTGCATTATTAGGATGTGTGTCCATCAACCATATGCATATTGGAATGTTATAGTAGGCACCTATATTGTGAAAAATATATAAACAAATGAACCCAATGAATATAGTATATCATCCACAAGGAGATTACCTTTATAAGCAACAGGTATTGTTCCTTGTAAATTGATCAATTCCTTACGGGAGCCATCATTGAAGACTGGTATCAAATAAAGTCAGTTTAGTAGTGAAACAGAATCAAGTATTGCCTCATATTTGAGATCATTGTCATTGCAATTTTACTCACCAAAGGGCTCGATCTCATACTGCAAGCCTTTGTAAAGATTCAGGACACTCACTACATGCTTTTTGGTTATATCTGGATTTTGATACTGAAAGATAACATTTTTCCTTGTACTATTATTGTAATGACTAATAGAGGGTGAGTACTGTCAAACTCTGTTACAATGATAATTGGAGCAAATTTGGATTCTGCATACCCTAGCCAAACCCTGTCTGATCCTTCCTTCGTCGAGCGGAGTCATCTTCACCATTTAGTTACCACTGAGATAGCAATGAGCTTTATTATCACTATCAAAGATAATTGCAGCCCTCAATTTACGCAGTCGGGGCGATGACAGCACGCAATCATCGAACACCTATATACGTGCTGGTCTCGTTGAGTGCGAGTAGTGGGAAAGCCACTCGCAACGAAAATATCGTCCGCGATATCACGAACTGCTCACCGATCGTTAACTAATCTGTCACTTGCAATTTCATCGTGAATTACCGTAAATTATTGTCGCTCGATTCGGCCGTCGGGTATGCACCTCGTCAAGACGATATAATCACAATGGGGTTTGTGTTGCAAAAAAAGCGGATAAGTCAGAATACCGATGGAGACTCGAGAGATCGTCGATAACATAATTCTCTGTAACTTAGCTTATTCTGTCGGATGATAGGACACTACATTATCGACAATTTTTTCGGTAAATATGCAGTATAACACTCTCACCTTAGAACTTTTTGCAATACTGCAATAGAAACTTTTGCGATAAATATTTATTTTTAACATTTCAAAACAATTAAGTAGAAACAGTGGGAGGATATAATTCGCTAATTTCATCAATAAAGCTTATTAATTTCATCACTTTCTTACTTACGGACATCATAAAACTGAATTAAAAAAAATAGAAAACGGTACATGAGCGACAAATTTTCATGTAGAAATCAATTCTACGCATTAAAATACATAAATTTTCAAAATTTCAAAAAGTTCTAAGGAGAGGGCGTTATATTGCATATTTACCATTTTTTCGATCAACGAATAGTTGATAGATAAGTCGAAGAGTTCAAGTCGTTGTAACGCCAGTTGATAATGCAGTTTTGCAACAATTTATTGCGATAGATTTTTCAACGCCTCGGGAATATGTAAGGTTGACACACGAAGTCATAAATATATGGCTGTCGACCTAATTTGCTTTGCATTATTGAGCGCGTTTTTGATAACATATATCGTCTTAGGATGACCAAAACGATTTCATAATATTATAAATACCGTATTTTTCGATACGCAGAATTTCCTTTTTGGAAAATAATGCAAGGATCGATTGGCATTAGCTGTACATTCATATATGACCTATTATGATTTACGTAAATTTATATAAATATGAGAATTTATGAGAATTTATGTAGATTGATTTGCAATCAATTGGTCACATATAATTTGCAAAACTTATATTTTTCTTCTCGCAACTTTTTATACATAATTTCATGTTTTCTGATATTTCTCTGAATTTCCGGCATTTTAGATCCTCGAGTCTTTTCACACCTTAAAAAAATATTCGTGAAGATTTATCATACGCCCCGCGCGACATTTTATTATCATTCCGTACATTTCTTGAACACCTGGTATATTCTATACACAGTGACCTCGAGAGACCGTTGCCTGGACGCGCAGGTTATGTCAGGAACAGGTGCGCAACGAGCGCTGCCGCTTCCCTGCGAGGAACTTTGTATATAGAACAAATAGCCACACTTTGCGTAACGTGCATTCATCAAGTCTTTGTCATCGAGACAAAAAGAACGACAAAGTAGTAGTGAGAACGACGACGATGTAAATTATCACGACGCATATTTCTTGACTGATAAGATGTCATCCTGAAAAATATTGGGCTGATGAGGTAAAAAATGTTTATCAGCAAGAAACTATCAGTACTTCAAAGACAGGTAGGTAGGAGTTCTAGTTACAAGTGAAAGATACAATCTTGTATACTGTACTGCTCTACACAAATATTAAAACTCATAAGGATACATTAATGCGTGTTAAATTACATTATTTTGAGAATTATTAGAAACACCTAATATAGATATTCTTTGACCTCACTATATAATTTTATAGTAGGTTTCTCATTTGTTTATACTTAATCTTCAGGGTGGTTTTTTCTGATTCTTTCCAAGGATGCAAGCTGGAATTAAGTACGACTTCCTTGAGCCTAGTTAGACTCTACTGTTTTTGAATACGAATAATTCATAACAGAAAAACTTGCAATGTAAGTATAAAAAATTATATTTACTGATAATTATATTGTTAAAATTTGGCAAACTTATCAAACAGTCTGAATGAAATTTAAAGCATGAAAGCTTGAAACAATTACTATATGTAGAAAGATTATAGTTGTCAAATATATTCTTGAAGTTGATTGTTAAGATTTGGTAAACTTATCAAACTGTCAATGAAATTTAAAGCATGAAAGCGTGAAAGAATTACTATATATAGAAAGATTACAGTTGTCAAATATATATTCTTGAAGTAGCTTTTTTATATTCAATATCAATTGCTTTATTATGGAAATTGAATATTTCTTGAGCAATGTTTATAAACTTTGAGTAATACATATACACATATACACATAATAGTATATATATATTGTAAAAAGATATTTATATACTTTGAATAATATGTGTGTATGTTTAAGGAAAATAATTATAAATTCCCTGCTAGCTTGTTGAAAATTAAATTTATTAAAAGCTGTCTGAAGAATAAAAAAGTAATTGCTATCTGCTATCTTATCAAGATCATGATCAGAAAATAACTGCAAGTGGGACAATCTTACTCTGCTTCGACACAAATTATTTGCCAGCACATTAAATTTTCAGACACCAAGCGACATATCTATCATATATGCAGATGACAACAATTGGTAATTAATCTTCCGTCTTTGACGCAGGTGTTTCTGGCCGATAAGTAACTGTAGTTATCAGAGGATATTTCCGTTCCTACTTTCTAAGACTGTTGATGCAATCATGTAGAATTGATAGAAGTAAAGAGGAGGAAAATGACACCGCACTTCACAGCTCTTACTCCAGTGCGGAAGCGATGTCTGGTCGTGTTGCCGCTGGTGCTAGTACCGTTCGCGATTCTGAACCTGCTGACACCGTCAGACATGCGAGAGGAGACCTTACTGCAGAACAGCATCGCTGAGCTTCAGGCCAAGCTAGAACACTTGCACGCTAAATATATCGGCAGCCAGGAGGAGATTAATCTGCTATCGCATCAGTTGTTGCAACTGATCGAGAGTAATCACATTCTACCGGATCTGCAACTGCTCATCAACAACGGTACCTCCAACATTACTAGCATCAAGCTGCCTTCGATCTACAACTTCCTGCCGCACTTCCTCAATGACCCGAACAGTTTGCGCCCGGCGTTCGTGCAGAGCAAGGGTAAGTCAGGTGTGAGCATGGTACTGGGGGTGCCTACGGTGAAACGCGAAATTCAATCCTATCTGATGGCAACTCTGAAGAACTTGCTGGATCGCATGAATGCTGCGGAAATCGCAGATACGCTGATCATAGTTCTAGTGGCCGAAGTGAGTGAAATTACGAAAGGATACTGGCTCTGTTTCCTGAAGTGTCGAACTAATGAGTAACAAAGTTTCCTTTTTCAGACAGACATGGACTATGTGACGTACGTTGCGAAGCAAATTGAAGTTCAGTAAGTTCCCCCATCTCTTTTCTATATGTATATTAAAATTATTTTACATATACATTTACATATTATACATTATATAATAAAATAATAAAATTTTACATATTATACATTATATAATAAAAATATTAATTATAATGTAAAAATTATAATGTAAAATAGACAAATAAAAAAATATTTCCGACTAAATTAATTGGTAGAGAAATATGATATAATGAATATATGATATAATGATATAATGAAATATGTATAATATATAAAATTTGTCTATTTTACATTATAATTTTTACATTATAATTAATATTTTTATTATATAATGTATAATATATAAAGTATTATAATTTTACATTATAATTTTATATCATAAATAATTAATTTTCTCGCAACAATGACTTTCTTATCTTTTCTCATGTAGATTTCCAAACGAATGTGAAGCTGGCGTAATCGATGTGATATCACCGTCATCGTCCTATTATCCGGATTTGTCGAAGCTGCGCGATACATTAGGCGATGATCATCAACGCGTCGTTTGGCGTTCGAAGCAAAATTTGGACTTTGCCTTCCTCATGTCGTACGCCCAGACGAAAGGTACGTTCTACGTGCAACTGGAAGACGACATCCTGGCCAAGAAAAACTTCATTACTACCATGAAGTCCTTCGCGTTGCAGAAGATCGGTACCAAGGAGAATTGGTTCGTTCTCGATTTCTGTCAGCTTGGTTTCATTGGTACGACATTATTACACATATATACAAGCACTTGAAACACGTCGCCTGAGTAACTTCGGAAATATATGCAAAATAGAAAAAAATGTTAAATATAGAAGTTATAGAGTTTTAAGTGACGCATGACGTAGCAATATTAATATGACTTTGAACAATGTCATCAAGATCACTAGGTCATCTCGAATTTTTTAACTCCCATTTTCATTATATCATATTTCTCTACCAATTAATTTAGTCGGAAATATTTTTTTATTTGTCTAATATTTTTTTAGATATTTAAAGAAAATTTGGTAACTTTCTCAATATTTGACTTACGATATCTTGATAATTATTTATCAGAAGGAAAAGTAGTACTAGATCTTTTTACTCTATTTTCAAGATTATGTTGTTACAATAGTGTCCTAACTTTTGTTAACTTAATAACCGTTAGAAATTTCAAAATTATCAAGTTAACAAAAATTAGAACACTATTATAACAGCATATTCTTAAGATTAAACAGAATAAAAAGATCCCTCCACCCCTAGTACCACTTTCTTCCGACAAATAATTATCGAAATCTCGTCAACCAAATATTGAAAAAGTTGCCAAGTTTTTCTTAAATATCTGAAAAAATATTAGGCAAATAAAAAAAATTTCAGAATTTAGAAAAGTTCAAATTAATTAGTCAAAAGGGTGATATAATAAAATGTTGGGGTTTCCATTGAAAAAATTCAAGCTAATCTTCTTGTAACCTTGATGACGCTCAAGGTCATACTAGTTTGCTATGTGATACACCACTTAAAACAACTTCTGTATTTAATATTTTTTTTCATTTTGCATATTTTCAAAGTTATTTAGGTGGTCTGTTTTAGGTGCCTCACTTTGTATATGATATATATAGGGCGTTTTGTATATCTTAACCATTTGAAATATTCTGTTGTGTTCGATAATACGAAAAAATATCTGTCACATAAATCCATCATATTAGAAATAATGAAAAACATAAAAAGGTCAATTATTTTTTGTATTCAAAAATCTACTAAAGCCGATAGACATTTTTAACACTTTCTAAAACAGATCTTTATGTTTAAAAATATAAATCTTTTTCCGTTTTCTTTTCCATATCAAAAATTATTTGTGAGTCATATGAAAATATACAATTTATATAAAAAAGAGAGAGAGAGAGAAATCTTAATCTTGAAATTTTCAAAAAAAGATTTTGAGAAAAAATTTGTAGAAAAAAAAACGTCCATTATAATTGCCCTCTTGAATAGTGTAACTATTTTTTTCAGATACTTTCTCGTATTATCGAACATGACAGAAATATTTCAGTAATCAAAAGGTATACAAAACACATTCTATATATTTAAAAAATATATAAAAATTATAATTGTGTGTGCATGACACAGGAAAGTTGTTCAAGTGTGTGGAACTGCCATGGCTGATCCAATTCTTTTTAATGTTTCACAATGACAAGCCCGTTGACTGGCTTTTGGATCACTTGATATCTACCAAAGTCTGTAGTCTAGACAAGGACAGCGTAAGTATAAATTAGCGAGACTCTTAATAATACATTAACACATGCCGCGTGGGCTATCGCTGATGCACGCTGAATTTTTCATTCAAGCCGCTTGATATTTGGCTTTTAAAGTGAAAGATACCAATGAAATAACTATTATAACATATGTATTATTTAATAGATAAAATTTGGCTTATATAATACAACAACGTGTGGACGATAAGTCGCGTAAAATCAATTCAACATGGAACGTGTGAAGTTCGGCGTTTAATTCTGCAAGAAAAAATCCTTCTTTCCTTCCAGAAACACTGCAAGATGGCTAAAGCGGAGTTGTGGGTGCATTACAAGCCTTCCCTCTTTCAACATATAGGAACGCATTCCTCGTTAAAGGGGAAAGTGCAGAAACTCAAGGTAATGTCATCCACTTAAGTTAAAATGAAGCAGAATGTGTACTGGCTACAGACTTTAATTACATTTAAATTTTACATTAACTATATGTAATCTTTAACATTGCTGCGCTAACTCTGCATTCGCGCCCACGAATAATAAGTAGACACAAATTTTTATGGAACTGAGAAACATTTAATTAATAAAAAAAGAACAAAGACGAAAGAGGAAAACGCAGTTTCTCATAATTCATCATACATCCAGAGACTTATCACTTTTCTTTTCTGCTTAATCTTTATTGATTTCCTGTTATAAATGATCGATCGATATCGACGATAACGTAAATGCGGACGCAATAGTGAATTAATTACATTTCTACATTGGTGATATCATATAACAGTAATTAGTGATATGTTAATTATATGTAATCGATCGCATATTAATTAATAATTATATATTAATCGCATGTAAATTAATTACAAACCAGGACAAACAATTTGGCAAAATAACGCTGTTCTACGCCCACGAGAATCCCGAAGCGACTGTGGAGACTCAGATCAAGCCTTACAAGCAGTATACGCTGCAAAAAGCGTACAAAGGCGAGTCGTTCTTCTGGGGTTTGCTGCCGCAGCCGGGGGATCACTTGAAGTTCAAATTTTCGCATCCTATTTTTATAAAGAAGTAAGTCCGCGACTGTACTGATCGCTCGACTCTTCGCGGACGCGGACAATCGCTATTGATTCTTCGGTCTATGCAGGTACTTATTTAGGAGCGGAAATGCCGAACATCCGTCTGACAGATTTTACAACACGACGGTAGAAGTGTTGTCTGATTTATCGCCGCTGTTAGATAGAAATAGCAACGATGCAACGGAGGACGGCTACGTTATAATAGGTAAGAGCTAACATTCTGCGTCCGCATTGCAATCGATTTGAGAGCTCGCATAAAAACGTACGATATGAACGATAGGTAAGTTTGATGTACTTGGCGTTGCCGAAGGAACGGTGGATCGAAGACTCGGCAGGATATCAGTGCTTCGCTTGACTATACACAGCGAGAGCGAAAACTGGGCCATTCTGTCCGAGGTGAGAGAACCGCATCGTCCCGATTGCTTGAATTACGGAGAGAATTACATGCGTAAGGCCGTTTTCAAGGCTATTTTTACGAATTTTTTCATAGAAACGGCAAGATTAATGGACTTGAAATGTTCACAATATATTTGTTAATGTTCAAATAAATTTTATTGAATCACAAGAAGAACCGATCCAATCTGTAATTATAGATAAAAATGCAGTCATCCATTTGCGAGCTCTATGTTTGTTGTCGACATGATTCCAGACTTCTCACTATTCTGAAAGCAGAAAACGAGAAAGATTTTTTAAATATACGGTTGTCATTTTGATATGGGATGTACCCATATCAAAATGAAGGCAGCGAATCCAAGTTTGGAAAAATAATGACTGTACAAAAAAAAAATATCGAAAATGAAACTTTTTCTCAACTTGTAATTGAAAAAATGAATAAAATAAAATATAAATGTATTCGAGATAGGGGCGAAAAAATTACATGTCTACTGTGTAAAACTTTCGAGTTAATCGGTTGAGCAGTCTTTGCGTAATCGTGCTGACAGTTTAAGAAGATGGTGTTTCCAGATAAACGCGTTTAAAGTTTTATATGTACTCTCCATATAGACAACAGTAACAAATTTATTTTATACTTTGAACATTAATGAATACGCTGTGAAAATTTCAAGTTCCATTGATCCTACCGTTTCTGTTAAAAAAATTTATAAAAATAGCCTTGAGAACAGTCTGCTGCGCATGTGATTACCCCCTTAAGACATTGCGATACATCAATCGTTCTCGTTTAATTTAAAAAATACGACTTTCCCCCCATTAGATTCATATAGTAGAGGATCAACCTAGCTGACTAAAGGACGAAGAAACTCGAACGTTCTTTCGATACCACCTGCACGGTTAACGTAAGCCGATGATTTTGTAAATGTTTATTATTTTTATATTCCTTTTTTCGCCTCGTCACATGCTATCACGCACCGACTGGACTGCGCCCGGTGTAAGAATTATTAGTTCGATCCCGTCCATTGTCCGAAGAGGTGTATTTGTTTTCAACTGCTCGGGTTGGATCGCCAGATTGCGTCGCGAGTGTCGTGGATTATTCCCGACGCTTCGTGAACACTTCAGAGGGAGAAGCAACCAAGTCGGAAACGAATTTGCAAGAAGCACTGTTGCAAACCGAACGAGCAGTTCTCTACGTCGCGGACGTCCCAAATGTTTTAAATTGTTGATGAGCGTAAAGCTGACTCGTTTTTATCGATTAATTGACTATTTTATATGAAATCTTTTTTTTTCTTAATATATACGGTGCTCGCTGAAATGCAGCAATGTTAATATACCTCGCGTTTCAACTAGAACTTCGATACTCATTCGGATCTAACACTACCCGATGATATCCGATTACTCGGATAGCGGAAAAATAACTTTTCAAATTCAGATTATCTGGAGAACAATTAAGAGATCAATGTAAAATTAAAAATTTCGGATCTGGATGTAAATCGCGATAGCGGAATCGACCAGACACATTCGCAGTAACGTGGATCTTCCACAAAAGTATGAAAAATTAAATCAGTATTCCTTAACTATAATTTAACGACAATCTGTAAATAATTGTACGTGTTTATTTATGTATTTGGATAATTTATCAATTATTAATTGATCAATTTATTTATACTTCAGCGTACAGCCAAGAAGTAGAGACATGGTCTACAAAACTTTATATTCGATCAATAATTGTAAATAATTGTATCAAACTTAATAATTTATCAATTAATTCTTAACACATAATATTAGAAGGTTGCATTGAAAACCATTGTTTTTTGTGTTTTTTGAGCATTTATTTCAATAACAAAAAATGTGAGTACATCAATCAAAGTATTTGCCCGTGGAAGCTATGACTTTTTTCCACTTTCTGGCCGAAGTTGAATTCCGCGACGAAAAAAGAAAGTCTGTCTTGAGCCAATCCGTTCGACAATCCAATTTCCGATTTTTCCATAATTATGGAAATGTTCTAAAGCATCTTCTAAAGCGTGTTGCATCAGAACAGATGGTGATCGCTTGAGGCCAGGTCCGGAGAATGGAGCTAGGTGAGAACCTCCCATTCGAGCTCCATCAGTGTTTGTTTCACGGCTATAGCAATATGAGGCTGAGCGTTGTCATGGAGAAGAATCGGCGATCAGCTTTTCGGCGATTTGATGGTCGTTTTTGCATCAAATTATTATTCAAGCGCTCCAATTGTTGTCGATAACGTTTGTTGGCGGTAACTGTTTCGTTCGATTTCAACAGCTCATAATCATCGACACCCTCCATATCTCACCAAATAGAGAGCATTGCTTCGTAACTGTGAATGTTTCGTTTTGGTATCGACGTTGATGGTTGGCCAGCATCAACTCATGATTTCTTGCGTTTCAGGTTGTCGAGATAGATATCCATTTTTCATCGCCAGTCACGATACGCCACAAGAAACTCTTCTTTTCATGCCTTGCAAGCAAAGAAATCGAGATGTTTGAACGATTAGCATTTTTGATCAATTCATGTGGCAATTTCTTTTCTTTCTAGATCTTTCCCGTGGCTTGTAAACGTCGTGAAATGGTTGATTTATCGACTTCGAGCTGTCGAGCCAATTCTTTGAGTGTTCGAGCAGGGTTTTCTTCCAATAGATCTTGCAGTTGCTCATCTTCGAACTTTTTCAATTGATCCGGCCGTTGTTTACGTGTCGTGAACGTCGCTTTTGAATCGTCGAAACCAATCTCTATATACTGTTTTCGATGGAGCAGATTCACCATAAGTTTTTGCAAGCGATCGATGAATTTCAGCTGCATTTTTTCTCAAATCATAGAAGTACACATCGGGACACGCTGTATCGCATTCCATTTTAATTCGGTTATAGAAAAGTACTTATGTAAACAAAGGATGGCGTCTGATGACTGAATTTTAACGGGAAATGTTCACACTTCAAAATGACATAAGAGACATCTGTCATTGTCCCCAGCAGCTAGGACCATGTAGTACATGTGAACAGCGACTTTCAATGCAACCTTCTAATATTTAAAAAAAATTGGAAACAACTATTACGGATAATTTTGTCACTAAACCGATCCGTCTTCCTGTTCGATTCAAGTCTAAACTGTTGTCACTGTTATAAAGTTGTTATTCAAATATAAATTATCATATCTTTCAGTAGATAGTAATAAATTTTTATTTAAGGGGGGAATTATATACAGAAGGCCGTTTTCGAGGCTATATTTACGAATCTTTTTAACAGAAACGGCAAGATCAATGGACTTGAAATTTTCACGGTATATTTATTAATGTGTTCAAAGTATAAAATAAATTTTATTGAACCACAAGAACCGATCCAATTTGTAATTATAGATAAAAATGCAGTCACCCGTTTGCGAGCTCTATGTTTGCTGTCGACATAATTCCGGGCCTCTCACTATTCTGAAACCAAAAAATGAGAAAGATTTTTTAAATATACGGTTAACATTATAGCCCATACTAAAATGAAGGCAGTGAAGACAATTTTGGAAAAATAATGACTGTACAAAAAGAAAAGTATCGAAAATGAAACTTTCTTCAACTTGTAATCATGTTTAAAAAAAATGAATAAAATAAAATATAACTATGTTCGAGATAAGGGCGAAAATTACATATCTACTGTATATTGTGTACAAATTTCAAGTTATTCGGCTCAGTAGTTTTTGCGTAATCGTGTCGACAGTTTAAGAAAATAGCGTCTCCAGATAAACGCGTTTAAAGTTTTATGTGCACTCTCCATATAGATAGTAACAAATTTATTTTATACTTTGAACATTATTGAATATATTGCGAAAATTTCAAGTTCCATTGATCCTACCGTTTCTGTTAAAAAAATTCGTAAAAATGGCCTTGAAAACGGCCAGCTTCGCATGTATAATTCCTTAATCCAAATCTAATTTAGTTCGGTTTTGGATATCTGGATAGTCTGAGCTTGAATCAGAACAGTGCAATTGGGGTCTTCAGGCCGCAACCAATCTCGAATTTTCGGATAGTAAGATGTCCGAATGAAGCTCGGAAGCTCTAGTTCAAACACTCACGTTGCGACCGGCAGCCAGTTTAACGAGTGTATATAACGGCACATTGTTGAATCTCGAGATGTTTAGCGTAAGTGTTTTCCCTTTTTTCTTTCTTCTCTTTTTTTTTTGTTTTTTGCTTTTCCTGCAACATGGCATCTTGGTTCGGGCATTTGTTTAACTGGAATTGTACCTGCATTGTTCGCGTGTTTCGATTCACTCTTGTACGGGGTCTCCCGATTTTCGTGCTTAAATTCTTCGCAAAACGCCTTCGACACAGAGCCCACGGCTCGTGTTCACATACATCTAGCACTAAATGTGACCATATATTCGCATCGCTACGCGGTTACGCCGAAGTCATTGACCTTCATATTGAGGGAAACGCAATAGCTGTGAAATCGGAGAATTTGTGGCGCGAAGTGCGACGCTAGAACGGAAGTGTGAGTACGGATATGTGAACTTAACCAGATATATAAAACTCATCTTCCCATAAGAAAAGCGGATTTTCCAAAACAAAAGATGCACTCGTTTGCGTAACATTTCTTCCCCGCTGAAGTTAAGAGCGCACCAAGAGATCGGCAGCCATTGCTCGCGAGTTTGACGGTAGTCGATTGCGACAAAAGTCGAAGGACAGTAGACGATGTAAATAATGACTCTTTATTAATAGGGATTTCTGGAAAAATATAAGTACTTTTATCAAATATAAGTGCTCGTTTTACAATTTTTGGATCTCCTTAAATCGCCGCGCGTCAACTCAGCTTGACAGCTCACGGCAATCGGAGCAAAGCTCCAAATTTGGCGCTCTTAGCCAAAATATTGAAGAACGAAAAGGAGAAGCTTAACAGCTCAGTACACTTTTTAGCTTTTGTTGACTCCAGGAACGTTTCTCTTGTCCAAACCCACATTGATCTTCTCCACGACCTTCGGCTGCTGTCGCAATCGATCACAGTGAGCAAGCTCATGAGCGCAAACGAGTGTGCTCACTTATATATACATATAATTCACGTGACATGTGCAATCTCTGTGAATATGTATGCGTATGCAGTCTGTAATTTATTATATTATTATATTAAATACGATGCGAGAGAGGACGCGTCGACATGAATGTTTGTTAACGCCCGACAACAAACGGTGATATGAAAATTATATTCTTCTAATGTATGTACAATTATTTATTTCGCGTATATAGCTTTCTTTATATATACATATATATTATATATACCTATATGTGCTCCTACATATACATATAATGATATATTAAAAAATATATTTTTCTGACGAAGTCGTATATAAAAAGATTTACGCGATATGCGTCATCTTATATATATATTTTATATATATAAGATGACGCATATCGCGTATATAAATATATATATATCTTATATATATATATTTTTTTTTCCAATTGTCTTTTGCAATCTTTGTAAAATGCGATTCGATGACGTGTGGGGGTATGAGAGAGATGAACTTATTGTTAATTCTAATTAAAACGAGCCGCGACCAATGTCGAAGCCGGGACGAACTGTATAGAGGTCGTTCGTTCCAGAAACAACACGCCATTCTAGTCGTGAAATTACGTTCTCGGAGAGATTAGTGCTTTGTACGGTATAGGGGAAGGTGTGACGCCGTCCGTGTAGTCCTGGCTGGACGGTCGTGGCTCGCCAGGTGCTACGGAGAAGTTGAAGGCTTGCAGCAGGGCGGCCGTTATGAGAAAGATGTTTCTTTTGGCTAATGTCTCTCCCATGCAACGATGTCTGCCTGCGAAACACAAGTCACTTCGTTCACCGTCACGCTGAAGGATATGCTTATGTTTTATCCTCGTAGGTTCAACACGTTCCTTAGTAATATCACACATGTGATGACATCCATCTTTCACTCTGAGCTCTCTTTACTCATATTTACAAAAGTTTCTGTTCTATTAATTCTATTATGAGATATTTTGAATAGCTTGGTCTTTGTAAAATTCTCAATTCTGCAAATTTTATAATTTTAAAGTTTCAATTTTTGCTAGTTTCATTAAGCTATCCTCAATAGTTCAATCTTTATAAAATTTTCAATTCTATCTGACACTTTCGATATCAACGTGAGACGTGTGACAATGATAACTTCTTTCATATTCATATAAACAAGTTTGTTTTACATAATTATATAAGAACAAATACAACAGGTCGAGAATTTCCCCAAATAAGCTATGCAAGTAGCGAACATGTTAATACGCTACAAGGAAGAAACGTACCCGCACTGAAAGGGTAATAATTTTTCGGCATGAAGACGTTGCCATCATCATCGAGGAATCTCTCCGGCCGGAAGTTCTCCGGATCGCCCCAGGACTCGTCCATGTATATACTGTTGAAATTCAGGACGAGCATTGTGTCCTGAAAGAGATCATAATTACTCGTTTGCCTTTGCCAACCCACAAAAGGTCATCGCAAGATCTGTGCTGTCACCTTGGGTATTCTATAACCTTTGATAAAGGTATCCCTCAACGTTCGTCGTGGCACGTTCAGACAACGTCCTATGAACATCCTTACGGATTCCAAAACGGTCGCTTGAAGATACGGCATGCTGAAAAACGAGGATAATGATGACACTCTAAGCGTAAGAATTCCTGTTCAAATGGAGTGAATTTTTCACTTTTAGGACACGCAGGTGTAAAAAGAAACAACAGCGTCTACCTCGGTCGGTCGGCCAACATGGGGAATCTGTCGCGACCAACAACTCGGTCTATCTCTTCTTGCGCCTTTCTCTGAACCTCTGGATAAAGTATCAAGTACATGAACCCGAAGGCGAGTGACTTCGAGGTTGTTTCTGAGCCCGCTATGAAAAGATCTACGCAAATCGCTAAGAGCTGGATCTCTGGAAATTATATCATTATCGTGTAAAGGAAGTTAGTCTTGGTAGTGGTGGCTGCTTATAAACCATTCAATACGCACCTGAGAACGTGTCGTTGTGACCCTTCGACTGCAGTACAGAGAGGTAGGCGTCCATCAGATCTCGCGGTTCACTTGCTACGAACGTGTTCTTATGATTGTACAGTTCTTCCTGAAAAAGGGAGAAAAACTGTTGCTCAACAATTTCCTCGATAATCAAGATGGTTCTTCATATGACTGAATTTTTACGCAGGGTTGGGAAAATTATCTACACTTTCCGTTGCTTGTCCGTTATTCTTAAATTTCAACGACTTATCTTGGGATTCGCTTCTGCCCATTTCATACACATGTATTCTACGTATGAAAAATAACGAACAAAGTAACGATTACATTCGTTACTGTCGCCCCGAAAATGCAATTGTTTTATTAATAAAAAAAATAAATAAATAACATTGTTGTTAAGTCGCAACTGAAGAGAGAAACGCCCTTGCACAGCGGCAATGGCGCTACAAATAAAATTTTATTTCCCAACCCTGATCCGATAACATCAGTTGATACGATGTCTGCTCACTTTCAGGAATGTCCAAAGTTTCTGATGCGTTTCCACAAACGACTTGTAACCGGACATTTCCGGCGCGATGAAACGCAGCGCCGGGAAATGGTTGAAAGGCGCGCCGATCATATCAACCTCTTCTAGGAGCTTCGCGAAGATCTTCTGCAGATAGGCGAGTTCCTTATCATTGATATCGTATCTGTGTGAAAGTAATTATTAATAAATACTTAACAACAATTATTGATAAATAATTAATGACAAATTAACATTAGAAATTAATTGTCGTGTCTGTTCTTTTAGACTACGATGAACGAAGATAATCCAGAAAACAACGCGTACCTCTTGCCAGCCATCATCCTCCATAAGGTGTTCAGTACAGTCACACCAAAGGCGTTGTGCATAAATACGATCACTCCTGCCGATTGAGCAACTTTTCGGACCTCAACGTAGTCCTCAGCTTTCACGTATAAATCCGCAGCTGTCGAAGCGCGTTTCTTGATAGTTTTGTTTTCGATCACGTTGAACTGCTCGTACAGGCCCGGCTTCTTCAGGTCGTTCGGCACCTTCTGCAGTTTATATATCTGGCCGACGTTGTTGTCGTTCACCACTGACTTCCGGATGTTAGTCAGCTGCTCATTGTAATCGCCGTGTAGCAGCTTGTTGAAATGCTCCACCAGCTTCTGAGCCTCGTACTGGATGATTGTGTCCATGGTATTGCGACCGAAGCCGAAATCACGCAAATGCCGCATTACGAATTTTCGTTGCTCGACCCACAATCGTCCATCCACGAGAATGAGACCTGGTCAGGAGGTATAGTTACTTGTCAATGTCCGATAAAAAAAAATTATACTGGATAAGTGCAAAAGTTTTTAGATCAGATATCGTGATGAGAACTTGGACCAAAAGTAACATCATTGGAAACATCTTATTCATTCTACCAAGTAATCACTATTGTTTTCTATTAACTTTGGTATATTATATATTTAATTATAAGTTTTATTATTTATTATTATAAGTACTGCTGTAGAAAACTATTGTATCTCTGAGAAGCTCATCAAAACTTATACATTGACCTAAAATATAGTTATATAAAATAATATGTAATTATATTCTTTTTGTCGAGTGCTAAGCTTCTCGAAGCATTTAACCTGATTCTCTTTTATTTTCTATAGAATAAACAATTATACCTTGTCTAAGGCCAAAAGTTCGGATCTTAAACATAGGTCCGTTTGGTCTACCGTCGCAATTCTCGTCGCTCAGCATCATGTGCATGCTCTCCAGGTCGTTCAACACGACGATGCGTTGTTGGCCAAACTTCAGACCTATTACCGGACCGTACTTCTTGCAAAGCATTGCGCAACTCTTGGTTATATATTTGGTTTCCTGGCGAAGACGTTCTACTTCCAGTATACTTCCCAAAATGGGCCACCATCTTGGACCTGAAAGAAATGAAAAATGTTATCAGTAATAGAAAATTAAAAAAAAGTCATTGGTAGAACCGCGATAAGGATTAGCCGGTGCAATGGACGGTTGCTAGAAACTTATGCTAGCAGAACGCATGATAGAAATAAGGATTATACTAAATTGAATAATTGATTGATCGAGCAGGGGAAATTACCTGGTGGATATCCTTTCGGTTTCCGGCAGTCTAAGTATAACAGCAGCAATAGGAGGACCAATAACAACATTACCGTAGCGAGCATCTTGAAAAATTATTTTCTCTCCTTCTCTATTAAGATATTAAGAAATATTGAAATGTACATTAAAGATACATAAGAACGATTATATCTCAAGCACGATGAAGAGCAATACCCAATATTTGCGGGACCACAATCCGCACTAACGTGTGAGGTATAACTTCCGGAAAATATGTTATCTCGTGAATATGTTGCAATCTGTCCGGCAAATGAATTTTATAGCGAACGTATGCCCTGTATCATATAATCGATATTTATTTAGTACACGCATTACGAACTCGTGTGTGGCACGCGCCGAGCAACTTTCGGGAAGAAAGTGAAATGCGGATGTTAGTACAAATGCTGATTATGGGAGAAAGTTGCATACGAAGGAACCGCTGCATTACTTGCAAATGCACCGTCACTTACATTATCCAATAACTCGTTGCATAATGGATGTACATTTAATAGCACTCAATCGCAAAGTGCTTGTAGTCGCTTTCAAATTCTCCTCTCTCTCTCCCTCTCTCTCTTGTCGAATCTATTTACTTCACAAGTCGTATTCTTTCGAAATTCGATAGGGCAGAATTATAGTACACTAGACCGGCTTGAAATGTAATTGTTTTTTGTCACAAATAATTGCACGTCAATACATGTTTTATATTATTTTACTTGAAAAAAATGTTCTGTTGTAAAATTACAATTTTTAATCATAATTTTTTAATATTATTATTAAGATTGAGATTTTTAAAATTTTCAATTATTTTTTAACTGTAAAATTAAAAAATTCCTTGTTTCATCTTTTAGAAAATTAATTCTTTTAAAAAACTAATTATCGAGAGATATAAACGCGTATTATTTTTTACATATAAGTTGTGAAGTATTATATATATATATATGTACACATTAGACAAATGAATTTTCCGTATCGGGAAAATGATAAAAATTACATTATATGATCGTTGTCCCGCTTTGAACGCATTATGAGAGAGAACGCCTAAACACCGAAATAGTCACCACTTTTGTGAATCTTTGAGTTCACCTTACCTCGCTTCTGGAGAAATTTCCTCGTCCGTTGTATAAGCGGTACTGACCATGGACCAGCGTTCATTCCCCTTTTAAATGCCCCTCTTCGTCCATGTGCTTCGTCGCAAATATTTTCACTTGAACATTAACGCGATTAACGTATTAGTACATCGTATGATTGGAACACAGCGAAACTTTAATACGAATTTTAATCTGTGATCGAGATTCATATATATATATATATGTATATTTTGATGTATACATATGTTTACGCATTTTATTTATCAATATTTCAGGGGAGGAATTTAAGTTTCAAAACAGGATAAAGTTGCAAAACTAGATAAATATAGTTTGCCTAAGTTATAAAAAAGTTTCTAGTACTAAATTTTTAAAAATATTGATATATAAAAATTCTGTTTTCAATTTCAATTCTGTTAGATCAATGGGACATTCTGCTCTTATATCTGCTTCCTCATTTCCAAATTTTAGATAGACGACGATTATCAACTGCACCAGACTGTTGGTGTTTTATTAAAAAAACATTTGATGCAGCGTGCACGCGCGTCGATAGCAATTCTCTTTTCACGGATAATATTTCAATGCATAAGACACATAATCGTAAAAATATTTAACGAAATTTATTTTTTCATTCTACAGGAGTCCCTTCGTTAGCGGTGTCATCTCCTTTCAGGATATTCTCTTGTTCTTTATAATGTATAGGTAGCCTATCGCCCCATTCACTATTTCTTGCACAACGGTACATGTCCCTGGTAACAAAGAAGTCACACGTCATTTTCACGAGATCAAACACAATATAAATAGAACACAATGAATGCGTACATCCCGTGCTTGGATTTTGTGAAAATCTCCTCTTTCAGTTGGCCGCTGGCGACACACATGCGACAAATCGTGTGTTTGTGACGATGCAACGTAGCTCGTACGATTCTCGGCCATTGACTATCATTCTCAGGGCGTTTACCTATGAAAGGAGAAAACATAAATTTGTATTTAATAATTTGTATTTAATAATTTTGCACTCGTATAGGAAGTGATGTTACATAAAATTCCAGTGAAATTCTAGTTTGCGATTAAATCCGCTTGAACAACATGCGGATTTTATCATACGTAATTTATATTCCGGTTGACGAAGCAATTTTATATTCCAGCATTATCTTTACTTTTTCCTCTTTCATATACACAACCGACACGATAGCTTTTCAACACATACTGCTTCATAAGAAATACATTTAAAATAGGTTTGGGAAAGTTTAATGTCATGTGTTAAAGCTATTATACCGGTATGTATATACCTTTCTTCAGCACAACGTAGGAGTAACGCTCCGGTTTATACTTCGATCTGTCCAGAAATGGCAAAGGTTGATACAAAACTTCAAAGTTGCACGGAGTGTTGTCGAAAGCAACGAATCTCGGACACATCAAGTCATGCGGGCACTATGTGATGACAACACGAAAACAACATATAATTGATACATTATGCTCGAATTTCCTATTTTTATTCATAATTAGCACTTACAGGCGAAAATACATAAGCCTCTTGTCCCAAACTACTTTTGGATCTCGACTTTGCATACTTGAGGATAAAATCTCGTGCTTCATTTACTAACTTTAGAACAGACAAGAGAAAAGATAAAAGTTCCTCATGTAGAATAATAAAAATCTCTTTAATATATCTTACCTTGTAGCCTGCATTGGTTCCCTGTTCTACAATAATGAGGTAATGTTCAGTTTTCTGCCAAAGATTTAATATCACTTCAAGACGCGCATTTGTACCAAACAATTCAAATAAAGAAAATGCGCTCACCACGATATCATAGGTCTGAAAGTATAATGAATATTTCAAATTATATTTATTCATTAAAAATTAAGAATTCATCAAGAATATATATGTTGTAAGTCTTGTCCTTACTGTGGTAGATAGTGGAAAATATTCTCGATAAAAGACATTTTTTATTTTAGGTTTAGCAGCTTTTGCTAATTTTTCAGATAATTCAATCATTGGTTTTGAAATTTCTACACAAAGGTATTCTTTCATTGAATTTGACCAAATCTCAGATGTTGCCCTATGAATAATTTTTGTTTTTTACTTTTATATAGTAATAATTGTGTATTATATACCATTTTATGTTGGTTAAGTCATAGTTCTTTTACTTCTATACTTACCACATAACTGTACCAAGGCCAGAGCCAAAATCAAACAATGTCTGAGGTTTGAAGTTCTCATCACGTACATTGATTTCATTTAGAATCTTGCTCAAAACCGCATAGTTTTGAACAGTTCTACCTACCATATATGTCAAACAAGTGGGCTTATCAAAATTTATTGGTTGCCAATTATAGATGTTTTGTTTCAGCAAATGTCTGGCTTTTTCGTTTTTACTAAAATCTACATCTTCTATATCTATCTTTTTATTATGGCTTTTACTATTTAAATGTTCTTCTACTTTTAATAATTTTTCATATAACTTTGCTTCTTGTATTGGTGGATAACGATTATTTAAATGATTAAGTAACTTCTTTGCACTTTCTTCAATATTTTTCACAGATATCTTATTTTCTAGAAACAAAATCATGAAATAATATTATTTGAGATAATAAATTGCATACTCTATAAATGTTACAAGTATAGTCTATACAGATTAGAAAAGCCATACCTTTTAAAATATCAGATATTTCAGTTAATGCCCATTTGGGAAATATTGGAGTCCTAGGTTTAATAATACCTGGGTGATTCTTATGCTTTATATCCTCATTAAATAATAGAGAAGAAGTTGTATCATCAAGTATCACATTTGGTGCTGTTGAAAACTAAATTTAGATATGATTATTATATTGAACCCATTTAAATTAGCTGAATAAATGACCCTATTATATAAAAATATATTGTACTTACGCATCGCACAGATGTAAATGTCATACAACGTATCTTTGACACAATTAGTTTCATATTTATGATAAATATTGTAATTATTTATAATAAATATTATTACAATTCAGTAATCAAAAAATTCGTCAGACTTTTCTTAGAATATTCGAGTACCTGTGTGAGATATAAGCAAAAAAGAGGAAGTACATTTAAAAATTTACTCATATAATGCATTATTTTAAATAATCATATCCATTATAAATTATTCACAATACACTATTACCTGGAAAAATACTTATATTCACAAGATCTTCAGACATATTTTATGAATAAATAACATTTTGTATCATTTTATAACAAGATTATGAGAAGAAACCTAACTGCTGCCGTTACCGACTTGTAGGAAAACATAACCTGCAAAACATGCATAACATGCATTCATATGCATCGTGCGGCGAAGCCGTCGTTCCAAAAATAACTGGCAATGATCTTGTTCATGGATATGTCAACTCGTGTGTGCGCTAAAGAGTCGAGTAACTGTTGACATTATTTCATTTTCAACGGCAAACATGAAATTCGCAGAGCATCTAAGTGCTCACATTACGCCAGAATGGAGGAAGCAGTACATCAACTACGAGGTGCAGTTTCAGGACGGGAAAATTCTCTATACAATATTCTGTGTATTTTGTATTTATGTGTTTCGTACGTATTTTGTATGTATGTTTGTATATTTTACATTTATACATTGTACATTGTATCCATAAATATTTATAACCACATACACATATGCACAGAATTATTCTATGCATTTTATACTGTTTGTAGGAACCGTTAATTTTCTTTCCCTTTGTTAAGATTATTTCTGATTATGCTATAGGAAATGAAGGCTCTGTTGTACGCTGCTATGGAGCAGGCTCCATCAGCAGATGTGAGCGAAACACATGTACTAGAAAGCTACTTCAGCAAATTTGACGAAAAGTTTTTCCATTATTGTGATAAGGAGCTTACCAAAATAAATACCTTTTATTCTGGTAATATTAGCAATTATTTTTATTGTCATCATTTTTTTCTATTAGCATAGGTGGAAAGAATATTAGCAGAAGTCATATTAAGATTTTAGTAAATATACTGAGATATTGAAATAGATAGAAATTATTTATTTTTACAATTTATTTTCAGAGAAGCTAGCAGAGGCCACACGTAGATTTTCTACTCTCAACAATGAACTAAGTGAGATTTTATCAGTTTCTGAGGATACTCAAACTGGCAATCACAAGATACGCTATCGTAGTCATATCTTGCACAAGAAACCAGTATCAGCAAGCAAACTACAGAAGTTAAAATGGGCATTCTCTGAGTTCTACCTTTCATTGATTCTGCTGCAAAATTATCAGGATCTGAATTTCACTGGATTCCGAAAAATCTTGAAGAAGCATGATAAAGTATATAGACTTAGCGAACGCGAATTTATATATATATATAAACTTATTGAATTAGTAATATAAATGTCAGAGAAATTAGTTGTATTAATCCTACATAATTGGAAAACAAGTTGCATAAAGCAATAATATTTTGTAGCTATTAAACGTAGACATCGGTGCAAAATGGCGAGCGGAACACGTCGATATAGCAATTTTCCACACGCGCACGGACATAGACAGGCTCATCACGGAAACCGAGACTTTGTTTACGCGAGATCTGGAACAAGGTGACCGTCAACGCGCGATGAAACGGCTCAGAGTGCCTCCGCTTGGAGAACATCTTTCGCCATGGATTACTTTTAAAGTCGGCCTCTTCTCCGGCGCATTCATCATACTTTTTATAGCTGTGGCAATTTCTGGTGAGTAAAAGGCATATATTTTTCTTTCTCCAACATGGAATAGTGTTTTATATTTTACATGAAAAGAAAACAATTTCATTTTGTCCATTATGGCTAATGTTTATAAATTATAAATTCTATGTTATCTGAGAATTAGACGAAAACTCAGTTATAAGAATATAAATATCTCAATAAGAGGTTTCTATTCAATCAACCGAGTTTTAATGTAATTGAATGTTCAGGAGAATGTTTCCAGTCGCAGCAATAGAAATATCATTTCATCACTGAGTTGTCATCTGATCTTAATTTTTTTACGCGAAATGAAATACTTTTTCTGTTTATATTTATATAATATGGATTATATGTGTTATTTCAGCTATGCGATACAAAAACAACAACAATTGGAGGGTGCTCTGCCGGATTTATCGTGGACCACTTCTCATGATAGAGTTCCTCTTTCTCATGGGCGTCAACGTTTACGGCTGGAGGTCCTCTGGCGTGAATCACGTGCTGATATTCGAGCTCGACCCGCGCAATCATTTGTCAGAGCAGGTTTTATAACATATAAAATTATTATTTTATAGACCCCGTGTGACTATAAATAAAATATGTAAATGAAATGTGTTTATATATCACGCCACACATTTGACTTGGCTTTATGCAATAGTACACGTTAATGTTGATTGGCAATCGTCTTATTTTAACTGCCCATAGTTGAAAATAGAAACGTTGATGGATCACACGTATGTTTGATGAATCACATGCGCATTTATACTTTCAGCATATCATTGAAATGGCAGCCATACTCGGCCTAGTTTGGTCCATGTCTATTCTGGGTTTTTTCTACAGCGACACGTTATGTATACCGCCGTTTGTTCAACCAGTAAGAGATTACATATGTTCGACGTATAATGGGTATTCATCTTGAAATGCGAGACTTGAAATCTATTTCATTGCTTACGGAAAACGGACTTTTTCCTCGGAAAAATTCTCTTTTCAAAGAGCTCGCGATACGAATGGTCAATATTTCGTGGCGTGAAGAATTTTTTGTCTCAAACAATTGATTTTAATTAATTTCTCGCAGGTGCTGTTTTACGCGCTGCTGGCCTTATTTCTGTTCAATCCCACCAAGACGCTGCGCTACGAGGCCAGATTCTGGACGTTACGTGTTCTAGGTCGCATCTTCTGCGCGCCTTTCTTCTATGTGGGCTTCGCGGACTTCTGGCTCGCCGACCAGCTCAACTCCCTTCACACGGTCTTCCTGGATTTCCAATATTTTGTCTGCTTCTATATCCAGAACTCCTCTTGGACTGATGTAACAGGTCAATATAATTTATTTATCTGTTATCTTAAAGAAAATGTATATCGATGAAGTTACGCGGCACACAGAAGCGGTCATCTTATGACAGCAATGCTTTTTGTTGATTCCTTTTCATCGCAGGAAATCTCACTGACTATAAGGGTGATCTATTTTAAATACTCACCTAAAGTATTTCTGGAAAAAAATGTATTATTCAAAAAAAATTTCAGATAAAAGTTGTTTGGTGTTTTAGGAAGCAATTAAACAAACAGTGACTTTGGTCTGATCTTGTTCAGATTTCTGTACTAAAATTTTTATTTCAAATAACACTTTTTCTGAGATATTTTAGATAAGCAACTAAAGTAAGTCACTCTGTATATCTCAATAGTAATATACTCAAGGTGATAATAGTTATTGTCTCATCCTGTACACTTTCACCTTACATTTCTTTTGTTCGAATAGATGCGGAGACATGCATAGTGCGTGAGTTGTCGATGAGACCGTTCGTCGCGTGTTTGCCGGCGTGGTTCCGACTTGCGCAGTGTCTCAGACGTTATCGAGACACTAAGGAGGCCTTCCCGCATCTGGTGAATGCGGTGAAGTACGCGACGAGCTTCTTCGTAGTTATCTTCTCCTATCTGCACTTGAGGAACGCAAGTAAGTTCCTTGTTCGATTATGTGGACTATATTATTGGTTATTCTCTGTCTGTGCTGAAAGAATTTATCGTTTTTTGTTCTCTTATTTTCCCACGAAATAGAATACTACGCACTGTCCACTGAGAATCCCTACTTCTACTTGTGGCTGACAGTCAGTGTGGTGAGTTCTTGCTTTACATACACGTGGGACGTGAAATTGGACTGGGGTCTCTTCGACAGCAGAGCTGGAGAGAACAAGTTTCTCAGGGAAGAGATAGTTTATTCGTCACCTGTAAGTTTTCCTCTTCTAACGAACTTGCGTTAATAATGACTAATATCCTGTGAATTGATTATATCACATATAAGTTATACGTGAATTTTGTCTTTACATGATCACATATAATCATATGTAATTATACACGGAAAAATGCTGCTATACAAGTACAATTAAATTAAAATAATTGCTTATATTTGTAGTAAGCTGTGATGTAGACGCTTGATTGAATGAAACTGTTTTTCACAGTCTTTAACTTCTTCATTTCCTTCATTTAACAGTTTTCTCTATATGGACTATACTTGATTATATGTGCGGTCATATAAAGACAAAATTTATACTTGGGGCATATATAATTACAACTTGTATATAATAATATATGCTTTTATATAATTATAATTCCTCTTCTCGGGAAATCACATTTATTTAAATAACTCGCTTTTTCACACTTTGCAGTATTATTACTACTTCGCGATAGTTGAGGATTTTATCTTGCGATTCGGATGGGCGTTTTCCTTATCCCTGACGGAAATGGGACACGTTCACGCGGATCTTATGGTTTCTATAGTCGCCCCGTTGGAAGTCTTCCGGTAAGTGCACGCCTCAATTCGATGGTGCACGTGTGGAGCATGCGATGCTAAGATTGATGTGATGAATCTTTGTCAAATGTTTATACGTCGTCATACGTCGTGCTAGTTGAATGCTAGGTGAATGCAAATTCGATTTGTATCGTTATTTTATTTTGCAAGATATCAATATTCAAACTCGTAATTCGCACGCTGTCACCACTTGCATCATCAAAATTATTCTCAGTATTCTAATCTAGATTGCACTCTGTACAGTAAAGGAGTAGATAATCGTCGAAAGTCACAGGTGACTTGACCGGCGATAGGCCGGCTGATCTAATCGTTTGTCACAATGCGCCTTACTAATAAGTCACTAGAAGGTTCATGTGGAATTACTTCCGGCTGGAGAACGAGCATCTGTACAACGTAGGCAAGTTTCGGGCGGAGCGAGATATCTCCATAGGACCTAGAAGGCACGACGAAAGCGAGGATATTATTCGTCTGATGGATCGTGCGAACAACACCGGCGATCACGACGACGACAAAGGTGATAACGGCGACGACGGCGACGAAGAACTGTTGGAGTCCCATGACTTCAGTGCCTGATGCGTTGTAATTTATGTTTTTCCTAATTAATTGCTTGCGATTTCAATTTGCCGTAATATTCAAGATTCGATGTCGCACTACGTAGTTTGATATATCATTGGATGCACTACAATGTATTTATTATTATAGTTTGCATGTTTGGTATATGTAAAATATCCGGTAAACGTATACAAATGCAGTAACATCATCGAGATTAAGGCCTGGTCTACAATACGTGTCGTAAGTTGTAAGCCGTAAGAATTAGCGAATCACAGTCGATTATTACAAAAATAACCGGCTATAATTGGTCAGTTCTTATGGCTTACAGCTTACAACACCTATTGTAGACCAGGCCTAAGGTTCACACCGACGACGAGTTCTCGGATGAGGAAGCAGTCGGTAACTTCACGTTCTCTTTTTTCCCACAGGCGTTTCATGTGGAACTTCTTTCGCTTGGAGAACGAGCACCTGAACAACTGCGGGAAGTTCAGGGCGGTGCGGGACATTTCGGTCGCGCCAGCCGACTATTCGGATCAGACGCAGATACTGCGAATGATGGACTCCACTGACGGTGTGATCAATCGTAGGAAGAAACAGAAAGTCGAAGAAAAGCGTAAGCCGATCCGGTTACTGCTGATGGGCGAGTCGCTGTTGGACGACAATTAAGGAGATGATATAAACACCGATTACCTTCATCTTGACTGCGATTACCAAATAATCAAGCTAATAAAAAGGAGAAAATCCCGTGAGGATTTAGGATATCGCCATAGGGTCGGGTCTCTAAGCTGTCGCATTCACACTATTTGCATATGAAACGTTAATTAGACGTATTACAGTCTTTTTCTTCCTCTCGACGTGATTAAAAATTACAACTATCTGTAAGTGTAACGAATCGATGTAATTCTGCGCTGGAGACGCGCGACGGCACTCGCAAATCAAAAGGAAGGCTGCGTTGACGAACGTTGACAACTGATGTATTCTTACTCCGCGCAGTCGCTACTTGTACCTCGATGAAATAAATGCTTGTTATCAAGCGGAAATGCGTCTCAACTAGTAAGGACGATGGTATACGAAGATACGTACCACTCCTGTCAAATTACCGTCAGATCCAAAGTATCAACCCAGAACCACTTCGTCATCATTTAACGAGGTTCTCACTCCGCCTCTCCTAACAGTCCCAGGGCATGATCACCCAACACCGATCGGACGGAGCGTGCACCTGAAAAAAAAACGTCATCATCCAACACATCGCAGAGCCAGAGAAACATCTCATTGGTAGCGCTGGTCGCCAGCGGGATCAGAAGGTGAACGTCCTGGCGCACGAAGTCGGAACCAACCTGGTAAACCGGAACAAATCCTCACGTGTGGATAGGGGCTCGTAGGGTGGGGGGCACGTGGCAGTTGCTTAATGACGCCTAATGCGCTGTCTCATGCTAATCGCCGGCGTGGCGCGCGACGTGGAGCGGGAGCAGCAGGAGCAGGCGGAGGAAGAGGAGGAAGAAAGAAGAGGTGGAGAAAGAGGCGGAGGGTCGCTGCGAGGAACGAGGCACAGAATACGCGTCCCTGTCGTGCAGCGTCGCGCGACGGGGCGGGGAAGGGCGACTCACTGGTGGTCGTTATTGATTGAACGCGAAGCTGCGTGCCGAGCGCGCAAACTCGTCATCCGCCCTGAATGAAGTGACGTGCTCTCTCTCGCATATGGAGACGCGGAAAGAGCGGCGGTAAGGTCCGTGCGCGAAGCCCTCAGCAGCCGACCAGCAGCAGCAGCAACAACGACGACGACGACGACGACGACGACGACGACGACGCCGACGAGAGGATGCTCCCTCATCGGAGCTGCACTTGGCTGATGTTGATGCCGCTCCTGCTGAGTCTGTCCACCGGCGAACTTAGCTTCTACCGGGGTGAGTAGCTGCGGTTCGGAGACATTGACAAAGTCTGCCAGGGGGAATGACATGGTGAGATGCTAACGCTGGCTAAATTGGAGCCGCGGATGAGGGATGGACGGAGGGTTTGGGAAAAGAGGGAACGGGTGTGATGCGCGGACACTATTGGAAGACCCACTTGTAGGCTTTCGGGACCGTGTCCTGCTCAGGGTCAACGAGCGCTAATCCATTGAGCGTCTGTGTTGCTTCGACCATAGGACGTCCCGTGGGAGTTGACTAACTTCTGCATGTCGGTCGATTTGAGGGCAGGAATTGAGGGTGTTACGCGGAAGGACAGAGTTCTCCCGAGCATGCCGAGGGTTTTTTCTTTGTCGGGTAGAGCGTAGAACTCTTGTTTCTTCCTGCGAGATTTTCTTCAGGATTGCGACGCGGTGACAGGGTAGGGGAGAGAAACCGCAAGAGAGACGTGTTGTCAGCCAGCTGATAAGCAATACCATTATCGTGCTTGGCTTGTTGCTCTTTTCGGCGTCGGGGACGTCCAATTCGATTTGAAATGAGAATTCAGCACGCGCACGACACAGACGCTTCTTTCGCGCGATAATTTAACACGGTTGTTCGGGGACTTCGAAGAACATGGAGTGAAGAAAATTAAGGAATTCGAAGGACATAAAGTGAAAAAAATTAACTGTCTTTGTGCAACGTGAGAGATAATTATGCATTGTCCAATGCTTCATGGTGAAATTGTCAGAACGGCAAGAAAGTAACTCGGCATAGTCGTGCGCCTTCCGTCTTCAAGACTGGCCAGATAATCGGAAGGTCAAGAGTAAACTCGCGAAAGTGAAGAGTAAATAACGGGGCTGTCCTGATTGAAAAAGTTCGAGCCTCGATCGAGTCGGGCGGTAGGCGTAATGATTTCTGCCAGCGTAGAACTGTGCGTGCCGCTAGAGCAATTCCGCTAGAGACACGTGCGGGTGATTATGCTATGCAGCCTTATCGCACGCTGTACGCTATATATCTCGCCTGCAGGAAGTTCATTTGCGAGCTAACGAAAACGGCAGGAAGCGCGACGACGATAACACTCCGAAGCAACCGACCGATGCAACTTCGATTCGACGACCGCTAATCCGCGATGCCGTTTTCGTTACGCAACGTTTGCTGGCCAATGCTTCGTGCGAGATTACAGCTAACGCGATCTCCGTAGATCAGGACGAGGGCAGGATATGGATCTGTACCTAGATCGTCGAAACTGTGGAAACAGATCTGGCGCAGAGTCTATTTCACTAATCCCTTCGCAAATGTCGGTGAATGTAATCCGTTAGCCAAAACACAGCAGGATCCGCTGGCGGAGGATAATAACGGACTGACGGCAGAAGCCAAGCAGGATCTGTCTTTCCCTTTTCCTATTCAAATGTATTCAAATGGAACATGAGATGAACGTTCCAATTAGTGACAATTGCACCCGTTTTCCTCAATAAATCAGCCAGTCGGAGGTTCAGCAGATCCGTATTTATCTCAAAAATCTTTCGTTACATTGTACGTCAATAATTATCCTGTGCATATTTTTGCTCTAAATTTTATATATTATCGGCTGTAACAAACTTCGGATAAAAATTATGTGCGGTAGCAAATGCTGAAGCATGATTGTTACAAATGTACCACCGACAATGGAAGTTCGAGCGATTATTCGCCGATATCTTAGACAGTTAATATCAAAATCTCCATTAGATCTTTTGCAGTTATTCTTCAGTTTCTTCAAAACTAAACTAGCATGCCGCTAAATGATACTACAGTCACTCCTGCAAAAAAAATATGTTAAATAAACGAAAATTTCTCCATAAATTAAATAAATTCAACGTAATTAAAACTTCAATTATCATTATTTTCACGGCGAGGTTACTTGGTTAATGTCAATCGTCTATTTGTTAGATCTGTGCGGTTGTTCTGTGACTTCTTCAAAGCTAAATTCACCGAAAAAAAATAATTTCAGAATAAGTGGAATCATTTAAATTTTAGAGGATTTTATTCTTACATATGGCTTCAAGAGGATACCTCTAAGATTAAGAGGAAAATATTATAAACACATTATTCTTAAAGTTAGAGGGATTATATATACAATGCAAATCTTTTTAATTTTAATATAAATTTCCTCTTATACACAGATTATTTAATTTTTTGTCAAGAGGATTATTATTTACTCTTACTGTACTTTATTCTTACTGGTTTTACTAATTAATTTGGAAAAATTATAATGTAGCGAAAAGCATAATATATATATATATATATATATATATATATATATCTATATATATAAATGTATTTCTGGCTCGAGTTCTGCAATAAGTAGGCACGAATGAAATAAGATCATCATAACAAATAAATTTCCAATCAGTTTTGTTATGGATTTCATACCTATAAAGATGTTCATCACAATCAATTGAATGAAATATAATTAAAAGGAAGAATATATTATTCAACTTCTTGCAACAGATTGTAAACTGTATTTAATCAAATATTAATATTAATTATCTTCGTTATATGTTACAGCAACACACGTACCCTTTTTAAAAAGCGTTCCAAATATTCTGAGCCATGAGCATATGGTTAATTTTTCGTTCATGTCTGAAGATAGAACATGACTGAATAAAAGAAGCCGACATTCAAATCAACATATTTCTCTTCATATAAGAGGAAAATTAATTGATATAAGAGGAAATTCTCTTGAAACAAGAGGAAAACAATAGGAATAATATCAAATAAATTTTAGATGAATGGTTCACTTGAATCGCTTTATCGAAAGAGAAATCCTTTTTTTGTAAAAGGCTTCGCTTAGAATATGAGAATATGGGAAAAATCATTTTACAAATAGAATACTTTTTTGGAGTAAAACTATCGTGAAAAGAGAGAACTAAACCGTCATGTCTCCAAATGACATCATTTATTTATTCAACCATTTCTGAGGAAATATAAATAAATTAAGAATCCGTTTCATAATTCCCTTTCATAATAAATCATAAAAACATAGCGCAATCTAAACGCGAAGCGTTCAAGTTTTTCAACAGGATCAACTCCATATAGCTTAACGTACGTGCCTGTTATCAAGTTGTTCTCCCGATAAAATTATACTTGACCGCTAATTGAGACGTTCGCCCTGATGCAAATTTTCTTCGATTTCTGCCATCTGCCAATCTGCAGTAAAATCATATCAGCAGGCTGACAGAACACGAGCTTAATGCGAACGCATATGGCTACGGGTTCATCAAGGTATCCTGATTGAATCCGTTGCTGATTTGCCGTCATAGCTCCGACATTTCGCTTATCGGGTTTATATCTAACCGGAAGTTCTCCCTAGAGCGGTGTCACATTGCGTGAAGAAATGCCCATTCGGGATGAAAAACCCGGCAAACTCCTGTTGCGAAAATCTATAACCGGAGATGCCATTGCCGGCAGATGCTCTCCCGGAGACGTCGGAGGACATCGCCCTCAAGTACCTGGCCCGCTACCTGAAGGCGCAGCGTCTTCAGCAGTACCTGCAACCGTCCTTCCGGTCGCCGATGCACAAGAAGCACAGCATGCAACTGGACCGGCAGCGGCGCGAGTTCCTGGAAGTACTGAAGAAGACCACCCTGGAGAACCTGCGTAGGCAGCATAAGCTGAAGACGTGGCCGCCACATTACCATCAACAGTACAACCCGATCAACAAAATCATCCCGGAGCAGGATTACCTCTTGAACTTCTATGACCTGGGCCTCAAGGTGGGCTATCCCAAGATTGAGAAGTCGAGCGAGGACGACGGCGAAGGTTACGGGGATGGCCTCGGATACGGACGGGCCTTCCCCGAGGCCGACGGCGACGCGATGGAGCCCATGCTGGGCTTCCACGGCAAGTGGATGGAGAGCGACGATGCGATCATGTTGCACGAGGGCGGCAAGGAGAACAGCGCGCGGCCGGCGGCGGTCGGCGAGGCGATGGTAACGTACAGGTTCGACAAGTCGAACCTCGAGGAGAAGCATCCGTTCGCGGTGAAGCCAAACGATCTCCGGTACTATAGCCGTGCGTCCTCGTCGGGTAAATATACGGCGCGAGATTAATTCGCTTTCCCCTCGTCCCTCTCTCATGACGACCCTTCTCAGAGATTCCGGACGGTTCCGGTCATGAGCATGAGGATCGCACGAAGCGAGTCCGGACGAGTCTTTCCTCCGTTTATTTTTAACCATCCTTCTTTATAATAACAGCCAGACCCCTGTGCCCTGCGTAGCTTTCAATGGCCGCCCTTACCCTTCCTCCGCTCCTCCTCTCGAGGGCAAGCATGAATGGCACGTTGAAACTTCATGTGAACTCGTAGACGGCTCGTACGAGCAAGAGGACGCCGCAGAAGCGAAGTCGGACGAAGATAAAATGCTGTTGGACAAGGGGCGGATGTCGGCCGGCTACGAAGACAACGCGCAGGATCTCGAGCGGAAGACGTCGAAGGACTTGTTGACCGCAGTCGACGGCAGGCTGGAACAGGAAAGATCTGCGGCGCATCATCCGCTGATTGTGCCCGTGAATCACGACTTGAACAGCGACATTTATTTCATCGGTAAGCGAGTCTAGCGAAATTGCGATCACGGGGGCGCAGAGGCGGGGGCAGAGAGACTTCGCCGATTAAATAGAGCGACGCGATTAAACGGAGTGATTTGTATGCGCTTTCAGCCGTCGTCGCCGGCTGCAGTGCAGCAGCGATGTTCGCTCTGGTATTGATCAGCTTAACGTGGTGCAGGTAATGCCAATTATAACGGCCCGCTGCTCGCCAACTCGCATTTTATGTGCTCGTTTTTCCTTCGCATCATTTTTTATCTTCTTTTTCTTTCGCTTTTCGTTTAGACTGCAACGCGGCGCGAAGGCTGCGGCGGACATAGAGTATCCTGCTTACGGTGTGACCGGACCGAACAAGGACGTGTCGCCGTCCGGCGACCAGAGACTTGCCCAATCCGCCCAGATGTATCACTTCCAACACCAGAAACAACAAATTATTGCCATGGAGAAGTGAGTTCGCGTTCCGCAGCTTCATTATCGAGTGGTTTTAGCGGATAGACAATATTTCGCCCATTTTGCTCACGTCCTAACCCAAGTCCTCACCCTCATGAGATATTAATTACTTAACGCTAATTAATTATTTTTTTACAGTCGTACTTCTGCAACGAGGGACCCGGGCTCCCTTTCGGAAGCGGAGAGCGATGAGGAGAACGAGGAGGGCGATTACACCGTTTACGAGTGTCCGGGACTTGCTTCGGTGAGTTTCTATTTTTTTTAACCCTTTAACGTCCGACTTTTTTATAAGTGTTTTAAGAATAAAATTTGAGTTTTTTTGAACTGAGACTATAAGTAGTGATAACCAAAAAAAATATCAGAATTTTATATCTACGAAAAACTACCTTCTGAATAAATGAACACATGAAGTTTTCGCTTTTCGTTTGTTGGTTTCGTTAGTTTGGTTTTTTTATCGTTAGTTTTTTGTTTATTGATAAATATGACTTGGATCCTAAAAGCATGTACGAAATGAGCAACCTATACAGAGAAAAATGAAGGGTAATTTATACGACATAACTCTGATAGTCAGCTTGACATTTTTGAGCTGAAACTTTACTATATTTGTGAGTGAAGTTTATCATTCAGAGCGTCAAACTTACTATTTCAGAAGAATATCTTATAGATCACCATTTAGATAGTCAATCGTCCTTTCATTTTTCGCCGCATAAAAAACTGTAGGTCACCAGGTTTCATGAAAATAGGTTGATTTCTTGATTTTCGTGTCCACCATATTGGATTCGCCATTTTGAATTTCTGTATTCTTTTAATTTCACATTTTGCATCTGAGAAATCTCCCAAATGTATAAAATTATAACAGATACCAATTTATTACTTTATAGTGCACTTCTAGATGTCAGTAACAATGCTAATTATCCCTACTTGGAATTTGATAAAACATGTTATCATTAAAACTGAGTTAAAAGCAGACTAAACCGAATCTATATACAATCTATCATATGATATATACCATTTTTTAGAAGAATTATTCTTACAGTGATGCAAAGAAAACGAAAATATCTCCTTTTTTGATTAAGTTATGGATTCTTAAATGCGTTTCTGGTAACTATAATTACCAGTAGGCGTTAAAGGGTTAAACAACTAGTGTATTCCACTACCTCGGAATTTTCGTAGACATGCATTGTTCCGAGAGATCAATATCTCAAAATTTGGAAACTGAAAAATTCATCGATATATTTAAGCGGGAATAATATCTCTTAGTACATAAGATAATAATCAATCAAATCAAGTATCGTACAAATGGAGAAAGAAAAGAAAAAAAAATCAATGAATAGAATTCCTTAAAAAAAAGCAATTATGACAAATAGTAGTGGAATCTAAAAAGATTGTTAAAAAAAAAGTGTTTAATAATAGTAATTTTTGAATCATTCAAAGATATCTGATACAATTTTACAATACCACGATAAGTGTACGCTTTTTTCTTTTGGAAACAAAAAGTTGTGAAGATTAATCAGATCAAACTGAGAAGAAAAGTCAAGTATTATTTCGCAAAAATCGCGATAGTTATTAAGTTATCAATAGCCGTGCAGTTTAAGATAAAACTTCTTAATGGAAGACCTTGTGAATATTATCCTAACACGACGGCTCTTCTATGTTAAAGACAGGTGAGATGGAGGTGAAGAACCCGATGTTCCACGACGACCCAACACCGGCGACGCCGGCGCAGAGCAACAACAAAGAAGAGGACCACATATAGTTTCAATAAAGTAGAGAAATACCATCGCGCGATTTGGAGTAAATCTTCCCTGGTGCTTAGCTCACTGTTAATGTACCATATCGGAAACGTTTATCCGTATATTGAGTGTATACAACTTTAATACTTATATATGGCGCGAGGGGCGACGCGTTGCGCGAAGGCTATCGGGGGTATACCTTTGGTGTCAGAACGGCCGATGTCGTTTTTTTCTTCGTTCTGGAACAAGAGAGGAACACCTGTCTGCTCAATAGGCAGGAAAAATCGAAGCACTACGGCGAACGAGCCGATAAGCGTGTCAGCCGCGTTCTTATGCGGGCGAATTTAGTAGCTGCGTTTCTTTTTCTTTTTTTTGTAAGATCGATCGAATCCTGCAAAATACGCCTCTCCGAAGACATCTATCTAATTCCGGAAATATCAGAAGGAAAATAGTTCGTTTAATTCACAAAAGAAGGGGATAATTTGAGTATCGTCTTTTTCTTTTTTCGCGGTAGGAAACGACATCGGTTCTTCTAGCGCCAAAACCGTCGATCGCGGTTTCGCGGAAGTGACGGGGAAGAAGGGGAAAGAGGAGGGCAAGAAAGGAGAGAATTCGAGGGCGGTCGGAGCTGGTGGGGCTGGTGAATTGATGAATAAAATCGCGTCTGTCTGAGAACACCCGTTTTCTAACGTCGCGACGTACTATAGTTTGTACTTTCATAGCAGGAGCAGGTGTGCCGCACGATCGTCATTATTTTTCTATTGCTCGTCAACTGGATCCACCCCCGTGCCCGCGCGTATATCCATTGGATATTCGCGAATATTCGCGTGATAATGGGGTGCGCGCGTTGTCCGGGCGGCGGTATATCTCGAAAACCACCATTGTCCACGACTATACTCCCTTGAAAGTAAAACTACGACTTATTTCGAACGGTCTACACGCCGCTGTTTCGACTCTGTTTATTATCGATCGGACGTATATGGAGAGAGATAGAGAGAGGAGGGGAGAGAGAGAGAGAGAGAGAGAGAGAGAGAGAGAGAGAGAGAGAGAGAGAGAGAGAGAGAGAGAGAGAGAGAGAGAGAGAGAGAGAGAGTTGTGCACTATTATCGTATAATTATACAATCGTGTACTACACAGACACAAAAAAGAAAGAGAGAGAATCAACTTATACATTCCTCTTAGTATGCACAAGGCATAAGTAGCAGGCGATGTTCCGCAAGATACGTTCGTTTTATACACATGAGGGAACACAACGTGATAGACCGGGTGATTTCTATTCGATGACATCGCTGATATATCTCCTGTTGGAATTGCGACGAACGATCGTAACGGACGGACGGTTACCTGTGTTACTCACACAACCTCGTATTCCCGTTTGTGTAAATTCGCCCGGTTAATTCCAAGAGTGGATAAATCCACAACGGCGACAGTTAACAAGTTCCTTGCAAACTGTTTTACGCGTGATAATATTTTATCGAGATTTTTATTGTGAAGAAAAAGAAAAATAGAGCCGACCAGGTGAAATATATTTCTCGATCTTCCGAAGAAAGTATATATTCGTACACGCGTTTTCTTTTCCTGTAATCCAACGTAGTTGCTTTTGTACGTTGTGTGCTAAACGGTGATATTCTCATCCGGGTTGAGACGATTTTTATTTAATCGCACACACGAATTGTCGCATTGAATTATTTTTATTTAAATTAAATTATTTTTATTTAAATTCCTTTAAATTGCGCCTTCCAGTTATGAGATTTGTTACTTTTTTACGACATAAGAAAGTCAATAGCATGCGCTGTGCAAGCATATAAATTAAGTTGTACATTTCCCAAATTAACATATATAACATCTTTAGGGATACAATGTTTTTTTATGAGTAATAAAAACTCATGTATGCTTGCTGCGTGGAAACTGTTTTCCCAGCAGTTCCAATTTATACACATACACACACATACGCATACATACATACACACATATTAACATATTAACATACGTATAGTATTCGTTGGCTTAAAAGGACAATATTTTATTTTTCTATGATAATCGTCATTGTTAGCTGTATGAAAAAGAATTTATGAATCGCTGTAATCCTAAGTCAAATGCAGAGCTACTATTTATTTTAGTAAATATCAGATGTCTATATTTAACGCAAAATGAATAGAAGGTGTATACTCTCTGTCTTGCGTTATAGCTGTTACAGATTCTTCTATTCGCCATTATGCTGGGCAATATAAGCATGTGTGGCATAAGATCTCATCGCATAATGAATTCTTCCTTTTCCCCACTGTTAGTATATTATTAAGCAATTACAACATGTACCTTAGCAAATGAGTGTAACAATATGTTTAAAGCATGAATCTATGTTTCTAATCTTATACTAACACTATGGCATATATTATTACGCAAGTACATTAAAAATGCGTAAGCAGAGAACACTATGAAAGGACAATCTGTGTACAAATAGACTATTGGCATAGCGATTTGTAGCATGATTGTACGTGTGTTGTATCTCCACCCCGGAATAGAAAATTATTTATCTCGACTGCATTAAATTTAATCCTAATATCGCAATTGAAATTATATCTTACCTTGCAAACATTCATAATCCGTCTCTACTTAAATTGTAAGCGAAAATTATAATATTCTTATTATTTCGATTTCCACTAATCAAAACTAGTATAAAATAAAATATAAATTACATAGAGAATGTATTATTATTTTATTAAAATAAATTGTTTATTTTATAAAGTATTTTCTTTCACATGTACCATCGAAAAATATAAATATATAAATATAAATATATATTTATATATATATATATATATATATAAAAATTCGTCGTCGTTTTTCGGTATACTTTTTACATAAATACAAGATCAGAAGAAGATTTTATGAGACAGCAGAAATAGCTCATATTGAAACTGTAAAAAAGTTTACGATAAAAAAAATTTGAAAGACCTTGATAGAAAAAAATCGAAAAATCTTTCAATTTTTTATCACAGAATTTTTTAGTTTCAATAGAAACTATTTTCAGTCTCATAAAATAACCTTGTAATTATAATTGCGAATATTTAATGGCGAATATTTAGTGTCCACGCAAGGTTAGATGGTGATATGGCAAAACGTAAGAATGGTGAGATAAACGCGCATTGTTTTTCATCGCTGTGCGAACAGTTGCTGGAAAGACTCGGTCGCGCTATTATCCAAAACGGGTCAAACGCTCTTCGTCTACCATCTCGGCGCTCGCTCATTCATCCGACTTTTATAATTGGTATAAAATTGTGTTGATTTGCTAATATTTCTCGGTAATTAAAGATGCATGTGTGATATGATTTAGAATAATATACAGGCTGATCCGAAATTCCCGTTTTCGGAGTACAGGACATGATATTTTATGCTAAAACAAACAACTTTTTCCTTTAGCAAAATTGCGTCCGACAAATAGTTTTTGCAGAAGAAAAGTTAAAATTAACGTGTTAAAGTTAACGAATAAGTGCTCTTGTCTCGCTCAGGGTCGGTCGCGTGCCTCACTTGCGTGTATCTAGTCAGTGAGTATTCTAGTATTCATAAGTAATATATTTTAAGACGCTCATATGGCTCTGTTGTGATTAATTGACGACATCTTAAGATTGTCTTAAGCACAGTTTTAAGATGTCGTAAACTAATCACAATATGAGCGTCACACAACCGTATGAGCGTCTTAAAAGGCATTACTTATGAATATTAGTCACTGACTAGGTACACGCGAATGAGGCGAGCCGGCCCTGACAAGTAAAGGTACCCTCTGTCACTTACCGATTTTGATGAAACTTTGCCCACTTATAGAGCTGTGGAAAATAATCGACACGTATTTTTTTTATCTGCGGAGAAGCAGTTTTAACCCCTTTCATGGCAGAGCAAAATTCAGTAAAATGCACTGAAACCGCCTCAAAAAAATGACGGGGCGAATTTTTTCAATAATTTGTATACTTCAGTTTTTTTGGTCGTTGAAGCTGAATTTGAGGTCAAAATATAGAAATTCACTAAATGTTTAATCGTGCCACTTACGGTACGGTTTTGGCTGGACGCACTGGTGCATCCGTGCCATGGAAGGGGTTAAGGGTGGAAACTACCCCTTATTTATATAGAGTGTTTTCGCGTTAGAAGTGCTATCTTGTTGTTCATTCGAAAGGTTAAAAGGTTTCATGGGATTTTTGGGGTCGCTAAATTCGAATCTGACGTGAAAATTCAAAAATACAAAATGGCGGATCAAATATGGCGTCTATGTCTCGTGAGTGGGACCATTTTTTCTATGTAAAATAAAATGATGTTGACGAAAATTACAATTTTTTTAGGTTTTCGAGGTCGCTCAATGAATAATAAAATACTGAAATATATGGAACATTTATTCTCAATAGATTCATTTAATGTTAGGTGAAATAACAGCAAATTCCATATAAGTTGCCTGAAGACATTTCATATGCATAAAAACAAATGACAAACAGTAATACTAAAAATAGTGAAAACAATGTGATTTCCCTTATATATGTAAAAAATCATAATTTTCGTCGACATCATTTTAATTTACAGGGAAAAAATGGTCCCACTTACGAGACATAGACGCCATATTTAATCCGCCATTTTGTATTTTTGAATTTTCACGTCAGATTCGAATTTAGCGACCCCAAAAATCCCATAAAACCTTTCAGCCTTGCGAATAAACAACAAGATAGCACTTTTAACGCGAGAACACTCTATATAAATAAAGGGTAGTTTCCACCCTTAAAACTGCTTCTCCGCAGATAAAAAAATACGTGTCGATTATTTTCCATAACTCTATAAGTGGGCAAAGTTTCATCAAAATCGGTGAGTGACAGTTGGGTACCTTTACTTGCGAGTGCCACATAGCAAGAGCATTTGTTCGTTATTTTTAACACGTTCTTCTACAAAAACTACTTGTCGGACGCAATTTTGCTAAAAGAAAAAGTTGTTTATTTTAGCATAAAGTATTATGTCCTGTACTCCGAATGCGGGAATTTCGGATCACTCTGTATACATATACAGGATGTCTCAGAACTTTGGGACACGGGCTCCGTAGGGATATAGAGCTAAGTGAGAGGAACAAAAAAGTCTTCTGCCATAATGTGAAAATCGTAATAGTTTTTTAATTATAACAATAATTATAACATAAATTAATTATAAACATAATTATAACAACGCAAAGTTTGGCGTTTTCCACGCCCAGCGCGGCCTGGTAGAGGACTCTTTTGTTCCTTTCACTCTGTCCCTACGGAACCCGTGTCCCAAAGTTCTGAGACACCCTGTATATTGAATATTAAAAATTTCCAATCTCTAGAAAAAGAAAATACTTGAAAGAAATACTAACGCAGCTATACTGGGGGGAGAGGAGGGGATTGACTTGTAATCGACATATCTTGCTAATTAATGTCTTTAGACTAATTTTATGACTTTTGAAATAAGCAAAAGAAATCGTACATGTGAAATTAACATATATAGTTAAGAATGAAATTATAATCAATTTCATGGTATTTAACTTATGTTTCTGGCAAGTAGATTCCAGATTGAAAGTTCTTCAGGGTGATACCACAAAGAAGGATAATTTTCGATCAATTCAATCCATTTTTTGCAACATAAAATATCATGTCAGTTGAAGCATTGTCTGGCAAAGTCTTCTTGCTTGTGACTGGCGCCAGTCGCGGCATCGGTCGGCAAATTGCAATAACATTTGGTTCTCTATTGCAAGAAGGTTCGCATATTCTGTTATTGGCAAGAAACTTAAATGCTTTACAAGAAGTAGCCAGGAGTATACCCTCTAAAGTTACAGTTGATGCCGTTAGCATAGATCTAAGTAAGTCGACCAAAGTTACATTGGAAGGTAAATATAAATTTTATTTCTTAATAAGGCTGAATGATGTACAAGGTGTCCCATAACTCAATACGAGAACATTCCTGGAGACATAGAGCAAATCAAGAGTATCGCGAAACTCGATATGGGACTTTTATGTTTGTCTTAATCTGCTCCATGTCTCCACACGAATTTCTCGCACTGAGTTATGAGACATCCTGTATATTTCCATGTTAGAAAAATATATTGTACATATTCAATTCTCGTTTCCATTCTATTGTAGAAACTATATCATGTTCTCTGAACAAAGCTACTCCAGATTCATTTGACCGAGTGGTTTTGATACACAATGTAGGCACATTTGGTGATGCCTCCAAAGTTGCAAACGAATTGACGGACTTGAATATCTGGCGGGAATATTATGATCTAAACGTTTTCATTCCCATCGTTCTAAATGCAGTAGTTATGAATATGTTTAATAGATTAACAAATATTAAGAAAGTGGTTATCAATCTCACGTCTTTTTACGCTACTGAAGCAGGCTATGGTTGTGCCTTTTATAGCACATCACAAGCAGCACGAGAGATGTTTTTCAAGGTATGAAGGAAGATCCTGCTCTTTCCTAATGTTTTAAATCTATATTTTTAAGCACAATGAAGCTATATATATTTTTTGTGTAACGAGTTCTTAACTCCTTTTGTACAGGTCTTCACTTTAGAAAATCCTGACGTCGATATATTATCTTACTCAGCAGGGGTCGTTGAAACAGATATGCTTTATGAGGTGTCTGAAAACTTAGTCGATCTCAATAGTAAAAAGCAATATAAAGAATTGTTAGCAACGAAAACTGCATTGACTCCGGAACAAACGGTTAATCGTCTCGTGGAAATCTTACGAAAGCATAAATATAAATCAGCCGATCACGTGGATTATTATGACAAATTGTAAAAGGTTGATACTTAATTTTTCAACGAGTGACTTTCTTTGTTCTTTCTTTAAATATTCCCTGTATCTTCAAAATATAATTTGTAGTGAACCTGTAACAGAAATACAACTATTAGTTTGTATTAATTTCATCCCTTAAGAAAAATTACTTTAAGATATTCAAATTAACTTAAAGTTACTTATAGTTACTATAAATTACTTACAGTTAATTATTTACAATTAATTACTTACAGTTAAGTAATTTTAAGTTAATTTGAACATTTAAAGTAATTTTTCCTAAGGGATATTTGCTTAATACATACTATTTAAAACACACATACATGTGGAAAAAAGGATGAAAATATAAATTATAGACATCAACTACAGTGAGAGAAATCGTACATTCAATATCCAATGAAAAAATATATTTCGTAGGACCTTAGCTAATGACTCCTTCGAATTCTAAAGAAAACTCCTATTCGATATTGCAAAACCGATAATAATTACATTTATCGTGCAAAACAAATGGACGTTTTCTGCTGCATCGTTACTTTTCTTTTCATTATTAACATATGTTGGTTCACAACCATCTTCCCAGTCATTTGTATTGATTTCGTCCAAATTAAATCATAATATTGTAATATTATTGCAATATTATGATTTAAATGATTAGATAATTTAAGTGATTAGATATTTATTGATTATTAGATACTGATTATTAGATATATTGATTATTAGATATTTATAATATATTATTTTTATTTGCAGATATTCTTTCATATAGGGGTTATATTGATAGGGATTAAATAGATAGGGATTAAAGATGAGTTCTTGAAAATTTCTTATTCCAAAATATAAGTCTGCATTGTTAAATAGTAATATATTTTCTTATTAAATTACTTATAAAATTGTCGTACTAGATATATTATAATGCGTACACGGTATTCGTATAATTTATGAGATGTTTCGAAAAGAAGACGAAAACTTTCATATCCACGAATGGTTGCGAAGTCTTAACGCAACAGATCATAAACAGAATGACTTTCTTTGATTCAATGATTCAAAGCAATTTGCTGCCTTTGAAATAATATGTGTTTGAACGAATTCTAAGAATTCTAATTTTTCCTCTCGTAAAATATTATCCGAAATGTAGTTTTTGAGTAATAAAGATAAGTGTAATAAAGATTGAGTAATAAAGTGTAATAAAGATTGAGTAATAAATTGAGTAATAAAGATTTGTTTATTATACGGGTCGGGTACAGGAAAAACAAGCAAGCCAAGGACGGTATAACTCATCGTCAGATGAACAGCCGCTTACATTGAACGCTTAATGCAATGAATTTATCGATACACGTAATAATATTAATTGTACATATTTTTATAACTTCCGTTAATGATCGTATCGAATGCCACGAGAAGGGTTTGCGAAGCTGACACATGATTCTTTTTTTTACAAACGCGTATGATTGACACAGCAAAATGTATCAATTGAGGACAATGTTATCCAGCATGAAGGAATTAACGTGATCGCTAAACAGCAAGGATTGATGCGATCGTAATAGCGAATAAAGTGTTTTAAATTAATTATTATATTAAATTAATTATATAAAATTTTATAAAACTGAAATTTTAATTATAATTGAATTAAAATGAAGTATTTTAACGTTTGAGTATAAAATATTTGATTAGACGAGCATTTCTAAAATTTGAAAATAAGCTTTGAAAATATCAACGAAAAAACAGAAAATAAAAAGTGTTGATCACAGTTTGAAAAATATAAGATATTCTTATTTTTAAGAGAACCGATAAATTTGTATTTATTTTTAAAATTATTTGTCTTGAGGATGACAGTTTTTATTACTTTTAGCGCGCGTTCGTTCTCGTTAATATTAAAGAGCTTTATTTTCAATTTTACATTTGTTTTTGATCGTGACTTGGGGACTTTCCTTCCTCCTCGTGACGGGAAAAATTAAAGAGAAGAGAAGTTAACACTCCGTCGGTCGCAGTTTAAAATTATAAAAATTAGAAGTTATAAAAAGCCGGAAGTTATAAAAATAATGTGTGCAATATTATTACGTGTGTCGATAAGTTTATCTTATTAGGCGCTCAACGTAATTATAAAGATAAGTAATTTGCGTAATTACACAAATTACTTATCTTTATAATGAAAAAACGAAGCTTCGGATAATATTTTATTATACTAAAGAAAGAATCGTCTTAGAATTTGTTCAAGATCACTTCAAAGGCAGTAAGTTGAAGTTGTTCGAATCTGTAAGTAAGTTGAAGTTGTTCGAATCTGGGAATGCCTATTAATTGACGACGAAATTGTACAAAAGCGATGTGATTTGGCTCAACGACTCTAAAAAGCAGTTGCTAGAAAATGAGATCTTGCGTATCTGCGAGTAGCGGCGTAGCAGCCGAGCGAGAAGGATAAAGGAGTAGTATAATTTGCCGAAAATAAAAGAACGGAATGCTTTGAAGGGCCCGCCGTTTCATATCCTTAGCTTTTCCAAAATTCTTCCGCGAAAAGTAGCCCGAGCTGAATATTCGAATATTCAGCCATGCCGCCGGTATTTATCGCGTCACACGCGATCATCAAATTAAAAAATTAAAAAGATTACAAAAGTTAAACCACTATTGTAATAGTATATTTTTGAAACCAAATAGAATAAAAGAATCCAATACCACTTTTTCTTCCGACAAATAGCTACCGAAACATCATAAGCTAAATATTAAAAAAGTTACCAAGTCCGCCTTAAATATTTCAAAAAAATATTAGGCAAATAAACAAATATTTCAACAAAATTTATTCAAATTAATTGGTAGAAAAAGATGGTATAATAAAACATGGAGGTTCTCTTTTACGATTTTAAAGTTGACCTTGATTTGACCTTCAAATTTTATTCCTAGGTCAAATTCAAGTTTGCCACTATTAGATGCCCATTTCTAAATTCTGAAACTTTCGTATCTAATATTTTTTTTCAAATGTATCATCACCTCAAGTTAATCCGGGAATCCAATTAATTAAGTTAATTGATCTTTCTGGTACACCCTATATATCAATATATTAATGTCTATAGTTTTTGTATCTATACATCTGTAACTTTTTATCTGTAACTTTTTATATGAACGGAAGAAAGATGTAAAAAATAACATTTCGTCCTACCCTAAGCACCCTGTATATAGGGTGTCCCATTTTAAAGCTTCCAGGCAAATATCTTGAAAAATATGGAAGATACGGAAAAATATTTCAGACAAAAGTTGCATGGTTCTAAAAGGGACATAAAACAATTATATCAGTTTGTTTACAGATAACGTCACTTTCGAGATATTTATTGATCGTTACTTTTCTTAAATAGAAATCCCAATTTTTTATTATATCATCTTTTTCTATCAACTAATTTGAACAACTTTTGTTTGAAGCATTTTTCTATTTGCCTAATATTTCTTGAGATATTTAAGGACTTGGTAACTTTTTCAATATTTTCAATAAACTTGGTAACTTTATCAATATTTAACTTACGATATCTCCCTAACTTATTGTCGAAAGAAAAAATGGTACTAGACTTTTTTATTTTATTTAGTCTCAAAAATATATTGTTAACATAGCATCCTGATTTTTGTTAGTTTGATGATTTTGAAATTTCCAAAAGTCGATAAGTTAACAAAAGTTAGAGCACTATTGTAACAATATATTCTTGAGATCAAATAAAGTAAAACAGTCTAATACTATTTTTTCTTCCGACAAATACTTAGCGAGATATCGTAAGTTAAATATTGAAAAAATTACCAAGTTTTCCTTAAATATCTCAAAAAATATTAAGTAAATAAAAAAATGTTCCAGACAAAAATTATTCAAATTAATTGGTAGAAAAAGATGGTGTAATAAGAAATTGGAGTTTCCATTTAAGAAAAGTTATGATCAGTGAGTATCTCAAAAATGGCGCTATCTGTAAACAAATTGATATAGTTGTCTTGTGTCTCCTTTGAAACCATATAACTTTTGTCTGAAACATTCTTCCGTATCTTTCATATTTTTCGAGATATTTTCCTGCAGGATTTAAAATAGGACACCCTGTATTATCTGTTCTTTTCTGACTTACCTTACAAATTGACAGAGCGAACACATATCATGCGACCACCTAAAAAAATGCATCCAACGTAGTTTAAACACACTTCGTCAGAGGACGCTGGGGAAAATATGTCCGTCGGAATTTTTACGGGATGACTGTTCTCACTTCTCAGGCCGTCTCTCTGACAACTCGTTGTGCAAATGGTGGATGTATATTATGTTAATTCCTTTCTATAAATTTAAGTTGTGAATTAGTATACAATGGCCACGTCGAAAACTACAAACACATATAATAGACAGAATTGGGAGGATGCGGTAAGCGTTAAAAAAATATTGTGCAACAATATTTGTTACTTGTGGAATTTATACGACTGCAACTGATATTATTTTTCCATAGGAATTCCCGATACTTTGCCAAACATGCTTAGGTGACAATCCGTACATCCGTATGGTAAGTGATTGACAATTCTCAATTATTTTTTCAAATATCTCTTATTCTGTGGTAATGCGGTATCGATTTAGAAAAGCTACTATCTTAAATGTTGTCTTGTCAAAGAGGTTATGTTAACAGTAGTATATCAACGTTATAACTATAAGGTTTTTCTTGATATAGCAAATATATATCTACTTGATATGAAGCAACAAATATATCTTATCTTAAATAAAAACCTACGCATTGTTTTGATTCAGGCTGTTTCTTTATACAAACTCTAACAAATGTTTACATACTGAATAGCATGTTTTATACATGGAAGAGATCCGTTATGTATTGTTATAAATTTCTCCTTTAGAGTAACTATTGACCATACAAATCTTTTATTCACAGACAAAGGAGAGATACGGCAAAGAGTGCAAGATATGCATGCGACCGTTCACTGTCTTCAGATGGTGTCCAGGTGCTAGGATGCGATTCAAGAAGACCGAGGTCTGCCAGACATGTAGTCGACTGAAAAACGTTTGTCAGACATGCTTGTTGGATTTGGAGTACGGTCTTCCTATTCAAGTACGCGACGCTGCGCTGAAGATCAAAGACGATTTGCCGCGTTCCGATGTAAATAAGGAGTACTATGTGCAAAACATCGACAACGAGATCGGGAAGATCGATCCGACATCACCGGCGGGCGCCGTCGGCAAGTCTGCCGCGGCTAGCGACTTGCTGATGAAGCTGGCCAGGACCAGTCCGTACTATAAGAGAAACAGACCACACATATGTTCCTTCTGGGTGAAGGGTGAATGCAAGAGAGGCGAGGAGTGCCCTTATCGGCACGAAAAACCGACGGACCCCGACGACCCATTGGCCGATCAGAACATAAAGGACCGTTACTACGGCGTGAACGATCCGGTGGCGGACAAGCTGATGCGACGAGCCGCGGCCATGCCCAAGCTCGACCCGCCCGAGGACAAGTCCATCACGACTCTATACATCGGCAACCTGGGCGACGTGCTGACGGAGAAGCAACTGCGCGACCACTTCTACCAGTACGGCGAGATCCGCTCAGTGACTATGGTGCCGCGCCAGCAGTGTGCCTTTATCCAATATACGCAGAGAACCGCCGCCGAGGCAGCGGCCGAGAGGACGTTCAACAAGTTGATACTGGGCGGCAGACGGCTCACCATCAAGTGGGGCCGCTCCCAAGGCAGGCAGACCGTGTCTGCCGCGGAGGCGACGCGGGAGATCCTGGAGCCTGTGCCAGGATTGCCAGGTGCGCTACCACCGCCGCCGGAGGGCGTGGCCAACAATTTCTTCAACCTGCAGACCACCACCGGTATGATGCCGCCGCCGATGATGATCCCACCACCACCGGTTGCTCCGCAGTTCATGTTCCCGCCGCAAATGGCGGCGGCAGCCGCCGCTGCCGCGACGCCTATCTTCCCCCCAGGAACGACTCCCATACACTACCCAAGCCAGGATCCATCCAGAATGGGCGCCTCACAGGGCATAGGCAAGCCTTGGCCGGAAGAGTAGTAGCGACACTAGCCGCCTTGAGTTTTCATTGCTGTAACTGTAACGGCAACCTGGCCAAGAGAGAAATATATACGAGTATGCTTTTAAGACATCTTGATGTCGTGTCGTCGCGAACATGCATCGTCATCGGTTTCTCCTCGGTCGTGATTCCAGGTCGTGATCGACCAGTCGAGATCGATGCGCGCGGTTGAGATTGACGTCGAGCCTCGTGAATGATGCAAGCTGAATTCAAATGTACGTGCCGCGTCGGGCAGCATGTCGAGTGTTGTGCCCTTCGTAGGTATGACGATATCGATTTCCAGCCCGGACGAAGCGAGCCGAAGCGGCTCACACTGTGCCGCGGTGTCGTTCAAGATGACGGCCAAAATGTGGCAGGACAACGAAGTCAGATTTGACATATCTCACTCGTAATTATAATTCCATCGTTTCAATCGCTCATCCGAGCTGTACTCGACTTCACTCGGTTTAACCGTTTGCGTAGTGATCCTCCCGGAGTGCCACCTATCATCTAAGCCTGTTTCTCCAATAATTTACATTTCTCACATATTTCTTTAGCATATCCGGACTACCATTGCTGGACTACTAAGATGTTCCTCTAACTAATATATCAACTAATATATCAACTTTTAGAGTCATTTCAATTGAGTAATTTGTTATTGATAAGCGTATATTGAATATATATATATAAAACTGTCGTTTTTGGAGAGTAAATTCGTTTACACGAAATTTTAAGTAATAACGTATACTTCGAAATCATTATCTGAGGATTTTTGGGGTCGCTGAATACAAATCTGATGTGAAAGATACAAAATTCAAAATGGCGAACCCAATACAGCGGGCTGATTTGCGGAAGATCAGTTGAACTCGCTTGAAACTTGTTACTCGAGGGTTTTCGAAGTCGCCGAATACGAATCCGGTATGAAAAATACAAAATTCAATATGACGAACATAATTATTATAGAATTATAGAAATTTATTATTATAGAAAGAATAATTATAGAAATGAGACAGGCTGACTGCGCTTGAGAACCGGGCAACCTGACCGGTGTCAACCGAACCTTGCTGAATATATTCGTCATAGCTCTGGCATTTCGAATTCTCGATAACGAGTTTGTAATTAACAACCTCGAAAACCCTTAAATAACAAATTTCAAGCGAATTCGACTGATTTTGCAAATTTCGTCCGCCCATATTGGGCCCGCCATTTTGAATTTCGTATTTTTCACAGCGGATTTATATTCGGCGATCCTAAAAACCCCTGAGTAACAAGTTTCATAAAATAATAAAAAAAAACGTGCAACAAAGGGTTAATAACGTTTCGCTCACGCGCGTTTCTCATCCGCGCCATATCTTCGCGCTCGCCGGACGCGCGATTAAGCGCAGCTTAACGGTGAAAGTTAGAAGAAGAAGCTAAAGTAAATTACACATTACAGACGCCATGCGTGTGTATGTGTCTTGTGATCTATTCTTCGAATGCGATATATATAGCAGTTTGGACATCGCGAAATTTTGTAAAGCTCTAAGTTCTCGCGAGAAGAAGATATTCCGATGTTCCATGTCTGAAAAAAAGAAAAAGAAAATAAACGTAAATTACGCACACGAGACGCCACGGACGTGTTACACTCGAAAGTTATTTTTTTATTGTCTAAAACGTTATTTTGCGTGCAGCAACATGCAGCTGCGAGTCGGCGAGCTTACCGTTGACAAACTCGACATGATAGAAGACATGAAAGGCAACGCCGGCGACCTGGGAAGATTAATCATCACGAACCTGAGAATCATATGGCATTCCTCGTCCTTGCCGCGGATCAATCTAAGTATGACCTCCGTGGCATTGTCTCACGTAGTACATAATATTATAGCAATATCACAATAATATTAAGTTTCCATTGTAATATTACAACATAATATGGTAGAAATATTATTACATTATTACAGCGATATCACAGTAATATTATGGTGATATACTACAGTAATATTGTGATAATATATCATAGTAATATTGTCACAGTGATATATCACAATAATATTATTGTAATACTATAAAGTTATAGAATACTCTTACGGAAAGAAACGTTCAAATTTGAGTATATTTGAGAGTAAATTTGAATAATTGAATATAAACACTCAATATTTGAATGTTTCTTTCATAAGAGTTAATTTTATATTAGTTAATCTAATATTAGATTTTAAATGTTATCGTTGAAATATTATGTTTGTTAATCATTTTTACCTCTTGATGATGTAAGCAATTCAGTTTTCTGTGATGTATTCACAGTTTTTAATTCAGATTTTTCTGCCTTTATTCTAAAATCTTACAACTGCTATATCTCGAAAACTAAACATTTTAGAGAAAATGTTTTAGACAAAAGTTGTATAGTTTCAAGTGGGACATAGAATAATTATATAATTTTGTTTACAGATGATGTTACTTTCGAGATATTCACTGATTATTTCACTGATTACTTTTCTTAAATGAAAATCCCATTTCTTTATTACATCTTCTTTTTCTATCAATTAATTTGAACAACTTTTATCTGAAACATTTTTTTATTTGCCTAATATTTTTTGAAATATTTAAGGAAAACTTAGTAACTTTTTCAATATTTAACTTACGATACCTCGTTAACTATTTGTTGAAAGAAAAAATAGTGTTAAATTATTTTATTCTATTCTTTTTTGTCTGGAACGTTTCTTAATATGTTTCATATTTTTCGAGATTTTTGCCTGACTCATTTAAAATGGGATGCCCTGTATTATCCCCGAAATATTTTATTTATACTCCAATGCGATATATAACGTTTAAAGTAACAAATGACATTAAATGACGTTTCAATGACGTTTCTAATGCCCATAAGACATAACAAAAACGTCACTTAACATCATCTTGCTACTTAAGATGGGATATATTGCAATACAATATTACAGTAATCTTTTAATGTTACATATAAACGTAATATATCAGTAATATTGTACTGTAATATGTAATATTAATGATATATTGCAATCTAACTATGATATTTCTGTAATATTACGTGCTATGTGGGCTATCACGCGTAGCGTAATCTCTAGAATCTCGAAACACAAAACGTCGCCGCGAGGTCATCGTCGCTTAGCCGCTCGCGAAGAAGCGTGAAACGTGCGTGGTTATTTTGCAGGTATAGGCTACAACACCTTCGTCACCGTGAACTCCAGGATCCTCCACATGGTAAGGATCGTCCTTCGCTATCTTTGTCCGTCGACACCGTCACGGTGGTGACGTCGTTTTCTCTTCTTCTCGTTTTCCTTTAGGTCCACGGCGGGTACATACAAGCTCTTCACGTGTTAACTTCCTACCGAAACTGCCGATACGAATTCATGTTTACGAATCACGATACGAAAAGCACGAGGCACTACACCTCGGTCGTAGGCGTTTACAGGTGATGATGCTCTCGCTGTTAAAGGGGGAAATTACATGCGGAGCAGGCCACTTTCAAGGCTATTTTTACGATTTTTTTCAACAGAAACGGTAAGATCAATCGACTTGAAATTTTCGCAGTGTATTCGTTAATGTTCAAAGTGTAAAATAAATTTTATTGCATCACCAGAACCGAACCAATTTGTAATTATAATATAGATAAAAATGCAATCATCCGTTTGCAAGCTCTATGTTTGCTGTCGACATAATTCCGGGCCTCTCACACTACTCTGAAAGCAAAAAATGAGAAAGATTTTTTAAATATTCGGCAGGGTTAAGAGTTATTTTTTAAAAGTAATTCATTATCGTTACCGTTACTTTCGGTAAAAAGTAACTCGTTACCATTACTCGTTACTGGTCTTAAAAAATAACGCGTTACCGTTACTTAAAAGTGACGATATTTTACTTCGTTACTTTTCGTTACTTTTTCTTATTGTAAATCCGGGATCACAAGAAAGGTGCTAAGACAAGATATAAATCGGACATAAGATGATTAGAAATATATATATATATATATATTTAAATATTTTTATTATTTTATGTTATTAAGTGTTATATTTAATGAAAAGTTTCTTAATTAGTGGATATAAATTTAATATTTGGACATTAATGCCTGTTGACTTTAAAAATGTTTGCCATTCATCACAAGTAGATTCCTCATTTGATGTTTGCTGTTTGACATTAAAAAAGTCATCGTTATCATCGTGCTCAAACATCAAAGAATTTTCAGCTAAAGGAATTCCTAATAAATCTCCTAAATATGTTTGTGCAAGTTTTCGCTTATCTCCGGCTAACCAACTCAATTTGAATTTGGAGTACAAACAGCTGGCAATTATAAATTCTTCTTTTTCGAATGTAGCACAAAACCTAAAGTTAAATAAATAAAATTAGATATCAGATATGAACTGATAGATATGATAGAATTAGATATGAACATATTAATTTTTCTTTGTGATCAGATGAATGTTGTTTGATGAACATACGTGTTAATCAAATTACACCAACTTACCTTTCTTTTAAACCTTTCTGTACACCTACGTTTAAAAAAATGAATAAAATAAAATATAACTGTGTCCGAGGTAGGGGCGAAAACTACATGTCTACTGCATATTGTGTAAAAATTTCAAGTTATTCGTTCAGTCGTTCAGTAGTAGTTTTTGCGTAATCGTGTCGACAGTTTAAGAAAATTGTGTTTCGAGATAAACGCGTTTAAAGTTTTACGTGCACTTTCCATATAGATAGTAACACATTTATTTTATGCTTTGAACATTAATGAGTGCACTGTGAAAATTTCAAGTCCATTGATCCTACCGTTTCTGTTAAAAAAATTCGCCTTGAAAGCGGCCTGCTCCGCATTCCCCCCCTCAATCAGCGAGATCGCCGTCGTCGTGTAGCGTAGTCAGTAATCGCTTCTAAGAGACGTCTCTTGTAGAGCTTACGTGTCGTCGAAGATCTACCGAGAGATCAAACTGCGAAGCGGCATTATACAGGAAAATCGACTGGTCCTGCTGCCGCAGGAGAAGGTGCAATCTTCTGTGCAGGATGTTTGGAATCTGTCCATCGAACAGGTTTTTACAGATCCAAATTGCGATCTCGATCAACCGTATTGATATTAATTGAATTATTAGGCGCGCGAGCGCGATTGTTGACAGGATGAATGGTTGTATTTCAGGGGAACATCGGGACTTTTATCATAACAAATATACGTTTGGTGTGGTATGCGGATGTGAACCATCAGTTTAATGTGTCGATACCTTATCTTACAATTGGAAACGTGAGTGTCGGAATTACGAATATGCATTTAACGGACAGAGTCGTTGGATAATTACAGGACATGCTGTTTTCTCTCTCTCTCTCTCTCTCTCTCTCTCTCTCTCTCTTTCTCTCTCACACACGCACACATACACACACTATTCAGTATCTTTAGAAATTGTCGAGTAGAAACCGTCGAGACACGCAACGGAGAGAAACCGTTCTGTTTCCCGCAGATCACTATTAGAACATCGAAATTCGGGCCGACTTTGGTAATCTTAAGTACGGAGGCCAGCGGAGGATACGTCCTAGGTTTTCGCATTAATCCCTTGCAGCAGCTTCACATCACTCACAAAGAGATCTCGGTGCTCCGTTCGGAATTCGATAAGTTTCCGATTTTCGGTGTGGAGTACACGTTCGAGCATCAGGTAGTTTATAACGCATATATTAATGTATACTTTATCACAGTTGCATTGGCTTCATTGCGGTCCAAGGTCCATACTATCGCATGTACGTATTTTACTCAATAAAGAGAGCGTAAAATCAGACCACATTTAGCCATATCGTTAAGTGGAAACAAAAAAATTATACACACACACACACGAGATGAGGCACCTGAAATAGAGGTCGCCTGAATAACTTTGAAAATATGCAAGATGGAAAAAAAATGTTAGACAAAATTTGTAGGGTTTTAACTGACACGTCACATAGCGATATTAATATGACCTTGGACAGCGTTATCAAGGTTACGACAAAGTCACCTTGAATTTTTTAAATGGAAAACCTCCATTTTTTTAATGATATTTTTTACCAATTAATTTAAAAAACTAATTAATTTGAATAATTAATTTCAACTTGATTTGAAATTCCCAAGGATTATCGAGTAATAAAAGTTAGGACACTATTAATGCAACAGCGTATTCCTGAGTTCAATTAGAATAAAAAAGTCGAGTACCACTTTTTCTTCCGACAAGTAATTATTGAGATATCGTAAGCCAAATATTGAAAAAGTTATCAGTTAAAATTTTCCTTAAATATCCCAAAAAATTAGGCAAGTAAAAAAATATTTCAGACAAAAGTTGCTCAAATTAATTGGTAGAAAAAGATGATATGATAAAAAAAGAGGTTCTCATTTAAAAAATTCAAGGTGACTTTGATGACATTGTTCGAAATCATAATATTGCTATATATAGTGATGCGTTATTTAAAATCCTACAACTTCTGTATTTAACATTTTTTTCTACTTTGCATATTTTCAAAGTTACTCAGACGGCCTGTTTTAAGTGCCTCACCTTGTATATGTATAAAATACAAGATTATATACACAAAGATTGTAATTTAATCATATATTTATCTTACGTACAATATACAATCGTAAAATTATATATTGAAAACTAGATTGTATATCGATACTCCATATTCGCAATTTTGATGAATAAAAGTATATTTTCGTTATACTTCTCACTTGGACCACAACTTGATTAAATCCTAAGTCCGATTTAAAACTGCCTCGATAACTAACGCTCTCCCCTATCTATGAGAATCTCTCTCGCAATCTATTGAGTATCGTGTTGGTAAATTTTCTCCAGTAGCAACATATTGTCGCACACAACGCACTCAAAACCCATTACCATTACAGGCGCCGTTACAGGAGGAAGTTAGCATGGAACATTTTACTGAGATACAGGACAATCAAGCTGAGATATCGAATGTCTTCGGTTATTATTTTTCCGAGGGAGAGACGGGTCAGAGAAAGCCTAATTTCTCAATTCATCTAGGACTCGCGGCAGAAGAGCCAAGAGAAGGTAGTACGTTACAGAGCCTATGGGAACTAGTACCGTCGTCTGTTAATTAATTTCCTAGCTTAGACATCTTTCTTTTCTGCCAAGTTCTGCCACTCTCTTTCTCATTCATTCTAATGCTTAGCTAATTACGAGACAACTCTTTCCTGTTATTAAAGGTTAGCTTTACAAGGGGATAAAAGCAAACCCATTTTGTACAAAGAGATATCATAACATGATATATTATTAACTGTATCATGCTACATGTATCCGAAACACAATTCTGCTCACGTTACTTCATGTCTTTTAGCAAAGTCTCTTAACAAAGCACAATATTAATTGACAAATAAAATTCTATTTTTCCCTTCAGTTTTATAAAAACACCGTCGCAATAGATTATACAAGAAAAGTGTTGCTTGACATACTTGTGAAAAAAATAAATAATTAGAAATGGAAATAATATAGTATATAATTATAACCACACACGCGCGCGCATACATTCACACAGGTGTCGATAAACCTTTTTAGTTGTGTAATTGCTCTTGGTGTGTGCTCTCTTGTGTGTTCCTTGCGAGACTTAGCTTGGCCTACAATTTAAAGCCTGCGTGAATGACACGTCGCGTTGATCCTCACCGTCCTCATCGCTGAATTCTCCTTGGTGAGCAGGCAATCTGTATCCCATATTCATTAACATTATTTCAAATGGATCACTGTTCATGCGTATTTGGTTGGCCGACGCTGCATCATCTAGATTCCGAATTTCCCTTTCATTTATTCTGCCATCCTATACAAAGAAAAATTTAAGATGTAAGATACGTCATCTTCAATTCCGCTCGCTATATTATCAAGAGAAGAAGAGAGGGGAGAGACACTACAGTCTCTATTTAATTCCAATAAAATGTTAAAGGATTATAATGTATGATATACCTCTGGTAACGGACTCCATAATCTAATCACTGGATCAATACCACTAGTAGCTAACAGGCATGTGGATGGATGTGGTTGCAGACAATTGACAATTCTATCATCTCCTCGCAGCACACGTACGATGTTGGTAGTACTACGATCCCAAATAAAGAAAGAGCCGTCATCTGACCCGGCTACTATATATTGACCGTTGCTGGAAAGAAAAATCGACATTAAAACGGGCTGTTGTATTAGAAGTTATTTCAGTAATGTTATTATTTAAATTTATTTACTTTCCGAAGAAATTTGCCTCCTTTATATCGGTCGTAGTATTACAATGGCCACAAAATCTCATCTTGTAGTCAATTGAATTGCGCCTCCATTCTTGTTCGTATTCCGATATCGGGAACTGCAGATGGTTGGACTGAGAATAGTCTCTCCCTGATAGATAACAATATTAGAATTAAGGATCTTATGAATATTAATAATCGCGTACAGGGGCTTGATTCTTGACGGCGTGCGAATGAGATGCGCATACGAAAATCTATATTATATGTAACGTAAACTGTACATTTTCGCATATGCATCTTACTCGCACACCGTCAGGAATCGAGCTCCAGGGTGAAAAAATATGGGTGATTCACCTGATTTGATCGTCTCGAATAATTTTGAAATATGAATTTTAGAAAGTGTTGTATATGAAAGAAGTTTCGGAGACTTGGAGGTCAACTTCGTTTTCTCTTTTTTTTATGTAATCATACAATTTGTTTGACATAAATTGATTCTTCAAGTTAATCTGTGCAAAGATTATTAAAGATCATTAAAGAACATTAAATAGTGAGTACTTCATGAGATATTTTACATTTTATCCTGATACTCTTTTTAATATATGATATTAAAAATCTCGTAAAATATTAACTTCCCAATAATCTATGCGTCTTATACACAGTATAAAATGAGGAATCGATTTATGCTAAGGAAAAACATGATTACATGTAAAAAATCGAAATTCACCTTCGAGACTCCTCTGCTTGAAGAAAGCACATTTGCTATGTACACAATGTGTACACTTGAAATCACACAACTTTTATAGACTCTTTCATAAATTATGTAATTTAAAAGTTATTTGAGCTGATCAAATTATGTACAAGTGAATCTGTATATGCATACAAATTTTAGAAACTTATTTTAATGAGAAAATACTGAGATAATAATAATTACCGTTATCAATAGCTTCCTTTATATCCATCCTTAATGCTTTACATGATGAATTAGATACATATTCTGGGAACTTTTGTTGAAAATTCTTGAGTATCTTGTCGGCTTCTAATGCTCGATTCAAATCAAACAGGCAGCGCGCCAATCTATGAGAAAATACCAATTAATAAGATAACAGTAAGACAATTTAGTAACTTTGAGGAAAGTCTTATCAATGTAAATACGAAAATTTCAGTCGTAGAGCAGAGAGAAATAACAATGTACATGTTTGGATTTTAATTCGTTGCCTCAAGCTCATTATTACTGTTATTAGCTAATGTTTATTGGTATTACCTAAAGTGCGCCTTAATATGTTCCGGATCAAGAAGTAATGTTAATTTACAATCCCGTAAAGCTGCGTAAATATCACCATCCCTAGAAATCACATATATGTACATACACACTCTACCCACACCGTACCACAATTGTATGTATATATAATACAATTATTTATATCTTTAACATTATTATTAACGTAAGTAATTACCAAGCACGTTTCATGTAAGCAGCTGCTCTATTAGCGAATAAAACTGCTGCCGTTGGGCAACGACAAATTGCTTTATTATACAAATTAATTGCTAGCGAGAACTTTTGCTGCTCAAAACCCTCATTCGCCTATTAATGATAAAAAATATGTCGATTATAAAATAATAGATGTAAGAGAGACGCGTAATTCTTTTGTACAACTATACTTACTTCACGTTTCAATTCTTCAACATGCGGCGGCAATACTTTCACGTTTTTTTCCGTGAAGTCTTCCATATTTTCCATGTCACTCTGTTCCACACAAGAGCTTCCAAGTTCTATATCCCGTTCGATTGATCGTAAAACAAAACAAAAACAAAAATGTTAGTCGTATAATAATTTTCCAACGGACAAACTCAATGACAAATACCTGTATATTTCTTTGGCGAACAATTAAGATATGCCTTCGAATGTTTCGGATTATTAATATCGAACAAGTAAATCTGTTCACCGCCCATGTTCACGAGTAACTCATTTCCGTCGTCACTGAACGTCAAATAAGTCGTCGTGATGCTTCTGTTACTGTCGCGAGAGCGCAGATGACCTGTTGAATATTGGATGATGATAATATTCATCAAAGTAACTGCGCAACAGTCAGCAAAGAAGGAGAATAAGGGATAAAGGAGTCGCCTACGTTATTTCTGATTATACGAACGAACCTGCGATAAAATACTGTACGCTACCCAATGGGATATTGTCATCTGGATCGCCCTTGCCTGCCCGATAATTGGTGAAATTTACCCATTCCGTATTTAAGACGTGTGTAGGACACGGTGGAATCTACATTTTAAATAATTAGCATATTACAATAGTAGAAAAAATCGTGGTTTCGAGACTCAATGAGTGGAATTACCTGTGACAACTTTATCATTCTCCGGTCATACATCCGAATGTAAGCATCATTAGCACCAACCGCTATCAGCTCAGGCTTCTTCGAGTTCACAGAAATGCACTTGCCCTCCACATTGTTACCTGCATGATATATCAGGTTCACGAGTACATTACGGTCCTCGCTCCTGCAAACATGCGGTGTACGCATGTCGTATTGCAGAAAGAGACCGTCCTCGCCCGCACTCCAAAACAAGAAGGGTATACTGGGCGCAGTGGCGATACGCTTAACGCGTGCTCTGTGGCATTTGCATGTGAATATTGGTTCAGTATACGAGAACGCAAGGTCGTACACTCGAATCCTGCAGTCTCCTGCACCTGACACCAGTACACGGTCATTTGATTTTGGCATAAACTAAAAGCAAATACGAATGGTATCAAAGTAAATAGCACACGCGATCTTACAAGATACCTAAGAAGTTCTAAGAAGCTATGCTACTTTTAATCTCGCATGTATCATTAATTTTTAGTATTAATTCAATATTAATATTAATTCTGGATGTACTATTAATTCTGAAAAAGTCCTTTAGCACAATAATAACTCAGTGCAGATTCAGAAACTGATTCTTCTTACTTAGCTAATATAATGTCATTAGTTTAAATCAGTCTTTCTGTAAAATCAACTATTGTATTTCAGGTCAATTAAATTGATAATAATTAATAGATTTACCTTGACAGAAAATATATTTCCATGATGGCCTGTATGAAGTACTAATTTTTTTTCATAACGAAAAGGGTCCCATAATATAATGTCCTTGTCATCTGATGCTGATGCAAGGATTCTGAATGAAATAAGATATTTTAAACTATTGTGTTACAAATTAATAATATATGAAAGTACAAACAATATTTACTGTCCACTCTCATTCCATTCTAAACAATTAACGCATCCTGTATGACCATTCAATTCCTTTTCTAAACCCAAACGTGATATTAGATTACCAGTGACTTGCAATTTTTGTTGAATTGTATATGGTACTATATCCTAAATAAATTAAATATTACGTATATTTCTATGTACAATTGCAATATGATAAATGCATATTTAGATATATTTTTTTATGACTTACATGTATTTCCCTTTGCCGCACCAAGTCTAGGACCCTATAGCCCTTTTTTTGAATATTAGGTAACAGATCCATGTTATTTCATTTATTCTTCCTTCTCCTTATTGTGGCACAAAGTAAATATTTTCTGAAAATAAAAATATAAGACATAGCTATTTTACAAATATCTGCATATATCAACTAAACTAATCGTGACTTCAAATAACCTATCGGACAAAAAATTAAGCAAATTGAGAATGATTTAACTGCTTGAAATGACTTTACATAATTGTATTATCGTGTACACTCTGATTTCTTACCATTTTAATTACGTTTTTATATTCAAATAAGGATACAGGACATCTCAACGATATATTGATCTTTAGTTTTCTGAATTTTTAGTAAAAAAAGCCACAATACAAAGAATAATTTCTCTCACAAACGGTCTCTCTAAACGAATTATTCATAAATGAAATTTATGCGAAGTATGCACGAACGAAATGTTGCTCTCGGTAGGCGATCCAAATGCGAGAGGAATATTGTAAATATACTCAGAAGTATGAAAATACAGTTGGACTTACAGCCCCGTTTATTCGAAGCTTCTCGAGCATAAATTCGGCATCGCATGGCAATTCGTACGTTTCACGCGAATGTTTACCCTTTGCATGGTAGAAACACAATAGAAATTGTAACGGAGAGCAGAGTTACAAAGCAGCTGTCGCACTCTTCGTCGAAACTACAGAAAATTGGAAGAGGAAATTAGTGCGCAATATGCAGCGCCATCTGTTGAGGGATACGAATATTCAAAAATGCGAGATCTCATTGATCGATAAAAAATAAATATCCTGTTATCTGCATCTATAATAATAATATAATTGTTTACAAAATTACTATGCGTTAGATATAATAATATATTGCGAAGAAATAAAGTCTGCATTCTATTAATTCATTCATTTCAACATTGTATTGATCTTTAGTTTTCTCAACTTTTAGCGAAATCACAATACGAGAATTACAGATATTAGTTATTGACAATAATTCGTCAATATAAAAAAACACGACTTGCAAATTTTATTTCCTCCAGAAGGTACACCAGATTACAGGAAATTGCCATATCGATCATATTGTATGATCGGCGGAGACACAAATCATATCACGGAATTGTCCACTAAAAATTAGAAAATTTTATTGATCGTGCGCCATGATTCTCACAATTAGATATGATAAATCATAAGACTAACCCTATCGAAATTATTCAGTAATATCAATACTTGTAGAATTATTCTCGGCGTAACTCCGCGTGGTGTTTGCGACGGTAAATTTCGCAGAAGCGTCTAATTGTATAACCATGACGAGATACGTTATTACTGCTCCAGCAATCTATAAAATGTATTAGAATATATTAGGCATCACGTATCATTATAATATCGAAGAAAAGCAGGGTTTTGCTTACGGAACACATAAGAGAAATATTTATTTCATATAACCCACAAGCGGTGAACACTAAATTTTCATGAACCATCTGAAGGGAAAAGTATACCACCTAAATAACAGAATGCACATAGAATAACAATTATTTTAAATATTTCTTCTGGTTAAAATTTCAATATACAAATATGTTTTCTTACCTCGGACCGCAAAGACTTATGTTCCAGGAAAGCATCATGCAAAATCTTTGCCATTCGCCTAGACTAAATATACAATGAGACGAAGTTTCAGTAAATATACAATGAGACGAAATTTTATTATATACCCAGACAGCATACGGATGTCCATTGGACGTCCGTTATATGTCCATTTTTTTTACTAAAGACGTCCATAGGACGTACGTTTGTCACAACTTGGGACATAGGATGTTCGATGGACGTACATCGGACGTCCTATAGGTCCGATGTTCAATAAGGACATCCTTGTTACGTCCAATTTATGTGCACGGACGTAAATCGGACATACGGACATAAATTGGACATGAAAGGTACATCCACTGGATGTCCGATGCTGTCTGAGTATATATATATATATATATATATATTCTAACATACACATACACATTTATCTAATATTCAAACCTCGTTTCTCGATCGCTGACAAATGTAGCTAATGTACAGAGATCGAAGAGCATGGAAAATTACGAAGATTATTTCGAAGGTAATCATGTGGCTCTTACCACTCTCCGTTTTCATGTTATAATACACATCGTGCAGGTAAAGAATTATTGCGTTTAAGGAAATGGCAGAAGCTATCAGAAGCTGCAAACTGAAATTTGCATTTACCTGTTGAACGGGAAGAATTGAAAATACTTTTAATAGCAAAATTTAATGAATTTTTAATGAAAGATAATTTGAGAATTATGCTGTTAAATTCTAATTTACTCTAGCTACGATATAATCGATTCTAGTTAACAGAAACTTTTTAAAAATGTCTTAAAGATGCCTTATTCTTTTAGATGTTTAAAAAAAAAACTTTTTTTTTTATTTATGCTATCCTGGATGATACATAAAATCGATTAATGTATAAATACCTTCGTTGCTAAAACGGACAAGGAGTGATGAAGATGCTGAATCGAACGAATCTTACTAATCACAAGGCCGTTGTGTTTGTTGTGCGCCTCTGTTGCTTTAAAGTCGATGTAAAAAACCGACAATTTTTCTTTCGAATGTTGTATCGCAATTTTGTTCAACTCGTAAAACCTCAGGTATATGTCATTCACGTAGTGAGAGAACAACCCGTCCATAATTAACAAATAGACTATAGTATACCAGCTATGAATAAAAAACCATATTAATGCGATTGAATTATACGTGATCATGTTGTAAGAAAACCTCATCGTTACAAGTAACGACATTATTATTATCACAGCATCCTGCAAGTACTTCGCGATAAAGATATCCTTGTCTGAGAACTGCGCGCCGTACGATCTGAAACGCCAAGCAACAAATTCAATATATGCAAAAAGTTGCTTATTACAGGATCAAGGTAAAAATAAAGGTAATTAATATTATCGATATCAATATACATAAATATTCTTCAAAAAGAATAAGACTTTAGCATTCATTCCCTCAGTTCTCAGTGTCCTTATTCAAGGAAGTTTTAAAATTTACATGAACAGTTAAAAATTTTAAAGCCTAGAGGGCCCACAAAATTCATTCTTTAATTTACTAAAATATTAATTAATAAGATATAATCACACAATACATGTCATTTTGAATAAGTCTAATATTTCGATAACAAAAAGAAGAAACGAACGCTGGGTATTTTTCTTCCAACATGCAGATATACAAAGGCTAACTACCCGAATAAATGAGAAGCTTACTCGAGTATAGAGTCTATAATAAGCATCTCCTGGCGGGGAAAAGCGAATTGCCTTGGACGGAATAGAGATGTGACCACCATTGTCAACACCAAGAGGACATACAGCATATACTGCAAAATCATCATGAACTTCCTGATAAGATGCTCCGCACAATAATCGGTGCAAACTTCACGCCAAGTCACATGGTTCAGAAAAACAAACAGCACTAGAAGGGTAAAACTGTATGATCTGCCCAAGTAACTTGACAGATTGATTCCAAAAAGACGTGAAATCTTCTCAAGAGATTGCCCCGTAGAAGGTAGAAGCTGCTTCCTCTTCAAACCCATCGTGTTGTATTTTTCCGATGATCTAGAAATTCATGAAAATGTCAATTAATTTGTGTATCTAACAACATAGTTAACAGCAATACTTACTTCAATATTATATTACCGAGACCGACAGTCGCGTTCGTCACATTGAACATTCACGTAACTGCGCGGCTGAACATCACACACACGGCCTGTGATTTTATCGTCGCTTTTAGTCTTTTAGCATTCTATCATTCTATCGATCGCCAGGGAAATAAAGCGTTTGCTATCATAAAGATGGAACTAATACGCATTGCTATTTACATCACCACGATAAGAATGTTCTTTCACAGTTAATGCACGTGACAGAGAGATATTGCATGATAAATTGAAAGACAGATATATACGCGCGAATATAATTGTATACTATTTCTAACAATACGTTTGTCCAGAGAAATAATACTGGTGATGAGATGCTGGGGAACGAGGATACAATAAAATATCGTACGACTAGGATGCCTAAGATAAATAATAAATGTTAAAACAATAAATTATCAACGATTGTTTCCATTGTAATATAACTTTGTTGATGCATACGTGAATTATTATTCTTTTCTTGAGTTTCGAAAAATTATACAATGCATTGGCCTCAATGGTAATACATAAATAAAAAATATTTACTGATATAAAAATTGTTTAAGTAGCGCATGATAGTGGTAACTGTAGTGATCATAATAGCGAAACATGACAACGATAAACCACAAATCATGAAAAAATAAATATCACAAAAATAATAATTAACTACCATAAAGACAAACATATTAATTTGGATCAATAAGTTAATATTCTTAACTTTCTTTTTCTTTCATGTAAGAATTCGCAGTTTCTTATGTAATACTACGTATGAAAAAATAAAAAAAATATGGACATCCACTAACTCATTTCTTTCCTTTCACTGCGGAAAAAACCTTATTTTCATACAATTATGAGAAAAAGAAAAGTTGGACCGCATTTTAAATACAACGCGTGTTTACGTACAGTAATAATACCAATAAATAATTAAACTAACGTATAACTATTTAATAGTCTTCGTCTTCTTCATATCCATAGCCGTCCTCGTCTTCGCCCTCGGACGTTGCATGACGTCCGAGCATTTGTCCAACGGACATCTCTGTAGCGTCCGCATCTTCATCGAGGTAATCATCAGTTTCGTCAACTGTAATGTAAGTTGAAAATTAATAACGATAGATAAAAATAAAATCGAATAGTCTATCTATTGATATACTAATTATCTAACTATATCTAATGATATACTAACGATATACAATATACAGTGTGTTAAGTAAGAGCGTGTACGGCATTACTCGTAGTCAGTAAGTTATACAAACCTAAATTTTTTTTATCAGGTTCAGAGAACCTCTGCCTTTGGCGCTTTGATGAAAAAATTTCAGTCTATGTATATCTTTTGTCAGAGAAACACAGAAACCGCGATGAGTGATGTGTACGCGAAACGTTTCGAAGCCGTGTTTCTTTGCACGCACTCAAAAGGGCCAAAAATGTCTTATGCAGTGGCGGCCACGTACATTAAAAAATCGAAAAAATCGCGTTTGTTGAGAAGTGGGTGAATCGATTTAAAGAGTCGAAAAATGTCGACGACCTTCCAGATCGTGGTTCAATAGGGAAAGTGACCAAAAGAAATGAAAAACAGATCGTGACATTCGCGGAATCCTGGCTTGTCCTTGCGTCAAGGGCAAGCGAAATTGAAGGAAAAAGGACTGGACGTATCGCACGTTACTGTTCGTAAACATTTGTGTGCAAATAATTTGAAATGGCGGAGTATTAAAGAAACCACTGCTGTCCGAAAAACACGCTGCCAAACGACTCGCCTGGGCCCAGAAAAACATTGATCGTGACTGGAGTAATGTAGTTTTTTTCTGATGAAGTTTCTGTTTGGGATTTTGTAATTATTCCACGAGCATGGTGTTCCTCCCCAAACCAGTTCGTCCAGCGCACCGTCAAACATTCAATCAAGGTGCATCTTTGGGGCTGCTTTTCAAAGAAGGGTTTCGGCGTTTTGTACCTCTTTACCGACAACCTCAATGTTCCTAAGATAATCCAAATTTACAAGAAAGCCTTGTTACCGACTGCCGAACGTCAATTCATCACAAAAGACAAAGAATGGATCTTGCAGGAAAACAATGATCCCAAATACCGGAGCCGACTCTGTACTGACTGGAAACGGGAAAATGGCATCATCACACTTGATTAGCCTTCACAATCGCCTGATGCTATTCCTATCGAAAATGTCTGGGCCTACATCAAGCAGAAGCTTCGAGGAAAACGTGTCTTCACTTTGAAGCAGCTCTCCTGAGAAATTCAACGCATTTGGAAGGCACTTCCCCTCAAATACACCGAAAATTTGGTGGATAGTATGCCTCGAAGATGCCAAGCGATTATCGATGCTGGTGGTGATTGGAATCGTTATTAACATAATTGCGCATTGCCTTGGAACATATCAAATTGTATGTGAAAAAAAAAGTTGTTGAATAAATTTTTTATGAATAACGCCGTACACGCTTTTACTTAACACACTGTACTATAATGTATATAAAGAACAAAAAAATATTTTTTGACAAAACTAGAAATTTTCTTTAACTTGTCTGTGCATAGAAATAGATAAAAGAGATTACTCACCGATATCAGATGTATCCATCACTGTGGATACATCCATTGAATTCTCCATTGGAGTGATTTCCTTCTCCATAGTTTCTTCATCTTCTTCCCGTTGTGGTGTTTCGTTCGTTTTCTTGGATTGCCGAGTGTTTTGTTTAACAGATGAAGATTTTCGTGATAACGAAACTGTTGCATTGTCAGGCTTCAACGAAGAATAGATTGACATTCTAAAAAGTGCAAAATAATTTTTATAATGTCTATCAATCGATTTAGCTGCTGTCGCACAATATATATATTTACGGTTTATTAAAAGTCCTCGAATCGTCCGATCCCAACGTGGTATTCGTCGCGGTAGAAGATAATTCTTGAGTGTTTTCTTGCTGGTTGCTAGAAGAATTTACAGCACTGTTTAGAATGTTCAGCGCTTCGTAATTAATTAAAGAACATATCTTTTTCTCTTGCAACATCTTTTCAATCGCTTCGCCTGAAAGAAGAAAGGACAAAGACAAAGTGAATGATAATTGATAATAATTGTACGAATTATTACATAATAAGAAACGAAAAAGAATAAAGGAAGAATGAAGAGTGAAAAAAATTAACAAAAAGATGAACTTACCAGCGGTATTCGCGGGCGTTTTATTCTTCTTAGTTCTTCTTCTTTTCTTCTCAGGTTTACCTTCCTCTGTCTCCTTTAAACGTTTCTCTTCCTTTTCCTTTTCTTTAACGAGATATTCAGCATTCACTTTTTTCCAAAGAGCAGATTTATAGTTTGATTCCTTTTCCGAAAGGATATAGCTGTCCAATTCCTCGTCGTCTATATCATTTATACTAATTTCCTCGCAATTCTAGCAACAAAAAGTATTTCTCGTTTATGTTAATATTATTTTCTCCGATTATTCAAATTCGAGCTAAGAAGAGCGGTAGCCAAAAACGTTAGAAGAATGTTTAGATGTCGTTGCATTTAAATTTACGTAACATGAGATGGTTTATATGGGAGAAACGTGCGTTTCTTCTATATAGACCGATCTTAGAAATAGATGTTTAGCATCCTAATACAATATTGCGTGGCGTGACAATCAATAGAAAGCGGCGAGCATGCGAGTCTGTTGAACGAGAAGACTGAAGAAACCTCGGAAAATTAGAAGAGGAAAATGAGAGGACTTAGCGAGACATGAAGAAGAGCGAATAGTGCGGAGACGAGCGTATCTTTCTTTACGGCGGGCGGTGTATAAATTAAACGGGCCGTGTAACTAGACGATTCTCGTTAACTGGTTTAGCAATAAGGAAAATTCAATTTTCGAAGATTCCGGCTCCTTTTTTGCCGATTCATCATTCGGCAAATTCGAAGCGCCCGCGAACGGACTTACTTTCATCCTGACAACACTCTAATACCAATATTATAAAAATAAAATATATATACTTACATCTTCAACATTATTGTTTAATTTTTCTTTGGCTACATTCACAGAATCATTAACGGGAAGCAATCCCATCGTCGCCAAATCAGGACCTGAATACACGAAGAGATTACGAATTTGCAAATTCGTATATTGAATAGAAATCAACGAAATATTATCATTTCCAACAAATATATTTACCAAGTCCGGTAATATCTGAACCCTTGTTTCCCATTTTAGAATCGTTGAACTCATCAGGATCATCCACATTATCATGGACATATTCGTTGATTATATCCAAATTGCTTTCTCGGATAAATCTATCTGCGTCTTCGTTTTCCATGTCACCAAACACTTGAGTAAAAATAAATATACGTAAAAATAAATATACTATAAGATATTGCTGTTATTATGTATTCAAGTATTTAATTAGTTAACATATCATTTAATTAAATATGTATTTTTTTTGCAGTTATCATTGTTCTCTTCTGTGTTTATTTGTTTAAACAATATATGCTACGAGAATGCATTTACCGTCTTTCCGTTTTTTCATTTTCCCCATTTTGTAATCTTCCAATTGTCTGTCAATTTCAGCTTGCAATTCGCTTATTTCCGCATCTATATTGTCCAGCTAAAAAGAATCAGATACTGTTGATGAGTCTTTTTCAGTTGCTATAGGACAGTGTAAAAGTACCTTCAATTTGATCGATTAACTACCAAGTGAAGTGAACTGTGATTCAAGGAAGAAGCATATACCTTTTGTAGACGTTCTCTATCTTTCTTACGCGCTGTTTTAAACGCTGGAGGATCCTGCTCCTCCTCCAAATCCACTGTCATAAACTCATCTAGTGTCAAAGCACTGGAGGGTGTATCACCAAATTCCATCAACCTACAACATATAAGGAAGTGCTTTGATTATCGTCATACACGCTCATGTATTATAAAAATTATACTTCTCAGAAATTAGTTTTACCTTTTACGTAAAGTGGATTCGTGAACTTTGACAATTTTGATTATGTCAGCGGGCGATCTGTTGAATTCGTGCAGTCGCGCAGCTATCAGTAGGGCTGCGTAAAAAGGACAGAGTGTGACAAGAGAGTTTTCATAAAAAACAAAAAAAGTAATTATGCAGTATGGGAGATGCACCTTCAATGAATTTAAATGACCTTCAATGAATTTAAATGACCTTCAATGAATTTAAATGACTCAATTTCAATGACTCCAAAATTGACGGTCATTGTTTATTACAAACGATGAATGCAAATTACGTTCATTTTGTTGAACTTCTTTTGTTAATAACTTTTTAACAAACAACGAGCGCCAGCTGCTTTTGCATTATTCAAAGCGATGACCTTAACAATATATGTCAAGGTCAAAGCCATTGAAGGTGCCCTTGAAGCCATCCCTTATACTGTATACTTACAAAAAAAAACAGGAAAAAAATAAGATTCGAAATGAAATTTTTTTACCCGCGCCACATAGGCCTGACGGCCTGCGGCCGCTGTGAATGCTATCCCTTTTCATTCTCTTCACCACCCTCTGAGCTGTCATGGATACCTCGTGAGTTTTCTCGCCGAAATCGAGCTTGTTCGCGAATCTCATGATGTACAAGCAAGGATCTGTATGAAACACACACAAGTAGAAACAAGTAGAAACGTACATTACAAACGACTCCGATTTACAGCCCGTCTCACAAGGAAGATAGGAAACGCGGAAATTCAAAAAATTCTGAAACTTTCTGTGGAAGTAAAGCAATTCATCCGTAATACAAAACTATTTTTTGTTCGTGCAGAATTCCAGTCTGAAGGGGTGAAAGCACCCTTTGAAAAAAAAAATCATTTTCATTTTTAGTGTATATCTTTTAATATACGAGGCATATGCAAAAATAGTTTATATGAAAGTTGTAAAATTGAAAAATTTTTGAAACTCCCTCCGCCCTTCTACAATTTTGCAAAATCTGAATACACAGTTGCAAAGAGTATGAAATACACTACAGCTTTCATATAAACTATTTTTGCATTTAAATCATTTTTGCATATGCTTCATACTTTAAAAGATATATGCTAAAAATGAAAATGGTTTTGTTTCCGAAGAGTGGTTTCATCCCCTCAGACTGGAATTCCACACGAACAAAAAATAGCTTTGCATTACGGATGAACTATTTTACTTCCACACAAAGTTTCAAATTTTTTTGAATTTCCGCGTTTCCTACCTGTCTTTGTCAGTAAATTTGAAGTCTCGCGCGCATTCCGCCCAGCCTCAATGGCCGCGTTCAGCAAAAAAAGCTGCTTACTAAGCGCTTAGTGATTATCACTTCTGATTGGTTCATTCCTCTGGATTTGTTAAAGATCTAAAACAATACTCCAATTATAGATCATAATCACTAAGCGCTTAGTAAGCAGCTTTTTCTGCTGAATACGGCCATTCAGCTCGATGCGTTATTCAAATTACCGCGCACTCATGCGCATGCGCGTTATCGACGTTGCCGCGTCGTTTCAACGGTTATAAGCGGTACGCACTGAGAAAGTGAGATAGAAAATATGACATAAGGTCAGTTCTTTTTCGCTGCACAGCTGCACTGGTGCAATAAGTTAGAGTAAAACAAATATATATTTGTCTGTACCTCTGACTTATTGCATCAGTGCAGCGAAAAAGAACAGGCCTATATATAGGATAGATGAGGTACTTTGAATGTTATGCGCATGCACTGGCATGCGTAGAGGCTAATTTAAAAAGCTGCGTTTAACAAGATTAATATTATGACAAGAAAAATGTGTAAATAAAAGAAAAATTGAATTTTTGAAGTATGTGCCGGTGTTTATAAAAATAACTTGAGTCACATTTCCTATTTTCCTAAGCGATCGTGTACTTAATCCCATTATTTGTTAGTAAATTTACCTGTGTAAAGAAATACTTTCAGCCTATTGCTTTTCTTCCACATAAATAGTAAGATTGAATTATTTTCATTTCCTTTTTTTATCACTTTTTATATAAGCCAATATATAACGTATTTAACTGATAAATTAGATAAATTAAACTAACGAAACTGGTTAGGTTAGGTTATATTAGTTCAACGAACGCGCGCATGCGCATTTACGTTGAAGTACACAGATTGTGAAAGTGAGAGGTTGATATACGTCTGCACTGTGATGTTTTCGCCAGCGTTTGAGCTCCTCCAGCAATATAGTAGTATTATATATATATGCGAATAAACGTGTGGGACGAGTACGCAGCAGCCATCGAGCGTTCTCGGAACTTGGCTCGTGTGAGTCGTCCCGAAAGAAAGTCACCAATTTGAATAAAAGCGCGCGAGAGCATGTGCGTCTGACAGTTGGCTGACCGCGTCGATCGCTCCTCCGGCCGGCCGCGCGTGTGCTCTCCTTCTTCCTCTTCCACCACCTCCTCGCCGCCTTTCTCCTCACCGTCAACGTCTATCGACCGACGCGGCGATAACGTCGGCGGCGCCCCTCAACCAGCGCCCGTGTATGGGGAAATGGCGGCTGCATAGCCGACGACGCACGGTCCTCGCCGTAGCCGTTTTGTGTGCCGCGTGCGCGACAACGACGACGACGACGACGACAACGACGACGATAAATAACGACAGGGAAACGGGGAAAAGCGAACGTGTCGGGCGAGCGTCGACGACGACGATGGCAATGTCGAATCTCTACTCGAAGATCTCCACCAAGCCGATGAAGCGCTTTCAGGACAACGTCGCGGTCAAGCAGACCAATGCCTGGGTGAACGGTGAGAAAAAGACAGATTAAATAGACAAAGACGGCCGGCCAGAGTCTCTCTCTTTTGTCCCATAAGCGAGCGAGCGGCCAAACAGGCGATCCGCTATTTATACTCGGACCTCGCGGCTTCCGCGGGAGGTGAAGGACCTCGGAGTCGCCGATCCCCGTCGCGATACCCGCACCGACCAGCCGGAAATCTATATTTTCCGGAAACGTGATTTCGCGGGCCGAGCCTTCGCCTATCCACTCGCCGTGAGAGGCAAAATCGTGGTCGTCGTATTTTTGAGTGACAACACGCGGACTCGCGTCCGTGCAAAAATAAGTTGCGTGACAATGCACCGCCGAGTCGAAGACCTACACGAGTGAAGATCGTATCGTACCGCCGTCGGTCGTACTGAACGATACCTCGATCGCGGATTTCGGAATTATGTCGTTTCAGGGAGCTGACGTTGCCGTCTGCCAGACGAGCGCGCGACGGATTTCAAACATTCTGTGCTATCTTGGTTTCGTCTTCTATCGCTGAACTTTTGTGATTGTACCAACTTGCATTGGATTTCTTTTCTTCTTTTCTCCAACAAGTCTCAAATATATTGTCTCTGTTGAATTTCGTCAAACGTACACTCTAGTTCAGCGATATAAAATAAACATCTTGCCCCCCCCCCGCCGCGCTTACTGAACTCTTAAATCCAGTTAGCGCGTGCTTCCGGATCTCGAGAAGATCGAGAAGCACAAACCAATCGGATCCGAGCTCGCTGAATGCTCACCGAGCGGTGAACGGTACGGCGAGATGAGAACTCATTGCAGAATTGTTATTCACAGTGTTATATCGATATTTATCAGACGTAACAGTGACGTTGGGATGATATGCTCTGTGTTCCTGAAGTCAGGAATTGAATGAGAGAGACGCATAAAGACGCATAGACACGAAGGCCATCACACACAAACGAACTTAAGCAGTAAGACGTAAGCAGTAAGCAAATTGACTAATCACAATCGAAATTTAAGGACACCATTTTAAAACTTAGGAGAATAATTGATTGTGATTGGTCAGTTTCTTTACTGCTTATGTTCATTTGTGTGTGATGGCCTTAACCTACGCACACGCATCACGATAATAAATAATTCGTGACCGAAGTCTCTCGTCTACAAACTTCCTCAAACTTCGACTGAGGCGAGAATTAGTCGCGTCCGACCATCGACTAGAGACATCCGGACGATTTCTCTCGTCGGGGATATTCATTCTAATCTGACTGCTTTGCCAACCGTAAGGGCCAGAGCACAGACTTCTGCATAACGCATAATACACAACTCATAAGAGAATCAACCAATCAGAGTTCTTCATTTCTGTCCTGAGGAGGGAAATGAAGAAAACTAATTGGTTTATTCTCTTATGTATTATGTGTTATGCAAAAGCCTGTGCTCTTGCCCTAAAGATTCTGTATTGATTTGCGCATTTGTTTATGTCGCATCCTCGTGCGAGCGAGCCGCGTCGTATGACGCGATTGCATTCGTCGTTGCGTCACGTGCGTCACGAAGTGCGAGCGGAGATACACGAGTGTAGCGCGAGTAAAGGTCAGTACACACAAGCGCATGCTCGGCCACGAAGTGTATTATGGGGTGCGTTCACGATACTCAACAGTTGCGCAACTGTTGAGTAATTCGTCAACGTTATTAGTCTGAATGTAAGGATCTAACAGTAAGGACCAATAGTCACTAATCGCTCACTGAGCGCTTTTCTCCGCTGAACGCACCTATAGGCATTTCTCTTGCTGGTGAAGCTGCGGCGCCTTAGCTCGTCATAATTGAGAGACATCGTTGATGCATTTATCGGTGTTATAACGTACGCGATGTAATCCTTATTATATATATCCTCTTACTATTATATTTATACTCTTATATTTATATACACTCTTATATTCCTGATAGAGACAATATAATAATGTTTTCCCCCTCGATCCTCCATTGCAATTGTGACGTCGGAAGAGATGTCACATATATTGTCACTTCAGCTGCTGCCATAACCGATCATTGCGCAAAAGTCTTTTGTTCGCCTCCGTGGCGATTGGATGTGGTTCCTTTAACTACGCATATTTTAGATCTTGGGGACTGCGTACGCGTTGGCCCTGTTTCTCTTTTACTTCCAAAATCGTTGTGATTGGCGTAGGAGAAGGAGTGTAATAACTCTGCTCAGAGCCATATATTGAATGAATGAATGAATAATCATTGCGCAAACGCGTCAGCGATGTCTCAATTGTGACAACTTGCTGCATTGCGATTTCATTAGGAAAAATGTGCGCAAACCGTGACCGAGTCACAATTGAGCGTGATGCAACGCGTCGGCGGTAGCTTCTTTTTATCGTTGAACGAAATATTGCCGAGAGCGGGGCACACTTTCCGCTGTGGAATTACGTTCAAATGTGTGAGAAGAATCATCGTGACTGACTATGTCGTCGATATGGTGTGAATAAGCCTTAACTTGCGAATCCCGGATTTTTTCGGCCAAATGTAGATAGAGACACGTACGCGATACGCACTGATGCGATGCCTGTGTATATTTCTACACACATGCACGCGCAATCTCGATTCGGTGAAATAGCGCTCCTCGCTACCGTTGGATACTCGCAACGATCACAGAAATACAACGATCGACGAAAGTTCAAACGTCAGGCGAGATCACGCGCGCTATGTTATCGGGACAGAAGAATCAAGCCGTTCCAAATACTGTGAAATAATGCACGACAAACGTAAATAATTATCAATACCGATAAATAATTATTCGCTTTAAGGATAATAGATCCTTCAGTTGAGTGATAATAGGCGCGTCAGACGATCGCATCGTTGATTTCAGTTCGCTGTGTGAATATCGGAATCACCTTCAAGTCAGACGTGCTTACATAACCTGTTATCTGTCCGTCTCATTCTTCTATTATAATTTCAGAATAAAAGAAATTATATTGATGTGCATTGTCAATGAAACAATTCTACCGTGCATTCATAACATACATATATCTGATGTGATGGAAAAATAATTCTGTGAATTAATTAGATTAAATAAAAGTAATGAGAAATGCTTTTCTCTCTCTCTCTCTCTCTCTCTCTCTGTCTCTCTCTCTCTCTCTCAACAAATCATTCTTATTAAATTTCATGCTGTTATGTGTGTGTGTGTGTGTGTGTATAGTGACATTCAACATAATTTTGAATAATATAAAACATTTGTAGAATGTTTGTATTATTTAGCATCACAGCCATTTTTCCTAAGATTTTGAATAATATCAAGTAGATTTTTATCATATTAAAACTTGAAAATACTCAGTATACTCGATATGCCTGACAATGACATTTTTTTTATTTTTTAGCGGAATCTCCAAGCAATGCATCAGATTCACCACCATCAGTAAGCCCACTTTCTTCATCCATTGTACTACAACGTGAAGGAATTGTAAGCCAACCACTGAGTGCTCCTGCATCGCCTCTGTCTTCCCTGACATCACCTGTAACCCAGTTAAACCTACCATCACCTGGGGATTGCACCCAGGATCCTAATTGGCAAGCGACAAAACCTACAGTTCGAGAACGGAATGCAGCCATGTTCAATAATCATCTTATGGCTGATATTATATTCATTGTTGGCAGTCCAGGTACTTGTACTATCTTACAGTCATTAATCATATGTATTGTCAGATGTACTGAATTTTGCATCTATACCATAGGTCATACACAAACCATACCAGCACATAAGTACGTCTTAGCCACTGGCAGCTCTGTATTTTATGCTATGTTCTACGGAGGATTACCAGAAAATAAGAGAGACATAGAAGTGCCTGATGTTGAACCAGCTGCATTTCTTGCGCTGTTGAGGTGAGCACAGTCAACTTGGAATAACTGAAGGAATATCAACCTAAATAAAATTTATATCACAACTATAAATGAACCTCTTTGTTTCAATGTTTGCTATTAGAAGAGAAAAAAGTAGCATCTTCTCAAAGTGAGAGTGTAGCTTTGTATTATTGAGCATAATACTTGCTTTTCAAGGTATATGTATTGCGATGAAGTGCAACTTGAAGCGGACACGGTTCTGGCAACATTATATGTCGCGAAGAAGTACATAGTTCCACACTTGGCGCGAGCGTGCGTCAATTACCTGGAGACGAGCCTGACTGCGAAGAACGCGTGCTTACTTCTGAGCCAGTCTCGTCTGTTTGAAGAGCCAAATCTTATGCAACGTTGCTGGGAGGTGATCGACGCACAAGTAAGTCAAACCCAAAGGGTGCTAAGAGCCATTACTTTGAACGACGGGAACTTGGACGGGACGCTCGAGGACGACTCGAGCCCCTCCAGCGACTCGATCGATCGCGCTTTGAGTTTGCATTCTTGTGAAAACGCCTATGACAAATTCGAAAGTTTGCGGTACCGGCGCGCGTGTAGAAGCGCGGGACTGAGCGACGGTGATAGCTGTGAGGCATTCAAGAGCGGACTGTCGATAGTGCCGTACTGCTTGAGTCTTTCGGAGAATGACTGTTGCGCGGACGACCTCGCGGACGAGCGCTTGTCTTTCTCGCTTTTCCGTACGCGAAGTGAGCCTTACTTTCCGGACAATAAATTGGACGTCGAGGTTACGCAGAACATCACGTATCAGGACAGCTTGACGGACGAATACGAGTGCGGTAAAGTCAATCGCAGCGATGTCTCTAGGATAACGACCAATACCAATCGAATAGTCAGCTAAGTGAGAACAGACGGAAAATCGAGGATTTTCCTGTATAATTGTATCGAATATCAAACACACGTGGCTGCGGATTGTGTGTTCATTGAGAAGGGACATCGTTTCGATTCTTCTCTCATAGCCAGACAACTCGCATTGCACAACAATGTTATTTGCCATAGATCGTTCTCTTGTACTTGAGAAACATCTGTATTTAACGTTCATCGCGTTTGCGGGGCATTTAGATATACATATAGATTATATAGATACATACATATATAAACGTACATATGTAGGGTGTCCCGAAAGTCGCACACTTCCTCCCGACGATGAGAGATGTTAACTTCTTAACATTTGTGTTCAGACGCGGTTTTAGAGAAAGTGCACGACTTTATGGCATGCCCAATATTTTAAGCTCCTCTCGAATAAAATACCTGGTAAAAGACTTTTAAGAGAAGCAATATTTATAAAGATACGTACAAAACCGTGAAAAGGTTGTTAATTACAATATTATTTAACCAATTGTGCTTATTACTGTCGTTAATTGACGATCGTGTTCTTAATATATTCCTTTTAATCGCGATGTGTTTTAGTGTCGATATTAAGAACTCGCACACTAATGTAATTATATATAGTGTATTCTAATGTTGAAATGGTATATCTTTTAATTTAGGAGACGGATTGCAAACTTTTTTACACGTACATGTATTATTTATTTATATTTTATCAATCATATATCAAGCACAGTTTCGTATGAAACTTTGTATTAAGTGTAATAATTAAATAAGGTCAGACAATTTCAATAAAATTGGTCGTTTTTTCAATGAACTGTGAGAACTGTTATGTATTTTATGTACGACTAAATCGGTTTTGTAGCAATATACGTACGATTCCCTATTACGTAAATATAAAGTTATATGTAATAAATAGATTTCGAGAATTATTTTTCACTTTTATGTCAAATTTTTGATCGTTTTCTTTTTCATAAATCAGACTTTTAGCGTTTTATTGCAGTTATCTCCGTAATAATTTACTACATGGTATTCATAAAAAATCACCATTCATTTTACAGATATTAAATAAATTTTCGCATACGTTTGCGTCTATGAAAGACACAGTTTTGTGTATCATTCTAGAATTGTATCTGAATTATATATAGATACACGTAATTTTCATTAAGGAGAAATTCACGAGTTGCGTTTTGTTTTAGGATAAATTTTAAATCATAAAGCAAAATGAAAAGTCAACGGAACGATAATATTAATAACAGCGATGTATGAGATTAGCTTCGACATTAAATGGCAACTATTGTACAGGCAGAAATGGCACTAAGATCCGATGGTTTTGTGGACATTGACATTCATACGCTCGAATCAGTCTTATCTCGAGAGACGTTAAACTGCAAAGAGATACATATATGGGATGCTGCGTTACGATGGGCTTCCGCAGAGTGCATCCGGCAAGACCTTGAGCCAACCCCCGCCAATCAAAGGCAATTGTTAGGTGAGGTCAATGCTAATGTTTTTTTCTTTATCTCGGAATAAAAACTTCCCTGCTGTGCGCGCGTCAGGATTTATGTATAAGACTGATGTAACAGACTGTACCACCCTTCCAAAATATGCAATGTATATTTCTCTTCCAGGATCCGCCTTATATTTAATTAGACTCCCCGCTATGAATCTGGAGGAATTCGCAAACAGCGCAGCGCAGACGGGCATTCTAACACATCAAGAGACAATCGACGTGTTTCTACACTTCACAGCCAGCAACAAACCACTACTCTGTTTCCCCACCAAACCACGCCAAGGATTGAAAACTCAAGTGAGTGCAGCGTATTATGCGAATAATTCTAGCTATACTGTTGCTAGAAGAGGATGATGTATTTTTTTGAAGAAGATAAATAAATTCCGCGAGTACCCGTTGTATTTGATAAAGATAATATCAACCGTTAGCTCAATATGAGAAATATTGCTTCACATGTAAATGTTGGGCTAATAAAAAGTTGATTTCATTTACAGGTGTGCCATAGATTCCAGTCCTGCGCATATAGATCGAATCAATGGCGGTACAGGGGTCGTTGCGACTCGATCCAGTTCAGCGTCGACAAAAGGATATTCGTGGTGGGTTTCGGATTATACGGAAGCTCGTCCGGTGCTGCGGATTACAACGTTAAGATAGAGCTCAAGAGGCTCGGGAATGTCCTCGCGGAGAACAATACAAAATTCTTTTCCGATGGTTCGAGCAACACGTTCCACGTTTACTTCGAGAATCCGATACAGATTGAGCCGGAGTGTTCGTATACGGCAAGTGCGATATTGGACGGCGGGGAGTTGAGTTTCTTCGGTCAAGAAGGCATGTCGGAGGCGACGGTCGGCAGCGTGAACTTTCAGTTTCAGTGCAGTTCCGAGAGCACCAACGGCACCGGTGTTCAAGGCGGACAGATTCCCGAATTGATTTTCTACGGACCGCCGTCCGACGACTGACGGAAGACCACGACGGAGCTTATGGTCTAATAATCGCGTGGCTCGTAACGAAAAGTAATATTTGAGTGGCTCGCTACGCAAATCAAGTCTGCTGCCAAATTCTCCGACGGAAAAGCGTGTATTCGATAGGTGCACTCTAACGATCTGGTTATTCGAATTTCACATCCCAAACGAGGATTTCACGACATCCGGTAAAAACGACACCACGGAATAAATGGAGCAAGTATTGCGTGTAATATTTTGGGAGATGCAAGTGTTATCGAGTCTACGTTACATAGCGTTACAGTTATCCTGTATTGTAGATATGTACTATTAACTTAAGACGACGGCGTTTCAGCAGAATTAATGTTTTTAATATTAGGGCTTTTAAGTCACCTCCCATATGTCCCTATTAACTGATTCGTTCATGAAGCAGAATTATTTGTTGACATTTATATTTTATGGGATGTATTTCTCAGATCGAAGCATATAGTGCCGGAAGTTAGTGTTTCAATCCAAAGGACAATACCAAATTTTAATAAGAATGTGCAATGTGTTATCATACGCGACTTGTTCCAAAATTATATTTTCGTAGGAGGTGAAAATATACAGTATTACATATATATATACCCTATTGTATAGTATTATGCAATTTACAAAAACAATTAGTAGACAAGTTTAAGGCTACACTGTTCCTTCGCTGTGATCATTTTGAATTATGATATCAGAAACGAGGAAATACACTGAAGATTTTTGCAAGATATGTTAAATTGAATATATTTATTAAACTATACAACTATTCACTTGAAACAATTCGAGCCCATTTTAATCATAAAAAATTAATATGACATCAGAAAAGATAATAAGTTGCATATCTTAAAGATAGATCGCGTGTTATGCTAATTTTATAGTAATTTATTATAAAAAGATGTTGAGAAAAAGACAGTATTTGAAATTATTTTACAAATCTTTTATATATCCATGATATATATCTTTTCATTTAAGCATATTTTGCAAGAATTTTAAGCGTGTATTTTCTTGCTCCTGACTTTATTACTCACAAATTGCATGGCGAAGAATCAGGAGCCTTAAAGCTTGATTCGTACTAGTTTAAAATTGTTAATAAATCTCAAGGTTTTTGACTGCCATCGACATCGTATTTGTATGAATGAATTTTTAGTTGCAATTTCGAGGAAAATTCTGAAACGCCTTAATATAACACTGTTAACAATCTCGTTCGTGAAATTATGTGAACATTTTTGGGAAAGAGTGCATCTATATTTTTCTATGCATACTTAATGATGCATACTCTTATTAATTTGTGTGACAGATCTAATTTCTTCTCTGATATTAAATAAAGAGAAATGGCTGTTCAAAAATGTAAATATTTGAAATAAGAATGTGATGTAAAGAGAAAAAAGATTATGCATAATATCATATTGTGACAAATAAAATAAAGCAATGAACACACTAAAAGGGCCAATTTAAAGTAATTATTACTAGACAGTATACAAAATAGTTTCTCTGTATTACAACATAATAAAGAATTTTTCTTATCTAGTAATTTTTACTCGTTTTTACGCACAAAAACGAGTCTGTAAAAAATTTACAAGAGTTGTTTTATGATTAATAATACATAAGTTACAAAAATGATATTTGAGTAACTGCAAAATATTTTATTTTATGATAAAATACTTATAAAGAGTTGGGCCTTCTAGTGTAAAAAATATAAAAAGAATTCACAAAGAAGCTATAAATGCTTCATATTAAGTATATAACTATATGTAGTTATATAAGATTATTTAACCACATCATGGAGATATGAATTGTTTACTTTAAATGCGATCAATATGGCGAATTTAACATTCTGAGGCTTAGCATTCTTTTGAGAGAATATCAATTACAGAAATTGTATCTGTATAATTGACTTTTTTATTTTTGCAGTATTTATTTCAGTACTGCTACATTTATTGTGCTGAACAGTACAAGTTAGTCAAAATATACCGCAAATGATAAAAAAAAAATGAAATATATTAGAATGTCGTCAACCTCAGAAAGTTATATGTGAATATCAATTTACTAACTACTCTACAGTCTATTAGATTATAATTTATATCTCTTCCATTTTCCATATCTAGTTCTCTAGAAGAATATTATTAATATTCTGTAGAATATTATTAAACTGTGTATTATACTGAGTATTATACTGCCAAGTAATGTAGCTGGAAAATTTTTGTATTTTTTTTTTTTAATTGCGGGATTAATTGTAAAATTTTATAAAATACGGAATATCTCTTTTAACGGTATCATATATATGCATATTATATATAAATTACTATACATATATATATATGTATATATAGCAATTTATTACTATAACTCATAATTATATTTTAATTGTTTTTTAGACGAATTTAGAGTCGACTTTTTTCGATGGGAAAATCAATTCTGGTCAATCCATCGAAAAATATGTTATCCAAGAAACAATGAGATAGTTGCGAAATACTTTGTATACAAATAAGGTGCGCATATATGAGAAATCTGAAAAGTACAAGATATTGCTCTTTCGCGCTATTATTTTTTCAAATAATATTTACATTTCTCTATGATAAAAAATATAATTTTATTTCTAGGAGCATAAGACAATCTAGTATGCTAAACACAGGTCGAAAATGTTGAAGTATAAAAAATATAGAAATTTACTCTCTCCCTCCCTCCCTTACTCTGTAGAGTTTTTTAATTTATAAAAAATGTTTGATTATTTTCTATTAAAAATTTCATAACTTTTTTAAGTCTTTATATGCAAATAATAGTTTTTATTACAAGTCATTTTATCCAAATATAATACTATAGTTACTCTTTTTATATAATTTTATAGTTTATATTTGCTTATAAGAAAATAATAATCTACAATTCTCAATAGAGTTTTAAACGTTACGTATATTATATATTATATTGAGCAAGATAAAAAGGCAAATGTGTATACTATCTCATTTTAATATTAAAGATATATATTATATATGATAAAAAACCTCCTTTCCCCACATATATATCAGGAGGCACCAAAGTTTATCTCGTGAAATAGTTGACATTAGAACGTGTAGAAAAATGTAATACTAATAGCAATATCTTATATAAATGATGCCTTTGCACACAAATCATATAAAAGGTATATTTCAACCACAAACAGGATAGATTCTACATAAAAATATAAATAAAATAGTTTTAGTAAATATGTGTTCTCAAGTGCTTAGTTTCTGAGATATCTCAATTACAAAAATAATACATATATATATATATATATATAACTTCCCATTTCTTTTCTTTCATTAGATCGGGTTTTACAAATAAGTAATTCTAGTAACTATTGTTCTATACTGTTATAAAAACTGTTCAAACTTTCTGTTATATCTGAAAGCTCCTTGAAAGTGTATCTAATGCATATAAGCAACTTGCGTTAACTTAGTAAGATCGAAAAATGTTTGTAACTCTAAATGGATTGATTTTTCAACCTATGTTTGCTAAGCCTTTTTTACTCAGTATGAGTACTATCCTGTAAGAGTTTGAAACCTTTTTTTGAACATCCTGTACATGTATGTATATCTTTATACACACACACACACATACACACTTGGTTAATGCTAGTAGAAAAAAAAAATAAATTTTCGAAGCTATGCTTCTCTAACCAATTGAAAATTTGCGTCTTACTGATTAAAAAATAAAAATATCGCATTCATTTATTAGCTTTTATCTTCTCAAATAATAAAACAGACTTAATTTATTCCTTGACAAATAATATTTTTATATTCAGTTTCAGTTAATTGTATTATTATATTATAATTCAGTTAATTGTATTATTATATTATAAATAATAAAAATGTAATTAATTCTTAGTATGTTTGAAGAAAGTATTTCTATTGTTCTAGCAGAATGCCTGTGAATTAAGTATATCATGCAACTGTGTGACATGCAAGTTGCTTACCTATCGAAGGTATATTGATGTGAAGAGCTTTTGCAAATTTTACGTACGTCCGTCCCAGTTCATGAACACAGATTTGAAGAACGTCGCTGATGTCAATAAGCATATCTGAATATGAGCAGTTAAGGATTTATGACTGACACTTGTTTTTTATCATTGTATGAGTTGTATATATGACACACATTCACACATACACACATACATACATACAAAATAATAAATAATCTAATAATAATCTATTATTTTAATGAAAAATTGTGTGTGCAAACAAAAAAATTATTTAAACAAATCCTAATTAATATCCATTAATTATTAGATATTAATGATGTCTAATACAAAGGATACGTGAAGTTCTTTCTGTACGACAAGTAATATATACACAAGCAGCTTGGTTGTGAGCTTGCTTTCTACCACGTGTCAAACGATAACTCAGAGCCATTTTGTAGAAGCCCATAGCTGTCTCAACACAATGATTATTTAACCTACAACAAACATTTAAAAAATATTACTATATAACAAAATTTCTCTTTGATTATGGATATACTCAAGAAAGGAAAAAAGTTACATACCTTAGTTGTGCACAAAGATGTGTTATACCTTTTCGAGCATTTTGTAAAGTAATTCCTCTGGATTCTTTTCCATTGACATGATAAGCTAAGAGGATAAACAATATATTATGTATTGTACCTTTTAAAGAATAGAATATATTTGTCAAAACCATATTAATTAAATATATATACCTGCACCAAAGCCAGTAGCACCACCTGTGCTGTCACTAGCAACAAACTGACCAAGAACCATCATATGACCTGATGGTGATTCCTCAAAAGTTGTTTCGCTAACAATAAGTTGATCTTCCAATACAAAACCACAGTTTGTACAAACTGCATCTCCACGTGCTGGATCAGTATCAATACTAGTGGACCCGCAATTACGACACTTGCTTCCAGACATCTATTACAATGATATGTGTATGAAAGATTTTTTGATTATGAAGAAATATTATTTATATATATTAGGGACAAATATTCGTATTAATATTAAAAATAAAGGATACTGACAGAAATATCATTTGTTTTTATATGTAATGATGTTATATGATATTGACATATTATCATATATATAAAATATTCTTAAATTTTATATCCCATTAATTAATTCATGCATTTTGTCAAAATATATGAAGCAAATTAATTGCAATGTAAAATTTAAAATTATCAAGATTATAACTAGATTAACTATTGACAATGACAACAGGTAATGCGTTTATAGAAACTAATAAACAAATATTATTTTACATTATTTACCTTTGTAGCTGTGTATAAACAAAAATATAATGTCAAAACGTTAATGCCTGTTTGTCAGATTTCACGAAAGATCAGGGATATTAAATCTTGATTAAATAACGTGTAATGCAATCACATTGAGATTTTTTGATACGTGCGATTAAGGATTTTTTTTTTCTTTTATCGCAAACATGAAAGTACACGAAATAACGCACAGGGCATGCACACTTGCGGAACAAATGCGCGAAATCCGCAAAACCGATTAATTGACAGTGCTGCTACAAGTGATTGAAATTGGTGTCATTGTAATGTGAGACTCATCGGTAAAGTAACGCTCCTGTAATCTACTATACCGTTAGACATAGCAGCTAAGTAAATAGTATTCTATCATATGCCAGCGGAGCAGCATATCGTAAGATGGTATTCTTCATGTGGCCTCTCCCCGATATTACCGATATAATGCAACATCTCTGAATTGTAAACACAAATCATGTTCTCCACTCGTCCCGCTCGTCCGGTGTATTGAAATGTTAGTCGTATGTTTCCTCGTACACAATTAAAGCGAAATATTAAATTTCTCGACATAAAGCGATTTGTTTGAAACGTCAAACATGCCGTGCGAAATGATAACTCTGCAGCTTGGCCAATGCGGCAATCAAAGTAAGTAATTGTTATGCACGTTTTCTTTTCATCAAGAATATAATTCTTCTTTTAATTTAGTAAATTTTGTAATTTACAAGCTCATTGCCAATGACAATAAGAATAACGTCACTCTGGTGACTGATTATTTTTTGCATTTTTTAAATTTTACCCATCTAGTGGAGTTAAGTCCACAAGCATATATGATTCAATATATTTATATCACATATCTATGAGTTCAACATGACATTGCAAAGTCATATATAAACTCAAAATATTTAATCATGACTTCAGTTAAAACTGCATTATTTCCATTTCTAGTTGGATTTGAATTTTGGAAAAGGCTATGTGCAGAACATGGTATCAGTCCGGAAGGAATTTTAGAAGATTATGCAACAGAAGGGACTGATAGAAAGGATGTATTTTTTTATCAATCAGATGATGAACACTATATACCACGAGCTGTCTTACTGGATTTGGAACCTAGAGTAATCCATACCATCATGAATTCTCCATATTCAAAGGTATTATATATCATTATTGTGTAACAGCATATCATTTATACTATAATTTTTATATGAGAATAAAAAATATTTGATTATTTGTTGCAAGCTATACAATCCTGAAAATATTTATTTGTCAAAACATGGCGGTGGTGCTGGTAATAACTGGGCATCAGGATATCATCAGGGTGAAAAATTACAGGAAGAAATCTTTGATATATTAGATAGAGAAGCTGATGGCAGTGATAGCTTGGAGGTAACTTCTATTGGTCTTTAATTAATTTTATCCTCATATTTTGTCATCTATTACTAATTTTAACATTGTACATATAAAGCAAGCAAACTGTTATTGATTTCTTTGAGTTTTTTAGGGTTTTGTTTTGTGCCATTCTATAGCAGGTGGTACTGGTTCTGGCATGGGATCCTTTATGTTAGAATCTTTAGCCGATAGATTTCCTAAAAAATTAATCGAGACATACAGTGTTTTTCCAAATCAAGATGAAATTAGGTAAATATTTACTCAATTTAAAATCTTTTATGTTACATATATATATATATATATATTATATTATTGTTACAGCGATGTTGTTGTACAGCCGTACAATTCGTTATTAACATTAAAAAGGCTGACTCAATGCGCCGATTGTGTGGTGGTTTTGGACAATACTGCTTTGAACAGGATTGCCTCCGATAGATTACATATTCAGAACCCTAGCTTCACACAAATTAATAAGCTTGTCTCGACAATAATGTCTGTCAGTACTACTACTCTAAGATATCCCTCGTATATGAATAACGATTTGGTTGGTTTGATTGCACCACTTATACCAACTCCTCGTTTACATTTCTTGATGACTGGTTACACGCCACTTACAACGGATCAAGAGGTAATTAATTCAACAACTTAATATAATTGAACACAAATGTAGGATGTATAAAAGTATATTTGTTGATGTATTTTTAAACCTGATTAATATACTCTTATTCTGCATTTATGTAAATGATGAATATAACTGATATCTGATGATGAATTTCACCTAATACAGGGTGCATCCGTGAGGAAAACATCTGTTCTGGATGTGATGCGACGATTATTACAGCCGAAGAATATGATGGTTTCTACAGCATTAGATAGAAACACATCTCATTGCTACATATCTATCTTGAACATAATACAGGTAATTTTTTACGAATACTGCACGCTTTTATAAGCCTAGCTTATAGCAAGAAACTTTGAAATATAATTTTTTTTAGAATTCATATTTACTCAAAAACATCAAATCATAGATTACATAATAAGTATAAAATATTAACAACTATTAACAATATTTTTATAATAGGGTGAAGTTGATCCGACGCAAGTGCACAAATCTTTACAAAGAATTAGAGAGCGGAAACTCGCACAATTTATCCCTTGGGGTCCAGCCAGTATACAAGTAGCTCTCTCAAGGAAATCGCCTTACATACAGAGCACGCATCGTGTGTCTGGTTTAATGTTAGCCAATCATACTAACATATCGTCGGTACGCGTTAATTACTTAACTATTCAGTCATAAAAATTTGGTATAAAAATATGTCGCGACATAATACATTTAGAACGCGATATTTAATATTAAATGCGACAAAACGTTTCAGCTGTTTGACAGAGCTTTGCAACAGTATGATAAACTGCGTAAACGTGAGGCATTCTTGGAACAATTTCGCAAGGAAAAAATGTTTGAGGATAATCTTGACGAGTTGGACAATTCACGAGAAGTCGTAGAATATTTAGTAAAAGAATACCAGGCGGCGACTCGGGAAGATTATCTTAGTTGGAATCCAAGCAAGATAGATACATAAAATATCTAAAAAATATGTAGGTATTTTCATATTTAGATCGGACTAAAATTATTATTATAAAACATTCCAGTGATGTAATATTACTTGTGGAAAATTCCTCAAATTTTATTACAATCTTTTGTAGTATTCCAATTCCACTCCTTATCGTAATTTCCTATATATTTGTTATGCAGGTAACAAGAAATCATATTTTCTAAAATCTCACACTACAATATCCGGAAAGAAAATGTCTAATGGAACATGAGGAAATTAATGCCCTAAACCAGAGCTCGGCAAACTTTACTACTTTCGGTCGATTTTCAGAAGCTACGTCTTCTATCTCCCCTTACCGCGCGGCGGATCCAGCAACCAACGGCCGCTGCTCGCGGCCTCAAGACCGTTGAAATCATAAGGCGCATCTATGTGGTTTAGAAAAAAAACGCGTCGGTAATAGTACCTCATGGGTGACGAGGAAACCTATTATGTTACCTTCTAATTATAAAAATATAAGAAAAAATATATATATACACTTACATATATAAATATATATATAAATATATATATATATATATACTTATACAAATATATATATATATATATATATATATATATATATACTTATACAAGTATATATTTGTACATATTTGTACGAAATATTATACATATAGTTGTATCGATACATTTATTTTTCAGCCTTTGAGATACATTAAAGGAGCGCGTTGTCAACGTTAACACGTTATTCTATCGTTCTTTATCGCTTATTACATGCACAAGGATTGAATGACGCGTTAGCGCTGATCGACGTTCTCCTCGAACGCATCTTTAGTAGGCACCACATAGATGCGCCTTATAATCTCAATGGTCCTGAGATCGCGAGCCGCGACCGTCAGTTGCTGGATTCGCCGCGCGGTAAGGGGAGATAGAAGGCATAGCTTTCGAAAATCGGCCGAAAGTTGTAAACTTTGCCGAGCTCTGCCCCTAAACTTACAGAGTTCTCATTTGATGTGGCAATATGGGATGTGACGCGCAAGAACTTAAACAGTAAAAGTTGTGCAATAAGCAAATTGATCAATCACAGATCATTGATTGGCCAATTTATTTACTATTCAAATTTTACTGCTTATGTGATTTTATGTGCCGTTCGCTTGACATCACTTTGCAAGTCCTATTTAACCAGTCTCGTAATATGCATGTTCCAGTTCCATACGTTAGCCATTTATTTGTCTCATTTATTCATTTATCTGAATTCTTGTGTCATTAATTTAATAGTTCTTTTTTCATTTGCGTGCATAGTTGGGGGGAAGAGTGGCGATCGTAATGAAGCCTGTATGACCAGGTGATGGGTAAGGTAAAATGACTGTAAGGCGTTTTTCTTCCTGTTTCTCCTTTTTGTTTTTCTGTGCCATATCTTCATTCGTATGCTATAAACGAAAAATTACATGTCTCAATCTTTTTATATGTTAATCTTATCTCAGATATTTCCGTAAAATACTTTTTTAATGCTTTCCGAAATCCCGTCCGCTAATGAATCTCGCTAAGATGTAAAACAAAACAGCATAGTCCAGATCTAATTTTTTATACATTTCTATATTTCATTGGATTCAATGAATAGATCTTGAATCATTAACATTAATTTCTAGTGCCATATTCAGCACCATATGTAATTATTTAACTTTTGGTTTTATTTATTTATAAATTATTGACAAAAATATAAGAATAGATTATACAAACCTTATATTTTAAACACTCCAAGTCCAGTACAGGAAAAGATTTATAGTGAATGTTCATATCTTTTTGTAAACATTCATATGTTTTTAATTCTACATATCCCTCAAGTACAAGTTTTGTATAGGTACGTTGGACTTGCTCGATGCAAGGAGAAAAGGAACAGAGTTTTCCACCTATTGGATACCAACTATTATTATATTATACATAATGTAGAATATATTCTATATATTCCATGTGATATACAAATCACATCTTTAAATATATTCATGTATTATAATTTTTACTATATCATGACATTTGTGTACGAATATTAAAATATTTTCACCATGAAAAATCTAGTTACACTATATTAAACAATACTGTTTATAGAAACTATATTGAAAGAATTCTTACCTGTCTTTTTGAAAGCAACAGTAGCATGTTCTACAGCTAACCATGGGTGTGGAAGATCTAAATAAACTGCATCAACTTTATGCTTTAATTCTTCTCCAAATCCATCCAAACAAATGTCTCTCTTCTTTAAAGTCACGTATTCACTCAGACCATGTCTATCAAATTCTGCATTAGCAAGAGACACACGTTGTTCATGAAAATCAAAAGTATACAAGTGACCACTTGGACGTATTGTTCGGATCAACGAATGAGCCAGGGAACCACTACCAGTTCCTGAAATAGATTACAAAGAAATAAACTGTTTACTTATACATCAGTCAGTAAAGCAAGTGACATTATAATATACCTGTTTCAATAACTATACTTCCTGGTTTCACTCCCGTTAAATATAACATAAGGCTAATATCTGGACTATAGATAATCTGTGTTCTATGTGGCAGTGTCAGTGTCCAAAGTTCTGGCGTTGGCTGCAACACATATGCCCAGCCTCGAGACAGTTCTACTCTTGAACCGTACTTTTGTCCAACGAGCGAAAAAACTTTCAATGCACCATACATAGTTTGGAACACATTGTCAATAGTTTCACCCTTTTTGTTCAATATTTTCGCCTTCACTTCTAGCGAGTACATATTATTTGGTTTCAAATATAAAATAACAACATCCCCTTCTTCAATTATCTTTTTGCTTTTATAAAAACTCATTTTGTAATGTTAATGTTGAATTATATTTTACTTATTTTAATGTTTATGTACAAAAGACTTCCGTTTCCGATAGGTTAGAGGAGAGACACAGGTTAGAGGAGAGACACGTGCGAGAGTGGTGTACAAAGCGAAAAAGAAAAGTGTGGAAGAGAGTGAGCGGAGGAGAGCGAAGTGGTGAAGGAGAGGACAGGAAGGACGTGGGATATTCAATTTAATAAATGGCTCTGGGCAAAATAGGGTACTATCAAACGCCACCCTCACGGTGTAGATAGATGAAATTCTGTAAGGCTATTTTCCAGTAGTATGGAGGTAAAAGAAAAACAGGGACAACGCGTACACAGTCCTCACAATCAAAAAATATGTGTCGTTACAAGACCCACATTCAACTGTCACAGAGGCAAACAAAAGACTAGGGCATGGGATAGGAACAGAGCATAAGGTATTGGAAGAAGAAAAGTGTGAGGGAAGACGTCTGTTCTTTTTCGCTGCACTGCTGCACTGGTGCAATAAGTTAGAGTGAAATAAATATATATTTGTCTTACTCTAACTTATTGCATCAATGCAACAGTGCAACGAAAAAGAACAGGCCTAAGGTTGAATGACAAAGTAATCAGAGAGGCATAGAGTAGAGGGACAATAGAGAGGGAACTAGGATAGAAGTGAGGTCTGTTCTAAAGTAAGGCGAAAGTGATAAGACATAGGCTGCGTTCCGCTATCCACTGCCAGTACTGAAAATACATAGTTTAGCTAAGACTCCATGCATGCGGTGAGCTGCGGCAAATGCTGCGGTAACCAATCAGGAGGGAGGCGTAAGTCCGGTTGCGGCAAGCTCCGGCATGCGTCTGTCTCCTGATTGGTCACCGCAGCCGTTTGCCGGAGCTCACCGCATACATGGAGTCTTAGCTTTAGCTTTTGTGTCACGTATACTATAGATTTTCAGTGCTGACAGTGAATATCGGAACGCAGCCATAGAAGAACGGGATAAAAAGGTGGGGCGAGAGGAGAAGGGTAGGAAGGGCAAAATGGAAAAGGAGGGAAGAAAAAGGAAAACAGGAAAACAGGAGGGATTGAGGGTATTTCTGAGAATGAGTGCATATAGGGGAAGGGCGGATAATGTGGGGAGTGGAGCGAGTGTAAGCAGTATAGGAAGTGCTGGGAGTGTAGGAGGGAAAAGTAGCAGACAGGAGGCCAAGAGAAAGAGAGAGGAGACGATAGGAGCGATGAGGAGGAAGAACGAAGGGTTTGGGGGGAAAGAAAAAATAAGAAAACACAAAGGACGGTGCGAGAGGGCAAGGAGGAGAAGAGGAGAAAGGAGGAGATAAAGAAGATGATAGGAGAGGAAGGGAGGAGGTTGATGGAAGGAGAATTAAAGGAAATGATGTGGGAAATGATAGAAGGATGGAGGAGTGTAAAAAGAGAGGTGGAGGAGATGAAGTTGGAGATGGTGAGGAGAGAGGAAAGGTGGGGGAAAGAGAAGAAGGGAATGTTAAGCCAGCTGCACACGGTGCTTGTTTTCGTGCTGGATTGCTTTCTGGATGAAAATACTGCGTTCTGATTAGTGCATTTCCATTCATCTTCGGAAACGTACCAATCAGAACGCAATATTTTCATCTAGCAAGCAATCCAGCACGAAAACAAGCATCGTGTGCTGCTGGCTTTAGAGAGAATTGAGATATTAGAAGAGGAAAACAAGACAAGAGAGAAGAGGAAGAGGGGGAGAAGGAAGGGGAGGCAGCCTGGAAGAAGGGATGAGCAAGATAAATGAAGGCAGAGCAGAAGTTGAGATTAAAGGGAAGGAAGGTTTAAAGGAAAGATTGAGGAGAGTAGAGAAAGGATTAGAAAGGGAGGGAAGAGAAAAGAGGAGAAAGAATGTAGTATTTAAAGGAGTGAGGGGAAAAAAGGGAGACATCGGAAAGGGGGTAGAGAGGATTTGTACAGAGATAGGAGTGAGGGTAGAGATTGAAGAAATGAGAAGAATAAAGAAAAATAAGTAAAGAAAGGGCAAATGTTAATTGTAAAGATAAAGACAGAGGAAGAGAAAAAGAAAATTTTAGAAAACAAATGGAAACTTAGAGGAAGTAAGGTATGGATTGAGGAGGACCTAACTTTCAGGGAGAGAAGGATGGCGTGGAGGTTAAGGAGGATAATGGAGGAAGAGAGAGGGAAAGGAAAGACCCGCCTCGGGCCCGACTTTGGACGCGCGGGGGAGGGGGATGAAGGGTGAGTAAACGCACCTGCCTCCCCCGGGCATCGTTAGAGGAAGGGAAGGGAGAGTGGAAGCCCGGTAGGGGCTGGGCTCCATTCCCCTGCCCCCCTTGATAAACAAAGGGGCCGCGGAGGGGGGCGGGTGTCCCCTCCCTCCAGAAGGTGAACCAGAAGGCCAACCTGGCTGGACAACCAGTCGGGGACTGCGCCCCTGACTCCTTTTGTGGGAGGGGGCGCGGTACAAAGGGCGGAGGGCTCTCATAGAGAGTCCTGGGGCCGGGGTGTCGGGGAGGGAATATGGGAGTAGTTCCCCTGACTCCCCCTACCACGGTCCGAAAGGTAGGCACCCCGCAGGGGTTTTAGTCGGTAAGAGTCCGACATAAACCCCGACCCCCCCAGGGTCGGGGGTATCCATAATGGATTTCCCCTGCGTGACCAAAAAAAAAAGGGAAAGGAAAGACAGTGAGGACGGGAGATAAAGGATTATGGATAGAGAACAAGTGGTGGTATTGGGATGAGGAAGAGGAAAATGTAAGAGAGAAAGGATTTGAGGGAAGTAAAGAAAAAAGGAAAAGTGTAGAAGAGACAAAAAAGGGGGAAGAGGGAAAAGAGAAAAAGGGGGGAGGATAGATGGGAAAGGGAAGAAGGGTGAGGGAACGGAGGAGAGGGGAGGGCAGAGAAATGGATAGAGAAAAGAAGAAGCGATCGATAGTTAAGGTGGCGTTTTAGAATGTAGCAGGGTTAAAAACAAAGACAGAGAGTTCTGGAAGGGACTAAAAGAGTGGGAAGTGATGTTTTTGAGTGAATCGTGGGTGGATAAAAAGGGGTGAGAAAGGGTAAGAGAAAGGTTGTCTCTAGGATATACATGCCCAGACAGCACCGAACATCCAATGGATGTACGTTTCACGTCCAATTTATGCCCGTATGTCCGATTTACGTCCGTGGACATAAATTGGACGTAACAAGAATGTCCTTATTGGACATCGGACCTGTAGGACGTCCGATGTATGTCCATCGGACGTCCTATGTCCAAAGTTATAACAAACGTACGTCTTATGGATGTCTTTTGTAAAAAATGGACATATAACGGACGTCCAATGGACATCCGTGTGCTGTCTGGAAACATACTTTCGTTGAGCAATCTATTGCTTTCTAACGATGCATGGTGGGGGTAAAGCAGTCTTCCGTAATAGGGGAAACAGAAGTAGGAGAATATAGAGAAAGGGGAATTGTGAAAGGCAAAGAGAAGAAAATACGTCTGATGTAAATACACGCATATGGAAAAATGACGATTTTGTATGGAAAAATGATGAATATGGACATATGACGATGGGTATAATTACATACCGGTGGAAAATAATCTGTTTGTCACTTTTATATGCATTACTGCGGCATACACAACAATATAGACTCATTGTGTTACGATTATATTTTTTGTGTTATGATTATATTATGTGTACAACTGAATAATCCAAATTATTTTAAGCAGTTATGAAATCAATTTTAAATTGAATAGATTTTCCCGCTCTTTTGTGATTATGCAACGTTGACATATAGCTATTAAAATGAACATATAGTTTGGCGAAAGGCCCAACATAACCTTCAAAAGTATTCAGTTCAGTACAGTCGAAAATGGCAACAGATAAAGTGCATATCCGACACTGCATTCTTTACGAATTCCAACAAGGAAAAAATGCTGCAAGAGCGTGCGAATCGATATGTCCCTTTCTTGGCGAAGGTGTTTTATCCTACGATGTGTGCGCATTTTAGTTTAAACGGTTTAAGAGCGGTAATTTCAGTCTAATCGACAAACAACGCCCTGGAGGCCCTTCGAAGTGCGATAATGATGATTTGGAACAACTGCTCGCTGAGAATTCGGCACACAAAAAAAGTTTGCAGAACAGTTGGGAGTAACGCAGCAAACGATTTCCAAACGCCTACATGAGATGGGAAAAATCCAGAAAGGAAAAAAATGGGTACCTAACCGCATGAACTCATTGAAACCAACAAAAATCAACGAGTGGCAGCGTGTCTTTCTCTTCTCAATAAGCAGCATCGAAAGTCTTTCTTTCTGGAAAATCGTTACGGGCGATGAGAAATGGATACTCTATGATAATCCGAAACGCAGAAAGTCATAGGTAAATCCCGGCGAATCATCAAAATCGGTCGCAAAACCCAATCGCTTCGGAAAGAAGGTTCTTCTCTGCATTCGGTGGGATATCAAGGGCGTGCTCTATTATGAGTTGTTGGAACTGGGTGAAACAGTTACTGTGGACTGCTACCAACGTCAATTAATCTGCTTGAGTCAAGAATTGAAACGAAAACGCCCGTATACTGGCAAAGGAGAACGTCCAGTGAAATTGTTGCATGACAACGCCAGGCCACACATTGCTTCCAATACAAAAGACACTATAATGAGTCTTGGCTGGGACGTCTTGCAGCACCCGGCGTATTCACCAGACATTGCTCCATCCGATTATCACTTGTTCCGGTCGATGCAACACGCCTTGTCCGATATGCATTTCCAATCAGTGGATGAGATCCGAAAATGGCTTGACGATTTTATCGTGTCCACTGACGTAACATTTTTCCGAGATGAAATTCATCAGCTGCCTGAAAGATGGCTTAAAGTTATAAAAAGCAACGGCGAATACTTTGAACAATTTAATTTACTTTCTTTTAAAATAAACCTTGAATGTAGCTGAAAAAATTGGATTATTCATTTGTACATCTAATATTATTATGAGTAAATACGTTTTATAATCTTTAATGTCAATCGTCTTGTTTACATACGCTTTGTTTCACGAAAAGAAGAAGAACCGGAGACATAATACTTCACTTTAAACAGACGGAGGGACCAAATATTCCATCACGCATCGTTAGAAAGAGACAGACTGCTCTACGAAAGCATGCTACCTCTTTCTAATATTGAACATATGCAGACAAAGGGCAAGAGCACAGTGGTGGTACTATGTAATTTTATAGACATAGAAAGGCGTAAGCAAGGAAAAGAAAATAGATAAGACAGGAAAGTTGATGCTTATAATAATTCTTACTACCTAATAGCTTTTCTATGACTATGTTTACACGGCAAGGTTAATCCGGATTAGTAACAACCGTAGTTAGTGAATTCTTTGATTCGATTGGTATATTCTTTTAGATCTAAAAATATACTCTAATCGGATTCGAGACTGCACTAACTACGGTAGTTACTAAGTCGAAGTTAGAAGTCGTGTAAACGTAGTCTATGACAGATCGGGAATCTTCGGTTATAGAGGATTATGTTATATTATCTGTAATGACTGCATTTAGCAGACTCAACAGTTGGACAACATTACTAGATTTTCCATTGAATCTCGCTCCTGATTGGTAAATACTTCTGGGTCTATGAAGAATCTAAAAGAATGCT